AGGAGCTTACAGAGACATTTCCAAACTTGCAATACACACAAACACCGGACAGGAGGTACAAGAATTTGACAAGGAGCTTACAGAGACATTTCCAAACTTGTAATACACACAAACACCACACAAGAGGAACAGGAATATGACAAGGAGCTTACAGAGACATTTCCAAACTTGCAATACACACAAACACCGGACAGGAGGTACAAGAATTTGAAAAGGAGCATACAGAGACATTTCCAAACTTGTAATACACACAAACACCACACAAGAGGAACAGGAATATGACAAGGAACTTACAGAGACACTTTGTGATACACACACAAACACCAGACAGGAGGTACAAAAATATGACAAGGAGCTTACAGAGACATTTCCAAACTTGTAATACACACAAACACCACACAAGAGGAACAGGAATATGAAAAGGAGCTTACAGAGACATTTCCAAACTTGTAATACACACAAACACCACACAAGAGGAACAGGAATATGACAAGAAGCTTACAGAGACATTTCCAAAGTTATGATACACACAAACACCACACAAGAGGAACAGGAATATGACAAGAAGCTTACAGAGACATTTCCAAACTTGTGATACACACAAACACCACACAAGAGGAACAGGAATATGACAAGGAACTTACAGAGACACTTTGTGATACACACACAAACACCAGACAGGAGGTACAAGAATATGACAAGGAGCTTACAGAGACATTTCCAAACTTGTAATACACACAAACATCACACAAGAGGAACAGGAATATGACAAGGAGCTTACAGAGACATTTCCAAACTTGCAATACACACAAACACCGGACAGGAGGTACAAGAATTTGACAAGGAGCTTACAGAGACATTTCCAAACTTGTAATACACACAAACACCACACAAGAGGAACAGGAATATGACAAGAAGCTTACAGAGACATTTCCAAACTTGTAATACACACAAACACCACACAAGAGGAACAGGAATATGACAAGGAGCTTACAGAGACATTGCCAAACTTGCAATACACACAAACACCGGACAGGAGGTACAAGAATTTGACAAGGAGCTTACAGAGACATTTCCAAACTTGTAATACACACAAACACCACACAAGAGGAACAGGAATATGACAAGGAGCTTACAGAGACATTTCCAAACTTGTAATACACACAAACACCGGACAGGAGGTACAAGAATTTGACAAGGAGCTTATAGAGACATTTCCAAACTTGTAATACACACAAACACCACACAAGAGGAACAGGAATATGACAAGGAGCTTACAGAGACATTTCCAAACTTGCAATACACACAAACACCGGACAGGAGGTACAAGAATTTGACAAGGAGCTTACAGAGACATTTCCAAACTTGTAATACACACAAACACCACACAAGAGGAACAGGAATATGACAAGGAGCTTACAGAGACATTTCCAAACTTGCAATACACACAAACACCGGACAGGAGGTACAAGAATTTGACAAGGAGCTTACAGAGACATTTCCAAACTTGTAATACACACAAACACCACACAAGAGGAACAGGAATATGACAAGGAGCTTACAGAGACATTTCCAAACTTGTAATACACACAAACACCACACAAGAGGAACAGGAATATGACAAGGAGCTTACAGAGACATTTCCAAACTTGCAATACACACAAACACCGGACAGGAGGTACAAGAATTTGACAAGGAGCTTACAGAGACATTTCCAAACTTGTAATACACACAAACACCACACAAGAGGAACAGGAATATGACAAGGAGCTTACAGAGACATTTCCAAACTTGCAATACACACAAACACCGGACAGGAGGTACAAGAATTTGACAAGGAGCATACAGAGACATTTCCAAACTTGTAATACACACAAACACCACACAAGAGGAACAGGAATATGACAAGGAACTTACAGAGACACTTTGTGATACACACACAAACACCAGACAGGAGGTACAAGAATATGACAAGGAGCTTACAGAGACATTTCCAAACTTGTAATACACACAAACACCACACAAGAGGAACAGGAATATGACAAGGAGCTTACAGAGACATTTCCAAACTTGTAATACACACAAACACCACACAAGAGGAACAGAAATATGACAAGAAGCTTACAGAGACATTTCCAAACTTATGATACACACAAACACCACACAAGAGGAACAGGAATATGACAAGAAGCTTACAGAGACATTTCCAAACTTGTGATACACACAAACACCACACAAGAGGAACAGGAATATGACAAGGAACTTACAGAGACACTTTGTGATACACACACAAACACCAGACAGGAGGTACAAGAATATGACAAGGAGCTTACAGAGACATTTCCAAACTTGTAATACACACAAACATCACACAAGAGGAACAGGAATATGACAAGGAGCTTACAGAGACATTTCCAAACTTGCAATACACACAAACACCGGACTGGAGGTACAAGAATTTGACAAGGAGCTTACAGAGACATTTCCAAACTTGTAATACACACAAACACCACACAAGAGGAACAGGAATATGACAAGGAGCTTACAGAGACATTTCCAAACTTGTAATACACACAAACACCACACAAGAGGAACAGGAATATGACAAGGAGCCTACAGAGACATTTCCAAACTTGTAATACACACAAACACCACACAAGAGGAACAGGAATATGACAAGAAGCTTACAGAGACATTTCCAAACTTGCAATACACACAAACACCACACAAGAGGAACAGGAATTTGACAAGGAGCTTACAGAGACATTTCCAAACTTGCAATACACACAAACACCGGACAGGAGGTACAAGAATTTTGACAAGGAGCTTACAGAGACATTTCCAAACTTGTAATACACACAAACACCACACAAGAGGAACAGGAATATGACAAGGAGCTTACAGAGACATTTCCAAACTTGCAATACACACAAACACCAGACAGGAGGTACAAGAATTTGACAAGAAGCTTACAGAGACATTTCCAAACTTGTAATACACACAAACACCACACAAGAGGAACAGGAATATGACAAGGAGCTTACAGAGACATTTCCAAACTTGTAATACACACAAAAACCACACAAGAGGAAAAGGAATATGACAAGGAGCTTACAGAGACATTTCCAAACTTGCAATACACACAAACACCGGACAGGAGGTACAAGAATTTGACAAGGAGCTTACAGAGACATTTCCAAACTTGTAATACACACAAACACCACACAAGAGGAACAGGAATATGACAAGGAGCTTACAGAGACATTTCCAAACTTGCAATACACACAAACACCGGACAGGAGGTACAAGAATTTGACAAGGAGCTTACAGAGACATTTCCAAACTTGTAATACACACAAACACCACACAAGAGGAACAGGAATGTGACAAGGAGCTTACAGAGACATTTCCAAACTTGCAATACACACAAACACCAGACAGGAGGTACAAGAATTTGACAAGGAGCTTACAGAGACATTTCCAAACTTGTAATACATACAAACATCACACAAGAGGAACAGGAATATGACAAGGAGCTTACAGAGACATTTCCAAACTTGCAATACACACAAACACCGGACAGGAGGTACAAGAATTTGACAAGGAGCTTACAGAGACATTTCCAAACTTGTAATACACACAAACACCACACAAGAGGAACAGGAATATGACAAGGAGCTTACAGAGACATTTCCAAACTTGCAATACACACAAACACCGGACAGGAGGTACAAGAATTTGACAAGGAGCTTACAGAGACATTTCCAAACTTGTAATACACACAAACACCACACAAGAGGAACAGGAATATGACAAGGAGCTTACAGAGACATTTCCAAACTTGCAATACACACAAACACCGGACTGGAGGTACAAGAATTTGACAAGGAGCTTACAGAGACATTTCCAAACTTGTAATACACACAAACACCACACAAGAGGAACAGGAATGTGACAAGGAGCTTACAGAGACATTTCCAAACTTGCAATACACACAAACACCAGACAGGAGGTACAAGAATTTGACAAGGAGCTTACAGAGACATTTCCAAACTTGTAATACACACAAACACCACACAAGAGGAACAGGAATATGACAAGGAGCCTACAGAGACATTTCCAAACTTGCAATACACACAAACACCAGACAGGAGGTACAAGAATTTGACAAGGAGCTTATAGAGACATTTCCAAACTTGTAATACACACAAACACCACACAAGAGGAACAGGAATATGACAAGGAGCTTACAGAGACATTTCCAAACTTGCAATACACACAAACACCGGACAGGAGGTACAAGAATTTGACAAGGAGCTTACAGAGACATTTCCAAACTTGTAATACACACAAACACCACACAAGAGGAACAGGAATATGACAAGGAGCTTACAGAGACATTTCCAAACTTGTAATACACACAAACACCACACAAGAGGAACAGGAATATGACAAGGAGCTTACAGAGACATTTCCAAACTTGCAATACACACAAACACCGGACAGGAGGTACAAGAATTTGACAAGGAGCTTACAGAGACATTTCCAAACTTGTAATACACACAAACACCACACAAGAGGAACAGGAATATGACAAGGAGCTCACAGAGACATTTCCAAACTTGCAATACACACAAACACCACACAGGAGGAACAGTAATATGACAAGAAGCTTACAGAGACATTTCAAAACTCGCATTACACACAATTACTACATACAGGGATTTATCTATAAGATCTCAAAAACGTCGACAGCAAATCTTGCTAATAAGTCTGTAAATTGACATCACAACATTTTTCAGTTATCTTACTGTTATCATAACTGAAGTCTTTGTTTTGAAAGGTGACATGTATTTCACTGTCCAATAAAACCAAAAGGATTTTTATACTTTGTTTTAACATTGCGCATGGCAAGCATTGTACAAATATCTCAGAACTTAAGAATGCAAGTCATTTAGATAACTATCATGGACAGCTATTAGACTAATCTGGTGACCTACCTTAGACAAACCGAAACAAAGTTCCTCCAACCCAGGCTCAGTCTCATCCTTCTTCCTCAACAATGTTCCAGTTACCATGGAAACAGCACAACTAATCTCCACGGTATCAAAAGGGTACCACTGGCTGAGACCCAGACTGCCAAAGAGTTGCCTAGCAACCAAGACTCCCTGTATGACAGCAATGCCATATACCAGGGAGCGAACCATCTGGTTCTCCTGCCTAACCTTCTCCCACACATCTGCCGGGATCTTCTGTAGTGTGTTCACAATGGCTGTAAATCAGACAAACAACAACGTAATTGTATACTGGAGGCTTGTATATTAGTTAAATTTAACATAGGGTGTTTCATTAGCGTATAAGTACCATAACCCTTTGATAAAGGAGCACATGGGGACCACTGAGATTTGCATCATTTGAATAAATATAATTCTGTGTGCCATGTAAATGAGAGATTTAGGGACGTTGTGTTGACCATCCTTACTTGAAATATCCTTTACTTGACTTCTGACTTCATCTGAGATGTGATGGAGAGAGGATGTAGAGGTAAAGAGTTGAGATACACTGTGAGGTGTAATGGAATGAGTGAGTGAGTATGGTTTTACGCCGCTTTTAGCAATATTCCAGCAATAACACGGCGGGGGACACCAGAAATGGGCTTCACACATTGTACCCATGTCGGGAATCGAACCCGGGTCTTCGGCGTGACGAGCAAACGCTTTAACCACCAGGCTACCCGACCGCCCCCAGAGGTGTAATGGAGAGAGTTTGTAGAGCTACAGACATAGTTGAGATGTAGACCCACCTGACTTGAGATATCCTTCAGGTGAGATGTGATGGAGGGACGGAAGAATGTGGTCCCCTGTGTCATCCGCCCCAGGGCTGATCATATGGTTCCAGGCCACCTTGTGTAGGTTCTGCAGCAGGAAGTGAGGGATGTGTTCGCATGGTTCACTCGTCACCCACACACAGAACCGGGACTTGTCCTGCTGCTCTGCTGGGATGCTAGCTGCAAGGAGAGTGAACATAGCTCATGGAACAGTCACAGAATGATGTGAACAGACCCTAAGTTAAGAGGAATGAGTATTACAAAATATTTATATTTGAAGTCTTTAATAATTTCATATGTTCCACACGAACACTCCTCATCCTCCTCACCTCTACTCTTGTACAGTCTCAGCAGCCGTCTCTTAAGCTCCTTATAGAATGTGGTGGGAGCCAGATGGAGGTCTTCAATGATCACCCAGCCATCTTGTTTCTCTGCTGTGTCGATGGCCTCATCCACCTCTATCTCGCACCCATCACACATTTTCACCATCTCCACTGACACGCTGTGGCTCTGGCAACACACACGACAAAACTCAATCATGGGGTCCTTGTCATAACCCTAATGTTAAAAGTTAAAGATTCAGATACAAATATAATAAGAGCACCTCAGGGACCAAATGACTCCCATTTATTTTGAAAATTGAATTCATCAATTGGCAAGCAAAACATGTAACAATGCTGATCAAACTGGACTATGTGTGAGTTTACTGACTGAACAGCTGACTTACCTTGGCTAGATCTGTAAGCATTGGTGACTGGACTGTGTGTGAGTCTGAGCCTGCAGACTGAACAGCTGACTTACCTTGGCTAGATCTGTAAGCATGGTGACTGGACTGTGTGTGAGTCTGAGCCTGCTGACTGAACAGCTGACTTACCTTGGCTAGATCTGTAAGCATGGTGACTGGACTGTGTGTGAGTCTGAGCCTGCTGACTGAACAGCTGACTTACCTTGGCTAGATCTGTAAGCATGGTGACTGGACTGTGTGTGAGTCTGAGCCTGCTGACTGAACAGCTGACTTACCTTGGCTAGATCTGTAAGCATGGTGACTGGACTGTGTGTGAGTCTGAGCCTGCTGACTGAGCAGCTGTGAAGGTGGGAGGGGCTCGGAGGGAGAAGCAGCAGCACCCCCAGGTGACTACGAGCATCTAGGAGAACATCTCCCAGATTGAAGCCAGTCTCCTTGGGCAAGGTCAAGTTCAAGTTCTTCTCCACATATCTTGCCAGTGCAGCAGGAAGTCGGTCAGGTCGTAACATGCGCAGTATCAGCAGCTGATGGAACTCACTGAGTAGACCCAGGTCCGGGCTTCCAGCTGCTGCAGCTCTCTCACTGCCTCGGGACCCAGCTCGACCGCTCTCAGGAGCTGCAGCACACAGAAAACTATATGAGAGCATGATCAGTTACGAGCAGTAGGTTATCTCACATTTAACAAAAGGGAAACAAGGGCAAAGACAGTGTTCTTCAGTCAGTATTATAGCCACGTGTCAGAAACAGATAGGTTGTATAACCCTTTGGAGAAAAGGTTCTTCCAGGAATAAAATTACAGTTATAAATCCCTAGCAGCTTCGTCAAAAACATTCATAAGAGTTTTATGCAAATCCAAACATATTGCCAGTCATAGGATAACTTTTCAGCATAGAAGTTACAAGACACAAAGTGATCTTAGCACTCCCAGTACAAGGATTGCTTGTGAAAGTTTGCACTCATATCGGCATAGTTATGTCAAAACGGTTGATAGCCCTTATGATTAATTCATGAAATATCTACCTGTTTTAAACCGAATAGGGTCAGTGAGTGAATATGATTAAATATTAGAAATACTATAACCAAAAATGACAGGATACGGGGGTATATAAAAAGGTTGGTTTGGTTGGTTGGTTTATGCCACTCAGCAATATTGCAGCTATATGACGGCGGTCTGTAAATAATCGAGTCTGGACCAGACAATCCAGTTATTGACATCATGAACATTGATCCACGCATTTGGGATCGATGACATGCATCAACCAAGTCAGCGAGCCTGACCAACCGATCCTATTAGTCACCTTTTACGACAAGCGTAGTCACCTTTTACGGCAAGCATGGGTTGCTGAAGACCTATATAAAAAAAGAGCCACATGTAAGGTACCAAAGCCAGGTGCTTAACAACATATATAAATATAAGTGAACAGCCAACCGATGCTTCCCAATATCCCTCCAAAGCGTGAGAACAGACGATAGTGTACTACTCACGCATTTCTGTGTCTTGAGCTATGTTAGCACATGGCAGTGCCTCTCTCTCAGGGTAGGTTGATTTGTACCAGATCTTCCATGCTGCTGAGTTCTGTGCAAAGTCCACACACAGACTGTCCAGGGGACCGGGCAGCACGGACAGGGCCAGGATGTCCTCCCACTTCTCCCGGGGCATCCACTGAGGCGGCTCATCCGAGCAGTCAAAGTCGGACAGTGTCAGCTGCATGCCCAGACCAGGGTTGCCTTCAAGAATAGTCAGTGAATGAGTCAGTGAGTGAGTTGGGTTTAACGCCGCTTATAACAGTATTCCAGTTATATTGCGGCGTGTCAGCTTAATGTGGGAGGAAAGCCCGAAGTGATGCAGGTCTGAGACGTTTACCACGAGCATGGGTATGGTGCTGACAAACGTAGAAACATAATCAGGGCGAACCGGGATTCGAACCCACAATCATAGGTTTCTGATGTGCCCAAGGGACGCAACTCTGGACAGCGTTGCCTTAGACGACTCGGCCACCCGTGCCCCCAGTCAGTGAATGAGTCAGTGAGGGAGGTGGTACACCGTCTGTAACAATATCCCAGCATTACAACAGCAGAGGACACCAGAGGCAGACTTCACACATGGTACCCATGTTTGGAATCGAACCCAGGTCTTAGCCATGACAAGTCAACTTTTAATTAACACATGTTAAGAGTAAATTCTTGTTAAAAGGATGGTGAAAGATAAGTTCGGCTCAGTAGACCCAAATGTTTTTGGTGCAGGCTGGTAGTGATTTAAATGTGGTTTGGTTGCTGTCAGATTTTAAGTGCTTTGCAGAGTTAGAAATTGGCACTAGTCCTGTAGTCCTTGCTAAACTGCCCAATAGTTAAGGTATCATAAGGACTAGTAAAAAATTTTATGGGGTTTGCTATATGTTATCATTATCAGGACTATTGGCCTATAACTGTTAGTTTCTACCGCTAGTTTTGTTATTTTGTTTATTGCTACTTACATGAAGCATATTGAGCAGTAAAGTCTAAAATGTATGACTTTGATATTTTCATTCTTGATAAATTGTTGTGCAGAAATTTTAACCAGTCTCCAACACTGTTATGCAGAAATTTCACATTTCCTTTGCTTATTTGGAGGATTAAACTACTTTCCTGATATCAAACCTAGTAAGTATACATAAAAATCATGCCACTGCAGCATCAGAGGGAGCGAAAAAAGTGAAGATTCCTTCCTGGCACTCTCCCCAAGGAGCTGAGAATATTTTAAATATTCTATAATATAAACAGATCTACTGTTAACAGTTGTACACAATAGGCAATACACAACTGTTACGCTGCTAATGCTACTTGTGGTAAGTAGTAAGTACCTTGGAGAAGAAGTGACATCTCTTCATTGGAGAAGACCTCCCCTCCTTCATTCTGGATGTTGAGGCAGGCCAGGGTGGCGAACAGCAAACAGTCCTCCTCGTACAGGCTCCTGCATACACACTCACACATACAGGTCCAGCTAGGCACTTGTATAATGTTCATATACTTGCACAAATTAACATTAACCACTAACGTCAAGGACCTGAGTGAGTGGGTAGGCTTTAACGCCGCATTGAAGAGTATTCCAGTAATATCGCGATGTATCGACTATATTCATGTGGGTGGAAAGGCTCAAGTGATGCAGGTCTTAGACATTTACCACTAGGGTGAAACCCACGAGCATAGGTATGGTGTTAACAAACCTAGAAACACAGGTTTCTTGTGTGCCCAAGGGACGCAACTCTGCACAGCTAACTGTGGAGCATTAGCTCAGTGGGCCACCTGTGGCCAGGTCGGTGTGTGAGAAGCAGTAGTAATTAAGTGGGGTTCTAGGGTGCTTCAGTTTTTTTGCTACTGTATTCAAATCCCAGTAATAATTAACATTAGGGTTATGACAAGGCCTCATCCCTATTCCAGTTCTTTTGCTGCGGCCTGTAAATATTTGAGATTTGGGCAGGCAAACCAGTGATTGATAGCATGATGACACAGGGCGGTAACACATTATAACCACCAAGTTCTCAATGAAGTCATATTTTATGGGTGCTGAGGACCTGCCCAAGTGAGAAAATTCTAAATAAAATTACTTCTCCTTGAAACAATATATTGATTGATTCATTAAAATTAGAATGGGTTATCTCCCTGTTTGACACAAAGCATCACACTACAGTGGTAACTGTCTCTGTGCTGCAGCCTGTAAACTATTTTGATTTTGACTTGTCACTGTCTACTCTTCCACAGTGTTTTCCTAATACATGTACATCCGCAATCCAAATCTGTATCCGACTTCATATGCTTCAACAGAAGCATCATGATCTAAGACAAACGCAACATCAATCACTTCCTAAGACACTTACACTTATATTTTAGATCATGCAACAAAATATTTACTCATCAAGTTTGAAACTTGACCGGTAAAAAATTGTACCCACTCTAATTCCTACCCGACAAGCACAAAGAAAGTTCATGGTTGAACATGAAAGTACATATATTTGAATGCAAATGTTTTTGGAAGTGATTCGTGTTTCAATTTAGGGGGCATTACGATTCATGTACACTATGGCAGGGTGGTGTGCTCCAACTCAGGAATCTATTAGGAAAACACAAAAGGGCAGTCTGTAGCTGTGTAGCGACAAGTCAATAGCAAAATGCTTCCTAGGGAGCAGCACAGAGAGAAGCTTATTTCAGGTAATAAATTCAGATGTACTTCAGACATTCATTGTACATCTCTAAGTTACGACTCTAATTGCCAGCTTGTGTGGGAGTCACTAAAAACAGACCCGTGAAGATCCGGGGTAGAACAGGTCTTCAGCAACCCATGCTTGCCGTAAAAGGCGACTATGCTTGCCGTAAGAGGCGATTAATGGGATCAGGTGGTCAGGCTCGCTGACTTGGTTGATGCATGTCATCGATCCCAATAGTGGATCGATGCTCATGATGTCAATCACTGGATTGTCTGGTCCAGACACGATTATTGACAGGCCGCCGTCATATAGCTGAAATATTGCTAAGTGCGGCGTTGGACAACAAACAAACAAACAAACACTAAAATCCCTTTGTGGAATGTGAAAGCTACACTCACAACTTGACTCTGTGGTACACCAGACTGGTGAGTATGTCCATCAGTTGTTTGACTCTGTTCACGGACAGCGCTGTGTATTCCACGCCCTCAGACGGCAGGGGCACGGTGTCAGGCAGCTCCAGTGGAGGTAAGTCATCAGACTCACTTCCCTCAACAAACTTTTGAGCTGCACCAGTGCTCGCAGTGGACTCTAGAAAACCAAACAAATAAAATTATTTTTTATCAAAAAAAGAAGGTGCTTTCTGTCTTTGGTCATTGGGGTTGAAGTCTATGAAATTTTGTGTGTTTTCCCCTTTACTCTTAATGCTTCAGTTCATTTTACTGGTTTAAAACAGACAACAACCAAAGCCATATTTGCAGGTCCCATCCAGGCCTAGAACTATCCGTGCACTAGCACAAACAGTGTTGGGAAACCCTCTGATGATAAGACTACAGTAGGTATTACATCTATGAACCAGGTGAGCTATAGCTAGGGTACCTTCCGTGGTGCCCTCTGCATGTCCTGACTCCTGCTTGGCATCTTCTCCCTCCCCTGTTGTAGCTACAGTGTCCTCCTTGCCTGGAAACAAACACACAGCTGTACAGTGCCCCACAACTGGCAACCCATTACGCTGCATGCATGGCCACCTCTATAATATTTCTATTGGCTCAATACACGATGCACCTGAAAACTACCTGTACAATTGTATTGGTATTAGTTAGGCCTGAAAAAACTTGCTGACCAGTTGATAATTAGTTTAGAGCGACAACTGTCGCATCAAAACAGGCATTTGACCTTCTGATCAGAGGTTGAACGCCTTGTCCACATCACCAAAGAGGTTATGAATCCTAGCCCTGCTGCATACAACAGAAGGCACGTCCCGAGCCGCATAGTGGGGTTCTGAGACTTATTTGCTCAAATTTAATATGAGCGTGCTCAGCGCCACGTTGTGCACCAATTAGGGCTGGAACGGGTAACTCGAGTACCCGGGTCGGGTGGGTACTGGGTAGTACCCGGGTAGTCCTGTGGTTAGTCATGTGATATATTGTTTCAAAGTTCACTATATAACTACATGGTTACACAATAATTTTAAGTCTCTAATGTTCGCTTTTCTTCATGACTATGAACACGTTCCTTCTGACTTAAATATGTTTGAACAAAACTAAAACTTCAACTTTAGTGTACACATGACCACATTCTGCCAGGGCTACTGTCAAACTATACCAAATTGGACATGTTGTACCTATATCTTGACACCAACAGCGGGTACCCGGGTAGGGTCAGGTAATAGGGGTGTGGCTACCCGGGTAGTAAATTTGGACTCGTCCCAGCCCTAGCGCCAATGTAGCAGCCATAAAATTTCCGAGTCCCGTGATTGGGATTTGAACCACGGACCTTCTGATCAGTGGTCGGATGCCTTGTCCACAAGGATGTCATCTGTGGGACGACTCCTAGCCCTGCTACATTATCATCTGAAATATTTCCTGAAGTAATATTTGAACCTCCATTTTCAACAATGCCGTACCTGAGTCTGTGGGTTTGTCAGTGGCAGTCTTCTCTGTGTTGGACACCTGGGATGATGTGCTGCCAACGCGAGGCCGTTTGTCAACCTCCACACTGCTCTCACCATCCAGCTCATATCCCTGCACACAAAGTTCGCATTACTTATACTACCCAGCTCATATCCCTGCACACAAAGTTCTCATTACTTATACTACCCAGCTCATATCCCTGCACACAAAGTTCTCATCACTTATACTACCCAGCTCATATCCCTGCACACAAAGTTCTCATTACTTATACTACCCAGCTCATATCCCTGCACACAAAGTTCTCATCACTTATACTACCCAGCTCATATCCCTGTACACAAAGTTCTCATCACTTATACTACCCAGCTCATATCCCTGCACACAAAGTTCTCATCACTTATACTACCCAGCTCATATCCCTGCACACAAAGTTCTCATCACTTATACTACCCAGCTCATATCCCTGCACACAAAGTTCTCATCACTTATACTACCCAGCTCATATCCCTGCAATACAAAGTTCTCATTATTTATCATATAATGGGCAGGTTTCTCGGCAGGATAAAGCCAACGGATAAAAACGATATCCGTTGGGGTCACATGCGGATAGAGATGCAAATATCAAAGGTCAAGTAGGACTACTTTCACTGTTTATAAACAAACATGGCGTCGTCCTCGTCATTCGGCGATCGAGTCAAAATTAACCATCGGGAATCTGAATAAACAACAGGGATAATTGCTACCATTATCAAAGAACAGTCTAATATACTCAAAATCAGTGTCTAACTGTGACGTAGCTAAGGCATTTTATAAGTTTTGGCTACTTTGGAGGTATAAATTTCGAAACAATTTTGCGAGGGCGCGAGGCCTAGCCAAGCGGGATCAGTAGCAATATCTGTGCTTGTAGACCTCTGCGACTTGAAACCTTCTCCACAAATTAAAATAGTTGGATTTGGCCGAAATATGTTTGAATTGTTACCTTGTTTGGTTTTGTCGCTGTGTGTACATCTGACTACACTTCTTAACCTTATGACAGGACAGACCGACTGTCAACAACGTCTGACCGTGCCACGACGTCTCATAGACTAGGGTTAGATTAGCTTCCCTTTGACAAAGGGCAGTTACTCTAGCGGACAGACAGATGGATTGCCGCGAAAGGCAATTAAAAACAAATGTTGTTTTGCGTATATGTTGCTTCGCCACTGTATAAGAAAGAGATTTCAGTTGGAACTATATTGGCTACTGTCACTGTCGGACTGACACATCACTTACCCTGTGACGTAATAAATATTAAAGCGCGCATTCCAGGAAAACTCGCAATGTTTCAGTAATGTTTGTGAGAGAGGGATAGCGATTTTAAAGCACAGAATTAAAGCATGACATTATATGATAAAGAGGTTATCACGCTTGTGTGTTTGGGGATGGTAAATATCCTGTATTAGGAATAAACACTATGTATTTAGCTCGCCAAGGCTCGCTAAATACAATGTTTATTCCTAATGCAGGATATTTACCATACCCAAACACACTCGCGTGATAACCTCTATTTATACTACCCAGCTCATATCCCTGTACACAAAGTTCTCATTACTTATACTACCCAGCTCATATCCCTGTACACAAAGTTCTCATTACTTATACTACCCAGCCCATATCCCTGTACACAAAGTTCTCATCACTTATACTACCCAGCTCACATCCCTGCACACAAAGTTCTCATCACTTATACTACCCAGCTCATATCCCTGCACACAAAGTTCTCATCACTTATACTACCCAGCTCATATCCCTGCACACAAAGTTCTCATCACTTATACTACCCAGCTCTTATCCCTGTACACAAAGTTCTCATCACTTATACTACCCAGCTCATATCCCTGCACACAAAGTTCTCATCACTTATACTACCCAGCTCATATCCCTGCACACAAATGTCTCATTCCTTATACTACCCAGCTCATATCCCTGCACACAAAGTTCTCATTACTTATACTACCCAGCTCATATCCCTGCACACAAAGTTCTCATTACTTATACTACCCAGCTCATATCCCTGCACACAAAGTTCTCATTACTTATACTACCCAGCTCATATCCCTGCACACAAAGTTCTCATTACTTATACTACCCAGCTCATTGGACCTGCACACACAGAATTCCTAGTTTTGTTTGTTTGTTGTTTAGCGCCGCACTCAGCAATATTCCAGCTATATGACAGCGGTCTGTAAAATAATCGAGTCTGGACCAAACAATCCAGTGATTAACATCATGGGCATCGATCCACACAATTGGGATCGATGACATGCATCAACCAAGTCAGCGAGCCTGACCACCTGATCCCTTTAGTCGCCTTTTACGACAAGCATAGTCACCTTTTACGGCAAGTATGGGTTGCTGAAGACCTATTATACCCCGGAATCTTCACGGGTCTAGAATTCCTAGTGACAAGAGTTAGACATAAATCCTGGAATCCTCATGTTTTCCACTGTAGCATCTGAATCCCACCTTCACGTTTTAAATATAAGTGATATCACAACCCCTCGATTTGCTTATAATTTCAAACACTTAAAGTCAAACGCTGAATTCTAATTAATGGCTTCAGAATCTTACACACCTGAAAACAACACAGACATATATGTTTTACTTACAAGTGCTTATTATCTTTGGGCAGCACAGACTTAAAAGTCAAGCATGATGTAAACGGAGTCAAGTACAAACAGAATCACGGGTTCACTGACTAATTGCACTCACATCTTCAGCATCGGGGTCCTGTCCAAAGTCTTTGGGAAGCTCGCCTCCGACAGCCTCATCAAAGAGTTCAATGAAATACTGCAGGGTAAACTGGTACTCCTTATGGACACTGGGCAGACTCTGTAGGACCGAGAACATCATGGCTGCCCGCCGAGCAAGAGGGAATAGCTCATCCTTCAACAGCTCCAGGTCGTCCAGGAGACTCTGTGTGTCAGCCAGTTTCCTTGCAAGCTGAAACCCCATCAAGTATGTGAGTTGATTTTAATTCTGTTTGGAGCAATATTTTATTGATATCAGTAGTATCAGATTAAAGTTGGAGAAAATTAAGATGCTGAGAGAAGTAAAGCTTCGGTCAGATACATTTACCACTTGGTGAAGCCCAGAAGCAATGGTATGGTTCTGATAAACCAAGAATTATTATCATTATGCTCAAGAAAAAGAGGGTGGGGATCTTACCCTGTACATACCCCATCTGGAGACATATTGAACCACAAATACATACCATATTCGACGTAATAAGCCCCCATGCCAATATTTTTTAACATATTGGCTAGTGAACAATCCCAATTATCACCCCTTCCAATTGATCAGTGTACACAAGACTTATTTATTTATGCATAATACACACTCGTGTGTTATATGCACCATTAATTATGGGCATTGAAATTCTGGGCAATATATCTGTCATGTATACACAGACTTTTCTTTTGTATCATATTAAGGCTGTCAGTATAAATCACAATATCAATGATCTTTCAACTCCGCTTTTTTTTCTATCCAAAACTATATTCTAATAAGAGCCCCCTTGTTTTTATTTTGAGAGCGCCCTGGGCGCTTATTACGTCGTATACAGTAAATGTGCAGTATGCTCAAGAGTGAGTGTGTGAGTATGGTTTTACTCCGCTTTTAGCAATATTCCAGCTATATCACGGCGGGGGACACCAGAAATGTGCTTTACACATTGTACCCATGTCGGGAATCGAACCCGGGTCTTCGGCATGACGAGCGAACGCTTTAACCACTAGGCTACCCGACCGCCCCAATATGCTCAAGAAGCTCAAGGAAAAGGTAAAGGGGAGGGCACATCACCCTGTACATATACCCACTCCAGACTCCTATTAAACTGATGCCTACCTTCATCTTGGCTTCAGTGAGGTCGGTGATGAACTGCAGAGCCTTGGGACTGCTGATCATGGCCTCTTGCCCCCCAGCCAGCACCCGATCCTTCACCGTCTCCGACAGCCGGTACAGCGTGTCCTTCATCAACTGTAGGTTCCGCAAGGCAATCACTCGCTCCCTGTACAGCTCAGGCCGGATACGAGCGAAGGCTCTCATAAGTAGATCCTCGATTAGTGTGTCGTGGGAGACGCCAAAATTGAGGAGGCAGGTGGTGGAAGCGATGTCGGGGTCAAACTTGGGTTTGGGGAGAGGTGTGGACAGGTAGAAGCGGAAGTTCTGGTGGCACAATATGCGTCTCCCACAGAACATGATCATGCGAGGTTCTGCAATAAGCATACAAGATCTCATTTGAGTGCACTGGATTTCTTCACATTGCAGTCCACATATGTTTGAGTCTCTCGTCTGAATCTGTGTTAGGGCGTCATGTAAGTCAGTGTGCAAAATGGCTGTCTGTCGGCTAGCCCGTGGTTAGGAACATTTCAGTCGGGCAAAAGAATCTTAATTGACCCTAGCCCCACTGGCTACTGGAATTTTAAGTGTTTTTTAAAGCACCATTTCCCTTTTATGTAGAATTACGAATATTAAAAATCAAAATGATATCCGTAAACGGATCAAGGTTGCCTGGTTATGAGCTCATAGTTACCCCCAACTTTATAATTTTTGACTCATGATTTGCAAATTGCATTGACTTTATTGAAGCCTTTGCAGAACAAAATATCTGGAAAAAAGTAAGCTGTTGTATATTTAAGCTAATGGAATTTAACACTGGCTAGTAACTGTTAAGGGTAACTAGCCAAGCCGGCAAAATTTAAAGACAGACTGATTTAAGTAGAGTTTGGTTATATAGTGGAATAATATCAGCTGAGTTTATGACACTTAAACCAATTTTACTAGAATTGGAAATCAGACAAGTTGTCCCATGCATCATTATCAGCAACATTTCAAAAATATCCATTTTTTTCAAGGTTTCTGCTATGGAATGATAAAACATCGATAATGTTTAATAACATTGATCAATCCCTGTTACTGGTCTGTATATTTAGTGCAGTCTACGGTCACAGACTGCTGGGACATATTCTCCTTATCTGGTAGTTTCACATAATATCATATTTGACTCAAATCCATGATGGGATTGAATATATGTGCCATATTTCTTATCTATGATATTATTATCGCATTTTCACTTGAAGAATAAAGAAGAATTTTGGTACGGTATCAATATCACCAACTTAATACTTAATGCCTCGGGAATGCAGCTCCGTAGATCCACCCTGGTGTAAGCTGCTAAAATCTACCCCTATTCAGAGTATACCCAGGTAGATTCTGGGAGCTCCTAGAATCTACCCCGGGGAAGATCCTGGAAGGCCCCAGAATCTACCCAGGTATACTTTGAAGGGGGGGGTGGTATACTTTCAGACTTTACACCGGACCCTCTAGGAAGATAGGCTCTGGATATTTGAATGACCTTACATGAGTTCACCAGCTCTGTCCCTCCTGGAAGTAAGACTATGGGTACTTATTGAAGTGAGTTGAGCGATTCTGTCCCTGTACTACACACCTTCGTCGTTGTTGTTCTCCCTGGCAGTGTTCCGGTGGTGTACGAGAGGCGTGATGATGTTGTCTATGTGCTCCTCACAGTTCCTCAGAAGGACAGGCTTGCCCCGCGTGATGGCCTTCTCCAGGGTGAGGATAACCTGGGGATCTGTCCTATAGTCAAGCACAACTCTGTCAGTGGGTGCAAACATGTAGAAGAAGAAACAGCATATTTGTGTACAAATACATGGCTTTTAGGCTAAAAAAGAAAATCGTGGTTCTCAGGCACGCCTGCTTCATCACAAAGTCTGTCGCACGTTTTGTTTTTATTTCCTTTTTTTTTTAAAAAACTAAAAATTCTTAAATATTCCAAATCCAACAGTAGTCAAATACTGTATTCCACTATTTTGCTCATCAAGGAACACATTGATGTAGGGAGGCCCTGTCCCAGGTTGATTGTACACAACTTTTTATTTGGTCACACAACTGTTTATTTGGTTACATACTAGTTTGAACAACAACAACAACAAAAAAAGACACCCCCCCGCTCTATATTTTAAAAAAAACATTGCCTGAGAACCAATTCTTTTATTTTATTAAGCCTTACAGAATTACAGTTTCAACCTTTCAGGCCCTTTCAAGGCCCCTTCTAGAAAGTCAAGGTCATACAAATGAACCAGTGTAGGCTTTCTCAAGGCACATAATCTATTTCCAACGTCCTTTTCAAACCCTTAACCCTTTACAAGACAAACATAAACAAATCAAGTCAAGTTGAAATTTTTAGTAACATGTTAAATGAAAATGTTCAAATGTTCAAATGTCCAAATGTTCTTTGATAACACATATAAACAGACGAATCATATCATAAAAAAGAGGAAAAAGAAATCATTATTACAACACTGTTCTTTTATAGTACGAGGGGCGTTCAATAAGTTTTGCAACTTCAATATAAGACCAAGTCGTAGAATATCTTTGGCACTTTTATTTTTCAATATAATCTCCATTCATCTCAATACACTTATTCCATTTGTCCTTCAAGCTTTTAATACCACTTTTATAGAAATCTGTAGATTGGCCCTCTAACCACGCCTCTGTGGCAGCCTTTATGTCCTCGTCATCAGTTAAATCACCCACCCTACAGCCCAGACTTAGCCCCCAGTGACTATTTCCTGTTCCCGCAAATGAAGTCTGCCCTACGTGGAAGACGCTTCCAGGATGACGAGGACATAAAGGCTGCCACAGAGGCGTGGTTAGAGGGCCAATCTGGGGATTTCTTTTAAAGTGGTATTAAAAGCTTGAAGGACAAATGGAATAAGTGTATTGAGATGAATGGAGATTATATTGAAAAATAAAAGTGCAAAAGATATTCTGCGGTCTTATATTGAAGTTGCAAAACTTATTGAACGCCCCTCGTATCTATATTATAATAATATGAGTTTGCTCACATTCACAGAGCTGATCATGCAACGATACACCTGAAAACTGCTCACCACCACCTGGTTATCATGAGTGTGGGGAAACTACACGATTACACGATAAATGGTTCACGAGTAACAAGGGGCACCTGTCAAAGTTAGTGCCAGGATCAGCACAACATACATGTGAAGCTTGAAGAGAAAATCACAGTCATGAAAGTTTCAGTGGTTTAGTATACCCTTTGTGTTCAATAGTATTCACCTGTCCAAATCTCCTTGTATGACTCACTAAAATATATCTTTAGTTTAAGGCAAGAACATTTAAATGACTTCATCGTGTTATAAAAAAATTATCTAAAAATTACCTGAGGCAGAAAATATTTTTCTAAAACAATTACTAGTATATATCTAAAGAGTACTACACTTATTGATATTACTGCATTGTGCCTATAGCCCACCTTTTTCAAGTTAATGGTGTATTTTTTAAAAAAAACCATCAACTTTCCATTGCTGCAGAGAGTGGGAAAGGAGTAACCAAATTAGTCAAAGCTGTCAAAGTAACTATGTAACTCTGTACACTAAAACCAATCTAGACCCCCGCTGTCTTAACACATTTAACGTTGTGACAGTGATCTAAAAATAGACAGTGAAAATTTTGAGTTTCTATTTTATGCAAGTTAAATATTTATTTGGAAAAGTATATTGCAAATAGTCAGTCTGAATTTTGATTTCCTAAGCAAATTTATTGCATCACTTGGGACTTGTATGATATCTTTTGTAAGTACTTCACAAAATTATTGAGAAAAATACGCAGGAATTACGGGCCAGATAAAACCCTGAGTAAGGCTACTACTGAAAGGTTGGGGATACAATCATTCAGGAGGGATTGGGGTGAATAAACACTGATGGGGCAGGTCGATAAACAAATCATTAAATTGGTCTTGCCAGTGTATAAGTGCATTCATCCGTGTATCAGTATATCAAGGACGGTCTGAAAACCCTTGTTATATTGCTAGATAATTGTCACACAGACAACAGGTGAAACCAAGGTGGTGGTCAGCTAGTTTTGTGGTGTTTGTTTGTTTTGTGGTGTTTGTTTGTTGATTGACGCTGCACTCAGCAATATTCCAGCTATATGAAATAATCGAGTCAGAACCTGACAGTCCAGTGACTGACAACATGAGCATCGATCCACGCAATTGGAATACGATGACATGCATCAACCAAGTCATTCCCGTTAGTCGCCTCTTAGGACAAGCATATTCGCCTCTTACAGCAAGCATGGGTTGTTGAAGACCTATTCTACCCCGGATCTTCACGGGGTGTGGTGTGGTGTGGTGTGGTGTGGTGTGGTGTGGTGTGGTGTACCTACCATCTATACCCAGTGCAGGGGAGGCAGCAACACGGTGGTCGGGAGGAGATAAAGAAAACATGCTGTTAGTACACACACTGACACTCACCTACACCAGGTTAAACATTGGACTGATGATAAACACAGTGATGTGCACACAAGTATTTGTGAATGTATTTGTACAAGCTGGGGACAATCCCAACATTTTCAACATTTATTTCTCTGAACACCTTGTGGTATAGCTATAAACATTCTCAGAATTAGAATACAAAACGTCCAAGCCTGAGAATAACCAGTCTCTATTATCTGACCAAACAGATTTCACTGAGTGTGAAAGGCAATATTGCAGTGAAAATTGTATGAATGGGTCACTTAAAATCAGTGATGACACCAGGTGTTCGTCAAAAAGGTAAGTTATTCCTTAGTGTAGAAAATATTGAGATTTCTCTAAGAGTAATTCCTAAGTCTTGGAACATCTTAAGACCTAGTTATAAAGCCTCTTTAGACTTATATCCATTCATAGAGTGATCAAAAGACTGCTTAAGAATTTTCTTAACTCTACAAAATGGTTGCAGCTCGACAATGCAGCCATCACCTCAGACAGTTTAAGGATGGGGAAGATGTTCTAACTACCGTATTCAACGTAATAAGCGACCACTCTCAAAATTAGAAATAGGGGGCTCTTATTCGAATATTATTTTGGTCGAAAAAAGAGAGTTGAAAGATAAATTTCGTGGTTTATGCTGACAGCCTGAAATGTTTATATATATACAACAGACATATTGTTCAAGATTTTAATTGCCGATAATTAAGGGTCCATATAACACACAAGCGCATATTATACACGAATAAAAAAGTCTTGTGTACATGGATCAATCATTAGGGGTGCTAACTAGTATTGTTCACTAGCCAATATACCAGCAAATATCGTTGTGGGCGCTTATTAGAGCGAGGCGCTTATTACGTCAAATACGGTACATGAACTTGCTATTTTCTGTTAATGCAGCTTTCAATATTATCACCCGTGCACTTTGAAATCTTTGAAAATCTCTTTATGATTGAAATAAAGATTAAAAGCTGTGCGAAAACACTGACAACATTATCACCCGTGCACTTTGAAAACTTTGAAAATCTCTTAATGATTGAAATAAAGATTAAAAGCTGTGCGAAAACACCGACAAGGCACCAAACCCCCCCAACCATCATGCAGTGCTCAAGAATGTCAGACTTACCTTGTTTCCATGTCCAGCGAGATGAGTTTGTGTTTGTTCATCAGCTTGTTGAGTCTCCCCAGCCACAAGGAACCCTCCCCATTTGGGTCAATCATCATCGGTGGTCTCTGCCAGGAGGTGCTTAGCATTGCTGCATTCTCTACCTGCCGGGGCCCGAAGTCTGAACAAACAGAGTTGGTGCCATCAGTGGGATGTTTTTAACCGTTTTTTTAAATTTCATTTTCCCTTTTTTCAGATTCATGTCTTCATCTGGTACGGAGACGGTGTCAAATAAATAGACATAAATAGGGCAGAGAAGGAAACCCCAAACTCTATCCATACCATTGGCTATCCTTTTCCTATCATTCAGGTTAAGTACCCCTTTAGATCAACACCCTTTACCATTCTTAGGTTTGGGAATCCCCTTGCCAATGAAACAACCATTTAAAATCCTTAGGGTGAGTGAGTGAGTGAGTTGGATTTAACGCCGCTTTTAACAGTATTACAGTTATATCACGGCATGTCAGCTTAATGTGGGAGGAAAGCCCGAAGTGATGCAGGTCTCAGACGTTTACCACTTGGGTGAAACCCACGAGCACGGGTATGGTGCTGACAAACCAAGAAACATAATCGGGGCGAACCAGGATTTGAACCCACAATCATAGGTTTCTGGCATGCCCAAGGGACGCAACTCTGCACAGCGAATCGCGGCGCCTTAGACTGGGCCACCCGTGCCCCCTAAAAGCCTTAGGGTTAGTTGTGAGTTAGTGTATGGGTTAGCTATCTCATCTCCTTAATCAATCAATTAAGGTAATGTAATTATAGGAAAATTTGTACACTTTTTAACAAGTTTCGAGAAACAGGCTACCCCACATGAGCATGAAGGTAAACAATCAGATTGTAATCCCTTGGCAAACCAGCATTAATCATTTGTGGTAGCGCCTATGGTCCAATGGTAAAGTACTGGCTGAGTAGATTAATTCATTACCCAAGTTTAACTTCATGCTGACTATGCGTGTTTGATCCTCGCTAATTGAAATCAGAAAAACATAAACAGAAACGTAATCAGGGCGAACCGGGATTCGATCCCACAATCATAGGTTTCTGGCGTGCCCAAGAGACGCAACTCTGCACAGAGAATCGCTGCGCCTTAGAAGACTGGGCCACCTGTGCCCACTCAACTTTATAAGTAGTCACATACCAACTGAGAAATTTGTGGTAACGCCTATGGTCCAATGGTAAAGTACTGGCTGAGTAGATTAACTCATTACCCAAGTTTAACTTCATGCTGACTATACGTGTTTGATCCTTGCTAATTGAAATCAGAAAAAGTGTGCCCAGTAAAGTGCCAGTTCTCAGATTTCCTACCTTTCCTAATCCAGTCATTGAGAGTTGGTTCCCCGATCAGCAGTTTGATGAGGCTGCGCACATACTTGTTGTACTGCATCGTTGTGAGTACTGGGGCAGTACTGTCTGAGTACTGGCTGCCATACTCATCATCATCCTCTTCTGCTATTCTCTCCAGACCTCCAGCACCCAGCATGGGATCTCCTACATCAGCCAGGACATCACCTGGTGGCAGATACATAGCAGCATCTCATAGTCATCACTCCAGACATACCCACACAACTGAAATGAACTAACTAAAGAACGAGAGGTGAGGTGAGGTGAGGTGAGGTGAAACGTTCAAGATAACTACACTTATGCCAAGCACCAGGCAGGGTAACAACAAGTTCCATCTTTTAATATCTTTTTGAATAATTCTTGTTTGCTTGCTTGTTGTTTAACGCCGCACTCAGCGATATTCCAGCTATATGACGATGGTCTGTAAATAACCGAATCAGGACCAGACAAGCATAGTCGCCTTTTACGGCAAGCATGGGTTTCTGAAGACCAATTCTACCCCCGATCTTCACAGGTCTTGGAATAATTCATTTGAATGACATCGTTACATACTTGTTACATCTGCTGCTAAAAACAAGGTGTTTATGTTTATATTCAAGTTGGTATTTCCGCTATCCAACATGTGCAGTGAGGCAGTCTCATTGTTGATAGTCATTTTGGAGACATAAGTGTGAAGTTAATTAATGCAGGCAAACACCACTCTAATTCATGTTTGCGGTAATTTGAAGAGTTACAGAAATATGCCCCACAAGGCACAATGGCTTAAATCTACCAAGTCAACAAGTCTGACAACACTATCCAATTTAGTCACCATTTACAAGCAACAGAGTGCTGGGAATCTACTTTAACCAGGGACCCACTCTTAACCAGAGAACCTCTAAGCAGAGACCCACCCTAACCAGGGACCCACACTAACCAGGGACCCACTCTAACCAGAGAACCTCTAAGCAGAGACCCACTCTAACCAGAGACCCACTCTAACCAGGGACCCACTCTAACCGGGACCCACTCTAACCAGGGACCCACTCTAACCAGGGACCCACTCTAACCAGGGACCCACTCTAACCAGAGAACCTCTAAGCAGAGACCCACCCTAACCAGGGACCCACACTAACCAGGGACCCACTCTAACCAGAGAACCTCTAAGCAGAGACCCACCCTAACCAGGGACCCACACTAACCAGGGACCCACTCTAACCAGAGAACCTCTAAGCAGAGACCCACCCTAACCAGGGACCCACTCTAACCAGGGACCCACTCTTAACCAGAGAACCTCTAAGCAGAGACCCACCCTAACCAGGGACCCACTCTAACCAGGGACCCACTCTAACCAGAGAACCTCTAAGCAGAGACCCACCCTAACCAGGGACCCACTCTAACCAGGGACCCACTCTAACCAGAGAACCTCTAAGCAGAGACCCACTCTAACCAGAGACCCACCCTAACCAGGGACCCACTCTAACCAGGGACCCACTCTAACCAGAGAACCTCTAAGCAGAGACCCACCCTAACCAGGGACCCACACTAACCAGGGACCCACTCTAACCAGAGAACCTCTAAGCAGAGACCCACCCTAACCAGGGACCCACTCTAACCAGAGAACCTCTAAGCAGAGACCCACCCTAACCAGGGACCCACTCTAACCAGGGACTCAATCAATGGATCTGTTTCCACTGACAAAGAAATAGGACCAATGGGTTTTTTCCATATAATTTAGATAGAGACAACTTCAACAAACTTCGGAGAAGCCATATTTTAGACCATGACTGCAAATTTCAGGTTTCACTGCTCTTGTTACAAAGAAATATTTGAAAAGAAACATATCTCCATATTTGCAAGTGAGACAAGTCAATTTCCATTTGCACAAAATGCAAGGGTAATGCAAGATGGTAGTACCTGTGTCAGCCTCTCCACTTGTCTTGGTCCTCTCATCCAGTGTTCTGTCTTTCTGGTCTGATGGTTTTGCTGTTGATTTGGGGGTCCCTGGTGCCTTGGGTGTGGCAGGGGGGGATTCTCCGCCCTCTCCCAGCTCCTCGGCCTTGGATACCTCTTGTTCTCTTTCTTCCTTCTTCTTCCCTCCTGCATCTTCCTCTCCCTCCTCACAACATACATCACACATAACCATTTCATGCAAACCTTTCATAACTGCCAAATCTGTAGTCTGATTAATACACACAGCCATTTCTTTTGCAATAAACACACTGCCTAATAAAGTATGCAATCAGTGTGAGAACAGACCAACACAATCAGGGTCAGATGACACACCAACACAGCCAGCTTCTTGCTGGCTCCAACTTAGCACACCCAACAATCACATCCCCATATTAGTACAAGTATGTGTCCCTATGGAAGAACTAGGACAGCATGGTATTACTGGTATACTACAATACGCTTTTGAAACGATACATGTTGCAATTCTTTTCTGTGTTTCGGTAAGGTGTTTGGGTAAGAATATATATCAAATTTCGTCATTATTTGTACCATGGAACCTAATCATTCATGAATGATGTTTTCCTTTGAAACTGATCCAAATGGTGGAAACACAGGTGATTTTTTTTTCATTTTATCCTCATTAACATCCAGGGCCCGGTTCCTCAAAGCGATCTTAGCGCTGTGATGATCGTAAGCCTGTGCTAAAGTATGGGACTTACAATCACCTTAGCACTAAGATCGCTTTGAGGAACAGGACCCAGAGCTGTTGGGGTACGATGACATCCTTTAAACTAAGTCACAGAGCCTGACCACCAGACCCAGTTTAATCCCTTCTTACAACACATAACAGAGCTTGAGGGACCTATTCCAAGCCAGCTCCCCAGACACAAACCCTACCTTCTCCCTGTCGTCGATGTCGTCAGGAATGTCCTGCTCCCCTTGTATGACGGACATGTAGTCGGCCTCGTAGATGGAGCTGGCGCCAGAGGCTGTCTTCAGGAAGTTGATGGACCAATCTATGACCCGGCCTGAAGATCAGAGTGAAAGAGGTCTACAGCCTGCACTAGGTGGTCCTGCACATAAATCTCTACCTACGTCGTGCAGGGCTGCAAAGCACTGATACACACTCTAACAGTTCAAGAATCAATCTATGATAAATCCTTGAGTCTGGTAGCCTGAACATGGGTTTTAGGCATCAATGTCAGCAGATTGAATATGGGTAGGAATTAGATAAAAACATTTTGGGAGTCACAATGAAGATTTGTTGAACAGGGTTTCATAATGAATGACTGTATGTATTTTAGATTATTTTCAAACATAATAATGAAATAGAAGAAGAATGATACAGAAGAATGACCTGCAATGTGTTAAAATCAGTAAATATTCAAGAACGTCCTTATGCTGTTGGTTTCAGACAGGGGACTACCCACATAGAAGCAAATCAAGGCTGAGAATTGGGTCCTGTTGTAATTCTCTCAATGACCATAAGACAAGACCATAATCACTTTCAGCCCAGTACTGATTAATCATTCGATTTCCAAAATGGAGGAGGGCTATAGCTTATTCATTTCAAAAAACAACACATTTATTTTGGCACACAATTAGTCATAAGCGTGTGAGTCTGATATTCAAGTCACAGTTGAGATGAAGCTGAAGGTTTAGAAGGGGGTGTGATAATCTAACAATCATATTTTGGATTACCGGGTAGTCTTATGAAGTTAAGTACAGTTTCAAAGTAAGTTTTTACTTCTAATTAGAACAGAAAATTTATGTGTACTACTTATTACAGATAACAAATATTGGTATACTTTTGTATGTATCACTTGTCAAATCACTTGGCCATACCTCTGAGTCCATCAATGGAATCAATGACAAGAGGGACACCCCTCTCCCTCAGACAGTTGGGCCAGTGGACGGTCAGCATCACACGCCGAAAGTTGTGGTGGTAGGGACCGAGGTACGTGGCAAAGGCTGCCGACATCCCACAGCCACCCGGAATGGCCACCAGGCGGCGCTTGTGTGAGTCATAGATCTGCTGACCTCGCTGTCTCTCGCCTTTCAGGATCTATAAAACGCAGACAGCCAAATAAAATGTCTGTGGAAACTGAATACATAACGCATGTATGTAGAATAGTGATGGCAAAAGATTGGAAATTTGTTGGTTGTTGTTTAATGCCGCACTCAGCTATACTTCAGCTGTATGACGGCGGTCTGTACATAATCGAGGCTGGACCAGACAATCAAGTGATTGACATCAAGAGTATTGATCTACACAATTGGGATACGATGACATGCATCAACCAAATCAGCGAGCCTGACCACATGATCCCATCAGTCGCCTCTTACGACAAGCATAGTCACTTTTTACAACAAGCTGAAGACCTATTCCTCCCAGGATCTTCACGGGTCAGTGATTGAAAGAGAAAAGTTGTGTGCATTATCTCGTAGTAAGTCATATGATATATTGTTTTATAACAATTTAAAACTCCAAGTTTTCACTACAAGTCGCTAATGTCACTTTTCTTTCTGACTATGCACTCATTCCTTCTGACTTGTGAAGATAAAGCTTCAGTCAACTTCAGTGTACGCATGACCAGATTGTGTCGTATGTGTATCTAAGTAGTTTTTGCTAGGGAGCTGGTAAAACCCTTTCCAACTGGACATATTTCACCCACTCTTGAAAACCTACAGCGGGTTTTCAGTAGAATCGGGTAAAAGAGGGTCGGGACCCTGGGTAGTAAATTTGGACATATATACTGAACACTGACCTTCCTGAGCTGTGCAGCTGTGTCCAGCATCTTCTTCATCTTCACCGTCTTCTCCTCCTGCTCATTCTTGTCAATGGTGGCCTCCTCAAACCCTCGTGCCAGATCTGCCAGACGAATCTCTAGAGCCTGCAGCATCACATATCAGTTGTAAGGATATTTTATACAGATGATGAGAGTCTGCAGATGTCTAAGTTTAACTTGTTGTGTATCGGTGCTCTCTGATGATGGAGTCTATGTCTATATGAGTGAGTGAGTGAGTGAGTTGGGTTCAACGCCGCTTTTAACAGTATTCCAGTTATATCGCGGCGTGTCAGCTTAATGTGGGAGGAAAGCCCGAAGTGATGCAGGTCTCAGACGTTTACCACTTCGGTGAAACCCACGAGCACGGGTATGGTGCTGACAAACCTAGAAACATAATCGGGGCGAACCAGGATTTGAACCCACAATCATAGGTTTCTGGCGTACCCAAGGGACGCAACTCTGCACAGCGAATCGCTATGTCTATATGAAGTGATGCAACTGAAAGGACTTAGCTTATCAAGATACAAATGAGTTCATTCCAAGTTTTAAGACATTTAAGCTCTATGACGGCATCATGTAAATAAGAATCTGGACCGGACAATCCAGTTATTGATAATGTTAGCAACAATCCGTGCCGTTGAGTATAATGATACAAAATCAGGCAAATCACTGAGCGTGTGTGGTCAGCTTCTTTACACAAATTGAGGAAGCTGTAATGACTGTTGCCAACCGTGTGCGACAGCATCTTTCTTCTTGGTAACCTTATCAAATAATCTTATATTTACAAGCGAAACACTGTTCAAAGTACAGTAACAGCAGTCATGAATACATACTCTGCTCATTTCCATTCAAAGGATTGCAGTAACTTGTGCAACAACACTTTGAACGATAAATCTTTGTCATTGACGAGTGAGCTTTTAGCAATATTCCAGCAATATCAAGGCAGGGACACTAGAAATGGGCTTCACACATTGTACCCATGTTGGGAATCGAACCCGAGTCTTCGGCGTGACGAGCTAACGCTTTAACCACTGGGCTACCCTACCGCCCCTCATTGACGAAGACAGGGCTACATGCATTATCTTATTCAACGTAATAAGCTCCCAGGGCGTTCTCAAAATTAAAAAATGGGGGGCTCTTATTAGAATATAATTTTGGTGAAAGAGTTGAAAGATAATAAATTTTGTGGTTTATGCTGACAGGCTGAAGTGAAAAGTCTGTGCATGTTATACACGACAGAAATATTTTTCCAGAATTTAATTGCCAGTAATTAAGGGTGTATATAACACACAAGTCTGTATTATACACGAATAAATATGGCTTGTGTACTTTGATATATTGGAAGGGTGCTAATTAGAATTGTTCACTAGCCAATATATTAGCAAATATCGCCATGGGTGCTTATTACGTCGATTACGGTAATTTCATTACACATTTTAGGTCAGGGGTCGACACTCGCATCAAATTTCATGATTTACTGTATCAGGGAGGGCACCGTGTCAGGGACAGGTGTCTCATGAGAAACAAGATATTTATTTGAACAAGCTTGATGAACAGGACCCACCTTTCTCTTACTCTCCAGTGTATTCATCTTGTGTTCTGCACTGTCCACAGCCTGTGTGGTCTCATCAACCTTAGCATGGAGCGGCTTCACCTTGGACAGCATCATGCGGTGATATCTGGAGTCAAGATACACAAATACATATGTCAGTAACATCGCTCAGCTTTCAGGTATCTTGTTCACACCCTATTTCCACGAGATGTTTCACAATATCATTTTTAATGCTCGGTATATTGGGTGATTACAAATAGCGATTTTTATGTTTGCCAAATACCTTTGAAACAGTTCCGTAAATCCAAAATGCAAGTTGCATTCTGGAGTTTGTCTGGGGCAGTGATGTAATGCCAAGTCATCACATTGGCTCTCTCATGATAATGTCTCTCTTATGACAATGGCTCTCTCATGATAATGTCTCTCTTATGACAGTGGCTTTCTCATGATAATGTCTCTCTTATGACAGTGGCTCTCTCATGACAGTGGCTCTCTCATGATAATGTATCTCTTATGACAGTGGCTCTCTCATGATAATGTATCTCTTATGACAGTGGCTCTCTCATGATAATGTATCTCTTATGACAGTGGCTCTCTTATGACAGTGGCTCTCTCATGATAATGTATCTCTTATGACAGTGGCTCTCTCATGATAATGTATCTCTTATGACAGTGGCTCTCTTATGACAGTGGCTCTCTCATGATAATGTATCTCTTATGACAGTGGCTCTCTCATGATAATGTATCTCTTATGACAGTGGCTCTCTCATGATAATGTATCTCTTATGACAGTGGCTCTCTTATGACAGTGGCTCTCTCATGATAATGTATCTCTTATGACAGTGGCTCTCTCATGATAATGTATCTCTTATGACAGTGGCTCTCTCATGATAATGTATCTCTTATGACAGTGGTTCTCTTATGACAGTGGCTCTCTCATGATAATGTTTCTCTTATGACAGTGGCTCTCTTATGACAGTGGCTCTCTCATGATAATGTATCTCTTATGACAGTGGTTCTCTTATGACAGTGGCTCTCTCATGATAATGTATCTCTTATGACAGTGGCTCTCTCATGATAATGTCTCTCTCATGACAGTGGCTCTCTTATGACAGTGGCTCTCTCATGATAATGTATCTCTTATGACAGTGGTTCTCTTATGACAGTTGCTCTCTTATGACAGTGGCTCTCTTATGACAGTGGCTCTCTTATGAAAGTAGGTTTCTTATGATAATGTATCTCTTATGATAGTGGTTCTCTAATGACAGTACTTCTCTTATGAAAGTAGGTTTCTTATGATAGTGGCTCTCTCATGATAATGTATCTCTTATGACAGTGGTTCTCTTATGACAGTTGCTCTCTTATGACAGTGGCTCTCTTATGACAGTGGCTCTCTTATGAAAGTAGGTTTCTTATGATAATGTATCTCTTATGATAGTGGTTCTCTAATGACAGTACTTCTCTTATGAAAGTAGGTTTCTTATGATAGTGGCTCTCTCATGATAATGTATCTCTTATGACAGTGGCTCTCTTATGACAGTGGCTCTCTCATGATAATGTATCTCTTATGACAGTGGCTCTCTCATGATAATGTATCTCTTATGACAGTGGCTCTCTCATGATAATGTATCTCTTATGACAGTGGCTCTCTTATGACAGTGGCTCTCTCATGATAATGTATCTCTTATGACAGTGGCTCTCTCATGATAATGTATCTCTTATGACAGTGGCTCTCTCATGATAATGTATCTCTTATGACAGTGGTTCTCTTATGACAGTGGCTCTCTCATGATAATGTCTCTCTTATGACAGTGGCTCTCTTATGACAGTGGCTCTCTCATGATAATGTATCTCTTATGACAGTGGTTCTCTTATGACAGTGGCTCTCTCATGATAATGTATCTCTTATGACAGTGGCTCTCTCATGATAATGTCTCTCTCATGACAGTGGCTCTCTTATGACAGTGGCTCTCTCATGATAATGTATCTCTTATGACAGTGGTTCTCTTATGACAGTTGCTCTCTTATGACAGTGGCTCTCTTATGACAGTGGCTCTCTTATGAAAGTAGGTTTCTTATGATAATGTATCTCTTATGATAGTGGTTCTCTAATGACAGTACTTCTCTTATGAAAGTAGGTTTCTTATGATAGTGGCTCTCTCAAGATAATGTCTCTCTTATGATAGTGGCTCTCTTATGAAAGTAGGTTTCTTATGACTTTGGCTCTCTTATGAAAGTAGGTTTCTTATGATAGTGGCTCTCTCATGATAATGTCTCTCTTATGATGGTGGCTCTCTTATGATGGTGGCTCTCTTATGACTGTGACACAGTTATGGTAGTAGCCTTCCAATGACAGTGGTTCCCTTATAATAGTGGCTCTCTTGTGATAGTATCTCTCTTATGACAGCGGATCTCTGATGATAGTGTCTCTCTAATGACAGTAGCTCTCTTATGAAAGTGACCATCTTACAAAAGCAGACTTACTTGACAACTCCACGAACCCATTTACAGAGAGATCCACAGGCTGAGTTGGCTGCCTTCCTCTCCAGGTTGTCCGGGTCAAATGATGCTTTCTTCAGGTAGGGCTCCACAAGACACAGCGTCGCCTCTGGCAGCTGGGTGTCATCAAATGACATCAACTCCTCAATGAACCTGTCACCAGAAGAACGCCAGTCAATGTTTGGAAGGTGTAGTCGACAAGCCTACTAATCTCAGACTATTGGGCTTGTGTTAACATTGAACCTGCATTGAAGAGTGTCTATGTATGGAGGCCTGATGCTGCTGGCTCCTGGCACTACCTCTAGTTGCTGGGACCTACCTCTCTAAGTTGGCCATCTGCCTCTTTGCTCCTTTCTGCCAGGTCAAGTCAGCCGATGGGGACTTCACTGTACACACAAAGGAGAATTGTACAACAGACTGCACCATTTTATCAAGTACACTTTTAATTTTTCAAGTAACTTTTGTTTCTGACTGTAGAAATTATCAGGAACCATCCTATGAGTGTAACTGCACATTCTTCACAAATAATAATAACATACTCAAAAAAAAATTGGAGTAGTAATAACATTCAGTACAAAAGCTCTAACTTCAAAATTCAAGTACTATTGTCAGCCTGTATGACTAGTGTAAGATAACCTGGTGACAAGCTGGTAAAAATCTGGTAACAAGCTGGTGACAAACTGGTGACAAGCTGGTAACAAGCTGGTGACAAGATTGTAACAAGCTGGTATCATACTGGTGACAAGCTGGTGACAAACTGGTGACAAGCTGGTAACAAGCTGGTAACAAGCTGGTGACAAGATTGTAACAAGCTGGTATCATGCTGGTGACAAGCTGGTGACAAGCTGGTGACAAACTAGTAACAAGCTGGTGACCAGTACTTACAGATCATGATGATGGTAGCCATGAGGTCCTCGATGTCGATGATGGGTTTGGACATGGCTCGGAGTTCCGCCAGCTTTTCAATGTTCATGTTCTGCACTACCTTCTTGGTGTCAGCCACTATTGCTATAGCCTTGTATACAGCTCTCTCATGGGCCACTTGGTACTCGGGCAGCAGCTGAAACACAGGCACAAAAACACATCTACATGGGAGGAGTCCATCATTTCAACTAAATCATTGTAAAACAATTCATGCAAATTTTCAACCAAAGCACACTAATTAAGAACAGTTTGTTTTAAAAAGCAATGTTCCAACCAAAGCATGGTATCAAAGAACAGTCAGTGCTCATAAGCAATTTTCCAACCAAAGTACAGTATTGAAGAACAGTTCTTGTTTTATCCCTTTAATGCTGAAAACACAGCATCTTTCACGTCTTTGGGTATGAAACCTTTGACCTTTCGCTCTCTGGTTTGACACTATACCCACAACACGACGAAGGTGGTTTAATAATGTTGTCAGGTATAGCAATGCAAGCTGCAACAACCGTAACAGGTTTTTAATAACCACATTTCTTCTGCCTCTTTGGAGGATGAGATTAATTATTTGATACCCTCATGTTACAACATTTGAAACTTCAGGTTCACACAGACGTTTTAAATGAAATATCCAGGCATAAATTACTCAGTTTTTGGCAAATGTTGAAAACGTAATGTTTATCTCGTATATTGCTGTCTTTCTGGTACCCACTTTCTTCAGCTTGTGTATCTTCTCCAGCTGGTTCTTCACCACCTTGATCTGCTGCTCTGTAATGGCCGTGTCCTGTCCGATCTGGGACAAGATCTTGATGGTGCCCTGTAAACAGATGTGAATAGTCTTTTTGTTGAAAATGATCTTAAAATTTTCAAAACCTGGAAAATACTCAGTTTTGTCAATCCAATGGTTTATCTTTCCAACATATTTTTTTAATAAAATAGACTGGAAATAAATTAAAAAACACAACCAAGAAAGCTAATGTCCTATTGAAATGTCTTTGTTATCTGTCAACATTTTGTGCAAACAGATATTATTGACAGAACAGAGAAATTGATAAATTCTGCAATTCTTCAGCAAAAATAGCAAAATCACTGACAAGGAGGAATTCTTGAATCATCCCCAAGATCAATAAATCTGATAACACTTTGTACAAGTTTTCTTATGATGCCACAGCAGATTCATTGAGAGATATATTATGACACCAGTTAGACTCTCTCTGCCGTTATAAAAGTAGCATTGAAGCCAACTCACGCATTATCCCACAGTATTTGAAATTAAGCACATAAATCAAGACATCTCTGACCCAGCCCTACTGCTAATAGTTAAATATTCGGCGTGTCCTTACCAACAAATACCATAACAGCAAATCACAAGGACCCATACACCCCACTTGTTTTCAAACAGTGGACACTATTGTTTCAATGGTTAATCTGCTTTCTCTACCCCTGTGTCAACTCACAGCCTTGCGTTCAGTGAGCACCACCATCTCATGTTCTAGCTGCTTCTTCAACTTGATGGCCACTTCGTTCTCCCGCCGGATCTGCTGCAGCGTCTTGGTCACGGCCATCTGGACTTCATTCACATCACTGTGTCGGCTGCACGTCAGCGAGATGAACCTGCAGCACATCATGTGCAATGGAAGTAGTCTTCTAGAGTCTGCATCTTTATACAAAACGGCCCCAAGTCTGGGCGCACATGCATTATACCCACAACCTACAGGCCCATAGGAGCATTTCTTAGAGTGGGGGGCTGAAACATACACTTTCATAGCTTTTCGGGTGGGTGGGTGGGTTGATGGGATTGAGGTAAATTCCACTTGTAAAAGTTTGTTGATAAAAGAATTTGGTGGGAAAAAGTACCCCCAACCCCCCAACCCTGTTCCTATGGGTCTGACCTATCACATTCCCCAGCTTCACACACTCGGGTTAACTCAGTTCAATAGGACCTCAGCAGGAATCAATACAGGAAGAATCTGGTAGCAGCTGTAAACTATCAATGATTAAATGGTTTCTGTTTGCTTCTGTCTTCAAATCAAAGTGAAGCGAGGTTCTGACAGTGTTAAGAACAGATTAAGTGGTCACCGTAATATACAAACAAACCACATATGTCAGAATCTGGTGTTACAAGAACAACAGTATATTCATGCAAGCCCCTGCTTCATTGCTGCCCAAGGTATAAACTTCCATGCAAGATTCGTGAATCCAGTGTTGGAGTAAAGTAAAAGTTACCTTGAGTACATATCTGTAGTAGTGGATCCTATACAATACAACCTCTTCAGTGTTAGTAAGGAAAATCTCACACACATCTTTCTAGTACAAAACTAATTCATGAAAGAAATATCCACTGTGGAGGGTGCTTTGTTGAATAATGCTTGCACACAGAAAGGCTTGGACGCTAAAAATGTTTGTAGCTACACAATGCAGGGTTAGAACTAAACTCAATGGCTTTACTAGCCCAGGTAAATATAAAATGCCCGTGTAGTGTTGGGGAAATAGGGAAATTGATAGATTTTTACTAGCCTCAGGCTAGCAGGCTAGTGTCAAGTTCTGACTCTGCAATGTATCCTGTGACATACCTCTCCACAAACTTTTCATACGAGGTGTTGGTGATGTGTGAGTACTCCCCCGAGTCCCGCTCCTGTCCGTCCTGCTGCCGCAGCACCAGATGCATGGAAGCCAGCATGTGGGCGATGTTCTCACGCTGGACATCCGACATCCACGCAACACCTACACATACAAATTTGGCTGCTTACCAGCAAAACAACTGACATATTTTGTTGTTGGTTGGTTGGTTTGTTGTTCAATGCACTCAGCAATATTCCAGCTTTATGACTGCGGTCTGTAAATAATCGAGTCTGGACCAGACAATCCAGTGATTGATATCATGAGCATCGATCCACACAATTGAGATCGATGACATGCTTCAAACCAAGTCAGCGAGCCTGACCACTGATCCCGTTAGTCACCTCTTACGACAAGCATAGTTGCCTCTTATGGCAAGAATGGGTTGCTGAAGACCTATTCTACCCCGGATCTTCACGGGTCTGGCATATTTGATAAGACGAGGTAACTTTATTTTCTGGTTTTACTTATGAATCTCTACTTTCAATGTAGCAACAGAAAGCAAATATTATTGAATCAGTTTGGCAAAAACTACCTGCTAGGTGATAGAAGGCGTGTTCCACTAGCTGGGACTTGCTCCAGTGAGGGAACCAGATGAGGTTCATGTTCTTGGTGAACGCTGGGTACTCGCGACACCGGTGCTGGAACTTCTGCCCACCGCGACCCGCGATCAGGCACACACGGAAGTTGTTCCTCACAGTCCTGTCACACACATCACACAAGTCCTTTATATCATTACAAACTAGAAATTCACTGGGAAACAAATAAAGATGTTTTGGTTTACCAGTTAGAATTGTGTACTGACTGAGCAATATCACGGCAGGGAAACCGGAAAATGGTCTTCACACATTGTACCCATGTGGGGAATCGAAGCCGTGTATTTGGCGTGATGAGTCAATACTTTAACCATTAGTCAACTCCACCCCGCCCCGCCCTTTAGAAATGAAGTGAGCCATCTAGAAGAATAACTTTCATCACATGTCATTTCACCAAGGCAAGATAATATGTTTTAAGTTTGAAAGTTTGACCCCTTCCTTTCCATTGAGACTGATATTTCCTTTTCCCATTTTCATTTCTGAATACCCAACTGAGAGTCATACTGAGCATTAAGTGTGTTCATATAATCATTTTCAATGTGTATAATAGCCACATTTTCCAGTTGTGGGCTTGGCAATTGGAACTTATGTAACCATGCCATCATTTTATCCAAGCCTTTATGATTTTAACAGTGCCATTATGATTTTAACCATGCCATTATGATTTTAACCATGCCATTATGATTTTAACAGTGCCAATTTGATTTTAACAGTGCCATTATGATTTTAACCATGCCATTATGATTTTAACAGTGCCTTTATGATTTTAACCATGCCATTATGATTTTAACCATGCCATTATGATTTTAACCATGCCATTATGACTTTAACAGTGCCTTTATGATTTTAACCATGCCATTATGATTTTAACCATGCCATTATGACTTTAACAGTGCCATTATGATTTTAACCATGCCATTATGATTTTAACAGTGCCATTATGATTTTAACCATGCCATTATGATTTTATCCGTGCCATTATGATTTTAACAGGGCCACTATGATTTTTACCATGCCATTATGATTTTATCTGTGCCATTATGATTTTAACCGTGCCATTACAATTTTTATCCGTGCCATTATGATTTAGCCATGCCATAATGATTTAAATGGTGCCATTATGATTTAGCCATGCCATTATGATTTTAACAGTGCCAAAACAATTTTATCCGTGCCATTATGATTTTATCCGTGCCATTATGATTTTAACAGTGCCATTATGATTTTAACAGTGCCATAATGATTTCAATGGTGCCATTATGATTTAGCCATGCCATTATGATTTTAACAGTGCCAAAATGATTTTATCCAAGCCATCATGATCTTAACAGTGCCATTATGATTTTAATAGTGCCATTATGATTTTAACAGTGCCATTATGATTTAGCCATGCCATTATGATTTTAACCATGCCATCAGCAATAAAGTAAAAGGAATTCCAAATCCTCCACCAACTTTCTTCAAACATTATACATTCAAAATGCCTAAAATGCTCTGTGGATATCTGTGTGTATTACCTGAGGAAGAAGTTCCAGGCCACGTCTCTGGTGTATGTAAGTCCTGCCTGGGTCACCTCAGTCCTGATGGAGTTGATGATGGTGGTCTGTTCCTCATATGAGAAGAGGTGTGTGATGGAGCCAGACACAATGAACTCTATGAGGAACACAATGAAGTCTTCATCCAGCAGTTCCTCCTCATGGAGCAACAGGAGAATGTTCTCTCCCTGGGGGAGAAAGTTGAGTGAGTCAGGAGTGAGTTTTAGTGGGTGAGTGGGTAGGTTGTTTTATGCTGCATTTAGCAATACAGTCAAGTTTCGTTAATCAGACACTCGTTAAAATGACAATCGGCTTTATCCGACACTAATGATCGGAACCAATTAAATCAGCCCTATTTAGACCCGTTAATCCAACAGTCTGGCACTCCGACTCCGACACACCTAATTTGCAATGAATTACTGAAATCCCTCATTAATCAGTCTCATTAATCAGACACAGTGATCAGCATACGCCCGTACTCCAAGACTATTATTTTTTTAGCCTTAACCGGGCTAGTGAAATATCAATTGCTTGGTACATGTCTCTCAACCCAATCATAACATGTGCATCAACGATAAATAGGCAACATTCACTTCCTTCACACTGGGAGAAACTATTAACAGAGTTTGTTTTCTATCATGGAATGTCAGTTTCTTGTGGGAAGAAATCCCAAAGTGAAGCTTTTTTCAGAAGTTTTTGGCGAGCGCCTAATATTCTCCCTGGGAATTACCTTGGCTCCAGCCCTGGTGTAGCCGACGACCAGGTCCGCCTTGAATTGCTCCATCTTGTACTCCGAGGCCCCAGACAGAGGGCTTGGGTTGATCTGGTAGATGGTGTAGTTGCACAGGTTGGCTGCCAGCTTCACGATGATGGTACACCGGCCTGGGCAGCCCTCCGACACTAGCACAGTGTTGGCTCCTTCATGGGGGGAGGCGATGGTCCGCGCTAGGCGGCATACCTGCTCTATGACCGTCTGAATGAAAACACAGCTTGTTATGTTGAATCTCTACTGAAGTCCAATCTTGAATAAATCAAACTAAAGATTGGCAATGTCAGGAGTGAGTAAGTCGCCTACACTTACGGAATGAACCGAATTGAAATTGAATTGAAATTGAGTGTGTGAGTTACATTTTATACATTTTATACTTGTTAGCTTCATGTGGGAGGAAAGCCTAAAGCAGGGTAAGAAATTAAGTTTAAGTTATTTGTACTACTCTGCAAGAAAGATCTGCTCCACAACTTCCTCATCTACCTCATTGTAAAAGTGGTACTCCACAAGGCAATGCCACTAGTCTTAGAGCAGCAGGTTTATGTTCATTTCAAACCCTGTAAAGGGATGAAGGTCTGGCATGGGTATAGTTCTGCTAAACCAAGAATCAATATTAGGGTGAATATAAGATTTGAACAAACCATCAAAGCATTCTGGCACACCCTGAACCAACTGAGTAAAACTTGCCTGCTCCAACATAGCTCACCTTACACAGGCCAGCTTGATCCAAGAGTGTCAGACTTGCCCGATACAAGATAGCTCACCTTTCACAGGCCAGCTTGATCCAAGAGTGTCGGACTTGCCTGATACAACATAGCTCACCTTACACAGGCCAGCTTGATCCAAGAGTGTCGGACTTGCCTGATACAACATAGCTCACCTTACACAGGCCAGCTTGATCCAAGAGTGTCAGACTTGCCCGATACAAGATAGCTCACCTTACACAGGCCAGCTTGATCCAAGAGTGTCGGACTTGCCTGATACAAACATAGCTTACTTTACACAGGCCAGCTTGATCCGGAAGTGTCTAAATTGCCTTATAAATACAACATGGCTCACCATACACAGGCCAGCTTAATCTGGGAGTGTTTAATTTGCCAGGTACAACATAGCTCACCTTATACAGGGGCAGTTTGATCCAGGGGGTGACTAACTTGCCTGATACAACATAGCTCACCTTACACAGGCCAGCTTGATCCAAGAGTGTCGGACTTGCCTGATACAACATAGCTTACCTCACACAGGCCAGCTTGATCCGAAGTGTCTAATTTGCCTGATACAACATAGCTCACTATACCCAGGCCAGCTTGATTTGGGAGTGTTTAATTTGCCAGGTACAACATGGCTCACCTTATACAAGGCAAGCTTGATCCGGGGATGTATCTTATTATACTCTTCCACTCCTCTCTCCATCAGTTCCTTCACCTCCTGCAAGGAGGACATGGGTTTGTACAGGTCAGTCTTGGCATCCTTCTCTGACACGCTGGCACTGTGGCGCGAGTCTGTCCTGCCTGCCGTCACGATGCCGCTGTCCTGCTCGATGAGGTTGCTGAACATGGGCGGGTTGATGGAGGTGACGAGCTGGATCTGTTGGTGAAAACAGTTGGATCACATCTTGAACAATAGACTTACACGTAGTCCAAGAATATTACTTAAGAATAAATACCCATAACATAAAAAGTGAAATTCAAACGGAGCCCATAACAATGATTAATTTCAAAATTTATGGCAATGATGTAAAAGAGGTAGTGAGTGAGTGAGTTGAGTTTAACGCCGCTTTTAAAAGTATTCCAGTCAAATTGCGGCGTGTCAGCTTAATGTGGGAGGAAAGCCCGAAGTGATGCAGGTCTCAGACGTTTACCACTTTGGTGAAACCCACGAGCACGGGTATGGTGCTGACAAACCTAGAAACATAATTGGGGCGAACCGGGATTCTAACCCACAATCATAGGTTTCTGGCATGCCCAAGGGACGCAACTCTGCACGGCAAATCGCCTTAGATGACTGGGCCACCCGTGTCCCCTAATAGAGGTAGGATATTCGAAGGAATTATGTGTGTCACGCCATATCCACTCACAAATGCATGCTTATAGCTCTACATGAAAACACACATAGAGAGGGACATAAGCATAATAAGCCTGAACAGATCCGTTTTCAGAGCAGCTTTAAATGTTGTTAGAGATGGTGATTTCTTGATGACCAAAGGTAGAAAATTCCACAGATGGGTGCTTAGTGTGAAAGTGTTCTGTAGTCAAAGGATTTTAGCCTTCTTTTGTGAATTGTTAGCTCTCTCTATGCTCTCTTATTCTATCAATAATATGAGGAATATTGCATGTGCAATAGAACCAACATGGAGACGGTCATATCACAGGGGATGTATTTACACCCCTGCCAAGCTGATATAGCATGTCAAGGCCTTTTGAATGGGTGACCGATATCAGCCGGGATGGTAAGAAATTGGACTTATGTCTAGGTGACGATGTCTTCCAAGCAGGGAGCAAATGTATTGCATTCACCAATCTCATTCAAATCAGATCTTAGTTCTCTCTACCGCTAAACAAAGATCTGAGGACATCCCATTACAGGTCACGTTAGACCGACCTTGCGCAAACTTTGACCGACCAATGGAATGACTGACAAGAAGTCAACATTAGCCAATCAGAAGGCAGCTTTCTTATGCTTTACAGCACTAATTTCAAATTGGGGACTATGCTTCGAAACATATTTGGACAAATTCTTGATTAAAAAATTGAAACCTGAACAAAAGAACATTCATGAATGGCTAATTGATGGTCTAGATTGTATGGATTCAGTCATTAACCCGTAACTATCGTTCGGAATACCCTGTGTTAAAGTTTTCGAGGTTGCATGATTAGGAATCACATTCCGACTGTCACTTTCATGATCTGGTAAGCGACGCTCTGATTGGTCAGGTGAGAGGTCGTTCTGACTAGATGACTAGGATGTCCTCAGATCTTTGTTTAGCGGTAGTGAGAACTAGGATATGAATTTAATGATATTGTACATTCACTTGCAAAGAGATATATATTTTACAATTTGATGTTATGGTATATGATAAAATAGGTTATTATATGGCAGTTTTCATATCATACACCATATCCACCCAAGACCCCCATATCTTAACCTCTAAATATTAACACTAAAATCTACTGAAAATGCTGCCGAGAGACTATTTCGGACAAGTTGACTCCCACATTTTTGGCACAGCCTGCAGTTAGTTTATTACCTGTTCCTCGTTAGTGAACTGTTTCCTCACTGCTGTGGTGAAGGCTTGCTTGAAGCGGCGGAAGTCTACATCATTGACCATCCGTCGGCCATAGATCCAGAAGCACTCATGCTGCCATAGGTGGAGGATGTGCTTGCGTGAACTGTCAGGCTGCTGGGACAGACAGATGTTCCTGCAAACAAACACAGCTCGGGTGTCTACATGCTCAGATTTCATACAGATACATCTTTTCATTTTTCAGCAGATGTGAGGTGAGGTGAAATTGGGTTTAACGTCGCGTCCAAGGTTATTGCACTTATATAGCGACGTGCATGCACGTGTGTGTGTGTGGCTGCTTGTACTAGTCCGGACTGATGCCGATTTATAGTGCTAGCTCACTGAGATACCATGCCGCAGTTTAACATGAATATCCCACTCAGACACAGTATACTGACTCCGAGCCGACCAGTCCTTGTTTTAGTCCCTTTATGCCGAGCTCCAGACAGGGTAACAACAAGTACCATCGTTTAACGTCTTTTGGTATGACGCAGCCGGAGATCAAATACCAGACCTTCCGCTGTCCGGGCGGATGTTCTACCACTAGACCACGGAGACGGTCCTTTTTCAGAGATGCCAACCCAAATTGAAGCTTTGGAGTAGTCAGTGGTGTGAGAACTAGAATTTTAATGTGAAAACAGTGCCATTGAAAACATGGTTCATATCACTCGTGCATTAACAATTTGTTCTCTGTGAATATTTGGGGGAGGACAAACTTTACAGCATAATTCCAAGCAAAACAGAAATAGCTATTACGCCAGTGTTTGGTATCTCTGTAGACAGGCAATATTTTGGGAGGCAACTCAATTTCTCCAGGAGGCAAATTCCCAATGAAATAAACCAATGTAAATGATGCTTCTGATTCATGATTGACATCCACATTATTATCCAGTCATACAACAAAACATCTCATTTCTAAGAGGTATCAAGAAGATATAATTCAAAAGGCAGAGTCAGTGGGTGGGTTAGGCTTAACACTACTTTAAATTGTATTTCAGTTGTATCGCGGCATGTCAGATTGACGTGAGAGGCAATCCCAAAGTGAGGCAGGTCACTTCGGTGAAACCCACGAGCAGAGGTTGGCACTGACAAACCTAGAAACATTATCAGAGTGAATCTGGAATTCGGAGCCATGCCTATTGAACGCAACTCTGCAGAGCAAATTGCGGGGCCTCAGATGACTGGGCCACCAGTGGCACCCAAAGCATAGAAACTGCAGCTGGTATTTGAAAGCACTGACTTCACAAAGAGCAACTTGTCAACTTTATAATAAATAATGGGATCCAAATTTAAATTTTGCAGGTGGTCACACTTTATGATCAAAATATTTGCTGAAGGAGGAGGTTGTATAAGGACCCTTTTTGGAAAGGTCAAATTTTAAAGTAGTTGAAAACCTTCTGAAATATTTGTATGACAGATCTCAGACATCGTCAGACTGACAACTACCCTATTTCTTTCTTACACATGCAAGTTTTGAACTTCTGACTAGATCAAAATACCGTAGTCGACATAATGAGTGCCCAGGGCAATCTCAAAATTATAAATAGGGGGTTCTTATTAAAATATTTTATTGATGAAAAACAACAGAGTTGAAAGATCGTAAATTTCGTGGTTTACGCTGACAGCCTGAAATGTTTATATACGACAGATATATTTTTCCAGAATTTAATTTCCCATAAATAAGGATGCATATAACACACGTATTATACACGAATAAATAAGTCTTGTGTACATAGATCAGTCAGGAGGGGTGCTAATTGGGATTGTTCACTAGCCAATAATATATTAGCAAAATTTGCCGTGGGAGCTTATTATGTCGAATACCATAAGCATAGCTAAAATGAGTGAAAAAGCCTGAAGCAGCTTTAAATGGAAATCTAAGTATGAGTAAGTCTATGAGACAAGATGAATTTCCAACCATATGTTAGTACTGTTTTTATCTAAGTCTTCTATAAAATTCAGAATTTTTTTGAAAACTTCTAAAATCAGCCTCAACACAAATTGTCCTTATCTATTATTTTCGTGTTTTCGTAAGTCCAAAAAATGCAATTTTCATATCACTTTATAAAACCTTTGCTTAACTCTTAAATAATTCTAATCCTGTGGGCCAAAAAGGCCCAATAAAAGTTATCCCACCTCGTCAATTAGGGCTGACATCTGGAATTATACAATAGAGTTAACTGACAGTAACACATGGATGATGGGTTTGAATGGTCAACGTTACCTGAAGATGGTGGACAGATCCCTGGTTGTGAAGATGTAGTGACATCGAGGTGCTGTTGGAAGGAACATGGTCCTCAGCCTATCCTGCAGTTCCACAGTCACCTTGACGATGAGGCTGACACATGACTTGACTGTATCCTCCAGCCGGGTGCTCTAACAAACCAGAGATACATCAGTGAGAGAGTGAGTTGGGTTTAACACAGCTTTGAACAGTATTCCAGTCATATCACAGCATGTCAGCTTAATGTTGGATTGGTTGGTTGGTTTTTTGTTTAACGCTGCACTCAGCAATATTCCAGTTATAAATAATCGAGTCTGGACCCGACAATCCAGTGATTGATATCATGAGCATCGATCAATGCAATTGGGATTGATGACATGCATCAACCAAGTCAGTGAGTCTGACCACCCGATCCCGTTAGTCGCCTCTGACGACAAGCATAGTTGCCTTTTAGGGCAAGCATGGGTTGCTGAAGACCTATTCTACCCCGGATCTTCAAAGGTCGTTTAATGTAGGAGGAAAGCCCGAAGTGATGCTGGTCTCAGACATTTACCACTTTGGTGATACAAACCTAGAAACATAATTAGGGTGAACCTGGATTTGAACCCACAATCACAGGTTATTGACTTGCCAAAGGGACACATTTCTGCACACCAAATCGCACAGCCTTAGGCGACTGGGCTCGTGAACACCTGGTGTCATCAGTGATGTCCAGTGATCCATTTATATAATTTTCACAACCCCTTGACAGACATTGAAACGCTGGTCTCTGGTGTCACAAGTAACAGCTAAACCAACTGAGCTAACCACCATCCCTTTGACAGACACTCAGTTCCAAAGTTTCAAGATGGGTTTTCATAAAACAAGATGTTGCACAAGAGCTACCCAGGTACAATTCTGTAAGAGCTACCTAGGTACAATTCTGTAAGAGCTACCCAGGTACAACACTGTAAGAGCTACCCAGGTATGACACTGTAAGAGCTACCCAGGTACAACACAGTAAGAGCTATCCAGGTACAACACTGTAAGAGCTACCCAGGTACAACACAGTAAGAGCTACCCAGGTACAACACTGTAAGAGCTACCCAGGTACAACACTGTAAGAGCTATCCAGGTACAACATGTGAGAGCTATCCAGGTACAACACTGTAAGAGCTATTCAGGTACAACACTGTACGAGCTACCCAGGTATGACACTGTAAGAGCTACCAAGGTACAACACTGTAAGAGCTATTCAGGTACAACACTGTAAGAGCTACCTAGGTACAACACTGTAAGAGCTACCCAGGTACAACACTGTAAGAGCTATTCAGGTACAACAATGGAAGAGCTACCCAGGTACAACAGTGTAAGAGCTACCCAGGTACAGCAATGAAAGAGCTACAGAGCTACAACACTGTAAGAGCTACCCAGGTACAACACTGTATGATGAACCAAGGTACAACGCTGTAAGAGATACCTAGGTACATCACTGTAAGAGCTACCCAGGTACAACAATGGAAGAGCTACCAAGCTACAACACTGTAAGAGCTACCCAGGTACAACACTGTAAGAGCTACCCAGGTACAACACTGTAAGAGCTACCCAGGTACAACACTGTAGGAGCTACCCAGGTACAACACTGTAGGAGCTATTCAGGTACAACACTGTAAGAGCTATCCAGGTACAACACTGTAAGATGTACCAAGCTACAACACTGTAAGATGTACCAAGCTACAGCACTGTAAGAGCTACCAAGGTACAACACTGTAAGAGCTATCCAGGTACAACACTGTAGGAGCTATCCAGGTACAACACTGTAGGAGCTACCCAGGTACAACACTGTAGGAGCTATCTAGGTACAACACTGTAAGATGTACCAAGCTACAACACTGTAAGATGTACCAAGCTACAGCACTGTAAGAGCTACCAAGGTACAACACTGTAAGAGCTATTCAGGTACAACACTGTACGAGCTACCAAGGTACAACACTGTAGGAGCTATCCAGGTACAACACTGTAGGAGCTATCCAGGTACAACACTGTAGGAGCTACCCAGGTACAACACTGTAGGAGCTATTCAGGTACAACACTGTAAGAGCTATCCAGGTACAACACTGTAGGAGCTACCCAGGTACAACACTGTAGGAGCTATTCAGGTACAACACTGTAAGAGCTATCCAGGTACAACACTGTAAGATGTACCAAGCTACAACACTGTAAGATGTACCAAGCTACAGCACTGTAAGAGCTACCAAGGTACAACACTGTAAGAGCTATCCAGGTACAACACTGTAGGAGCTATCCAGGTACAACACTGTAGGAGCTACCCAGGTACAACACTGTAGGAGCTATCTAGGTACAACACTGTAAGATGTACCAAGCTACAACACTGTAAGATGTACCAAGCTACAGCACTGTAAGAGCTACCAAGGTACAACACTGTAAGAGCTATTCAGGTACAACACTGTACGAGCTACCAAGGTACAACACTGTAGGAGCTTTCCAGGTACAACACTGTAGGAGCTATCCAGGTACAACACTGTAGGAGCTACCCAGGTACAACACTGTAGGAGCTATTCAGGTACAACACTGTAAGAGCTATCCAGGTACAACACTGTAGGAGCTACCCAGGTACAACACTGTAGGAGCTATTCAGGTACAACACTGTAAGAGCTATCCAGGTACAACACTGTAAGATGTACCAAGCTACAACACTGTAAGATGTACCAAGCTACAGCACTGTAAGAGCTACCAAGGTACAACACTGTAAGAGCTATCCAGGTACAACACTGTAGGAGCTATCCAGGTACAACACTGTAGGAGCTACCCAGGTACAACACTGTAGGAGCTATCTAGGTACAACACTGTAAGATGTACCAAGCTACAACACTGTAAGATGTACCAAGCTACAGCACTGTAAGAGCTACCAAGGTACAACACTGTAAGAGCTATTCAGGTACAACACTGTACGAGCTACCAAGGTACAACACTGTAGGAGCTTTCCAGGTACAACACTGTAGGAGCTATCCAGGTACAACACTGTAGGAGCTACCCAGGTACAACACTGTAGGAGCTATCCAGGTACAACACTGTAAGATGTACCAAGCTTCAACACTGTAAGATGTACCAAGCTACAGCACTGTAAGAGCTACCAAGGTACAACACTGTAAGAGCTATCCAGGTACAACACTGTAGGAGCTATCCAGGTACAACACTGTAGGAGCTACCCAGGTACAACACTGTAGGAGCTATCCAGGTACAACACTGTAAGAGCTATCCAGGTACAACACTGTAAGAGCTATCCAGGTACAACACTGTAAGAGCTACCCAGGTACAACACTGTAGGAGCTATCCAGGTACGACACTGTAGGAGCTATCCAGGTACAACACTGTAAGAGCTACCCAGGTACAACACTGTAAGAGCTACCCAGGTACGACACTGTAGGAGCTATCCAGGTACAACACTGTAAGAGCTACCCAGGTACAACACTGTAAGAGCTACCCAGGTACAACACTGTAGGAGCTACCCAGGTACGACACTGTAGGAGCTATCCAGGTACAACACTGTAAGAGCTACCCAGGTACAACACTGTAAGAGCTACCCAGGTACAACACTGTAGGAGCTACCCAGGTACAACACTGTAGGAGCTATCCAGGTACGACACTGTAGGAGCTATCCAGGTACAACACTGTAAGAGCTACCCAGGTACAACACTGTAAGAGCTACCCAGGTACGACACTGTAGGAGCTATCCAGGTACAACACTGTAAGAGCTACCCAGGTACAACACTGTAAGAGCTACCCAGGTACAACACTGTAGGAGCTACCCAGGTACAACACTGTAGGAGCTATCCAGGTACGACACTGTAGGAGCTATCCAGGTACAACACTGTAAGAGCTACCCAGGTACAACACTGTAAGAGCTACCCAGGTACAACACTGTAGGAGCTAACCAGGTACAACACTGTAGGAGCTACCCAGGTACAACACTGTCGGAGCTATCCAGGTACGACACTGTAGGAGCTATCCAGGTACAACACTGTAAGAGCTATCCAGGTACAACACTGTAGGAGCTACCCAGGTACAACACTGTCGGAGCTATCCAGGTACAACACTGTAAGAGCTATCCAGGTACAACACTGTAAGAGCTATCAAGGTACAACACTGTAAGAGCTACCCAGGTACAACACTGTAAGAGCTACCCAGGTACAACACTGTAAGAGCTATCAAGGTACAACACTGTAAGAGCTACCCAGGTACAACACTGTAAGATGTACCAAGCTACAGCACTGTAAGAGCTACCAAGCTACAACACTGTAAGAGCTACCCAGGTACAACACTGTAAGATGTACCAAGTTACAACACTATATGTTCCATGCACCCACCTTGTCGTCGTGGATGCTGCTGCCGTGGTGTGAAGAGGACACGATGGAGTCGGGAGTGACGAAGTGCGTGTGTAGCAGAGTGGTGAATATAGTCTGTAGCTCAGTGCTCCTGTACAGACACACAACAGGCAAGTGCTTACACATAGAACACAGAACATAACACACTAGCAAGGCAAGAGAAATCATGCAGCTGCTGGCAGACAAGCAATAAGGGGAGGCAATGACTGAGTGGATTCTTGTACAGCTCCGTCCCTCGTGATGTACAGCTCTGAACAGCTGTGTTCTATATTGTCTCAACTAGAGTCAATTAAAATCAGCTTTGAATAATTCCTCGCAGCACATATCAACATTGTCAGACTCACAGCTTGCATCCCCTGGTAACCTTTTTTGTGGTCTTATTCTTAAGATGTGCTGAAACTTATCACCCCTACAACCCTTCATCACAAAACCTTTTGTTCAAATGTTCTGTAAAACATACATGGTATACATTCTTGTATGCAATAAATGTGTTTGCATGATCGTTCCTATTACGTGGTTATGAATAGCAGGGGAATCCCAGATGGTGGACATATTTTGGAAGTAAGAAACAAATTTCAAAAATCCTTTGGAGTTTGTTATAACTGTTTAAATGTAGATCTGGGGAGAAAACAACTTATCCCTCTTGACATTCACTAGCCCTGACAAACACAGCTTAGTAGATCAGAGGATATAAACATACAGTTTCTCATTTTGATCTAGGTTATCTGTATATCTAACTGCGCTAAATTGAACGTGGAGCTAAATATGCACAATGTCTTAGAAAGAAGTACCGAAGTAATATTATCTTCCGCTGTGACATGGTTGTCAAATCAGCTGTTTCAATCAGAGGTGGTTATTATAATTTGAAACCACTGATTGACCAATTAGAATTGAGTATTTCGAAAATTCATGGTAGAATGAGGATCAAACTATTTGAGACAACAATTTGCCCATTGTATCAACTGTGAAACCAAATAGAGAATGCAAATTAAAATCGGTGCTAATCTGTATGCAAATGAAACACAAATATTCAAACATCAAAACAAATAAGGCAACAATAAGTACTAAGGTAAAGACAATTAAAATAAAAAAAACCATTGAGAAAGACCAAGTCTAGGTCTTCACGTAGAACATAGCGCCCCTACCCTGGGTATGGACAGCCAAATATGGCAAAGTGTCTGAGGAGTCTCTGGCTGAGTTTGGGCACACTGGCTGTCGTCTGGGGGTTGATGGAAGTGACGTAGGTGACGTTCTTCACGTAGTGCCAGGCATGTGACGTGGGGCAGTAGAAGCCGCCGTCATCCAGGTGCTCCCGAACCAGCTCTGTGGCCGTCTGGAAGCCGTACTTGTCAACCTGAACACATACAATTCCAAGCTTGAATATCTTCACATATTTACAACTCCTATCGTGTGTAAGTTGGATTTAACACTACACTGAACAGAATTAAAGGCATACAGAGCGCAAAAGCTGATTTTTTTCAGCTGACTATAGTTAATCTGCCATGACCTGTAATATGAAAAAAATCGGGTGTCCTTTAACTTCTTTTGAGTAGTAAAGCCAAGTCTCGTTAATCCGACACTCGTTTATCTGACAATCGGCTTTATCCGACACTAATGATTGGAACAGATTAAATCAGTGCTATTTAGACCCGTTAATCTGAAAGTCTCACACCGACACACCTAATTTGCAAAAAATTACTGAAATCACTCATTAATCAGTCTCGTCAATCCGTCACAGTCATCAGCATATTGCATCTGCCCGCGAGTACACAGCCCATGTTTTGATGCGAGACAAGTCTTAAGCTTTGCGGTACCAGTTTCAAACTTGCGAGTTCCATTCCAGAATATGTTTTTAACGAACGTTGATACTAATTTCGTTTATCCAACATACTTGTGAATCCGACATAATCATATGCAACCAACAATGTCGGATTAACGGGACTTGACTGCATATCATAGCATGGCAGTTTGATGTGAAAGAAAATGTCACAGTTGACACAGGTCATAGCTGTAACAGTTTCGTAAAACAAACAAGCATGGGTAAGGCCAGGCGTTTTATATTTTTCGAATTACGGACCCGCCGACTCTAATTTTTGAGAAAATGTAAAAAAAATAAATCAGATTTCCATTTTTTTCCCACGCCGATAGCCTCGTAGTCAGTTATTTTATTTGTTATCATCACAATTTAATAAAAAAACATGAATTTACCTAATTTAAACTAGTAAAGAGATACATAATCGATCTTTGTTGATCTCGAAGCCGAACATGAATAGCCTCCCTTGACAATAGTCTGTGTTGTGAGTGGTAGAAATTTTGATTGCTAGAAGGGACTTTATCGTCACAAATGGCAGTCTTATGAGTACAGAATATGTTCATAAAGTATGCCAGAGGCATTCTGCATTTTAAAAAAATACATCTGGCTTCTTTTTTTCTTTCTATTTTTTCCCTCCTCCAACCCTTGACTTTGGGCTGAAAAATCTGTAATCCTAAAAATAAAAAAGCCTTGCCTAAGGTGCTGGCAGACAAAACATCACTGACAGAGAAACGAGGATTCAAACCCACTATCAGCAGATCCTGGCATGACTAAGGGATGCAACTCGGGAAAACAAAATGTTGCCTCTTAGGCTATGGTGCTTGTTGAAACATTGACTCCAGAATATTAAACAATATTATGAAATGATTGCCTGCATGTCAACATCTAAATATAAAAAAGGTTCTTAATGACCAGGCCCCGATTTCTCGAAACAAACTTAAGTTTTTACTCAAATCTCAAACTGAGTTTGCAAAAAAACTCAGCTGAGTTTTTTACTCAACTGCATTTCTCGAATCAAACTCAGCAAAAACTCAGCTGAGTTTTTAACTCAGCACTTAAGTTCGATCTCAGTTTGTTTTTTTATGCGATGTAAGCGGCCTTGGCGCGAGATTTGACTTCCGTTTCCAATGTAAATGAATATATTGCAAATTTTAAATAACATTATGTCAAGAATTTTGAGTTGGCTGTTATGGTAATTATCTTTGATTATATTTTATAAAATATTTCATTACAATTTGATTTTTTAAACGATTGAAGTCGTTTATTTTTATGCATTTTACAAAAGGTATTGGAAATTTAAAGTGTATATGTTAAAATAGGATAAACGTAATTTTTATTGGAAGTTTTCGTCAGAATTTCCAGATTTATGTCATGATGATAGCTGTTAGTTTTAGAAAGGGAAAGGTTTTTTATATAGAAATGACAAGAATTAGAGTAGCTCCCCCTTATTTGACCTAGTAATTAATAACACCACTGAAGAGGCGAGTTGAAGAGGAATCGCTTTCAAACACACTCACCTGCAATTTGGAAGAACATTTTCTTGATCTTGTCTGCATCTTGTCTAGTTGGCATACATACAAAATGCCGGAGATGTTCGATCAGACAAGTGCATACATCTCTGACTGACCGAAACACCGAAGAAGTTGAAATAATCGAATATGATTCCGCGATCAAAGAATAAAAAGATCCAGTGGCCAGGAAACGCAGGGCGACAAGTACCTGCGTTAAAACAGGTAATGGGCTGCTTCGGTTGGAGCACCGTTCAAGTTTCTCACAAACAAGGGAAACAATAAATAAAATGCTCTCCGCACGGAAACGGAACCTCATGAATAACTCCTCGGGTTCCATGAACTCAAGAGGATTTTGTCTATCGACTAATCCCCTTGACAATGTTGATATTTGTTTCTGCCTACGACGCCTACGTCTATTCAACACCGCCATTTTATGACCGACAAAAAAACTTAAGTAACCTTCCTACCTAACTCAAGTTGTAAACTCAGTTTGAGTCGAAAATTGAGTTTGGTTTGAGAAATGCATTTTGCTGAGTTTTCTCAAATTTGAGTAAAAACTCAGACTTAAGTGTGTTTTTGAACTTAAGTTTGTTTCGAGAAATCGGGGCCAGATGTCATAAAGCGATCTGCTATTAAACATTTCGTCTACAAAGACAATGCACCTGTTTGTAGATTCTCCCAAATTTTGTAAATGGTACGTTTATCACACTCCATACCTGAGATAAGTTGAGGTCGTCTACGAGACACAGGAGCCTCTTGTTGCCCTTAGGAACGTATGTTCTACCATGTTTCCACTCCAGCCTGTCATCCAGGCGTTCATACAGGAGACGTGCGTTCATGAACCTGTAATCAATTTAATCTTATACTACCATCATTTTGACTATCCTGAAGTTACATATTTTTTATGGAACAATGTAGTTTTAGGTGGTGCCTGTGAATTCATTGAGTGTCCAATCATTGGTTGGTTGGTTTGTTGTTTAACGCCGCACTCAGCAATATTCCAGCTATATGACGGCGGTCTGTAAATAATCGAGTCTGGACCCGACAATCCAGTGATTAATGTCATGAGCATCGATCCACTCAATTGGGATCGATGACATGCATCAGCCAAGTCAACGAGCCTGACCACGTGATCCCGTTAGTCGCCTTTTACGACAAGCAAAGTCACCTTTCACGGCAAGCATGGGTTGCTGAAGACCTATTCTACCCCGGAAACTTCACGGGTGAGTGTCCAGTCAGCTGGAGAACCAGCGTCCAGTGAAGCTGGTACTTCATACACTGGACCACTATGTTGGTGTTTTATACCCCTGAGTGTCGTTACCTGTTTGCATATACTGTGAGTGAGAGCACCTCTGCCACCTCCCCAGAACACACAGTCCGGATTCTCTCATTGATGATGGAGGTCTTACCACAGCCATTCTCCCCGACCAGCATAACTGGTTTACCCGCATCAGACAGCAGGCCCAGCAGATGCAGTAGTTGCTGGAGAGGGAAGAGTGATGCGTACATCATTATCATCATCATTAGAAATTGTTACCATTAGCAGCAGGAGCAACTACCAAACTCATCATCAACATAACTATTATCAACCATCTTAACATCAATACCATCACCATCAATAATAATAATAATCATTATCATCATCATCAAAAGTTGTTACTATCAGCAGCAGCACCTACCAAATTCATCATCAACATAACTATTATCAACCATCTTAACATCAACACCATCACCATCAATAATAATAACCATCGTCATCATCATCGTCATCATCATCATCATCATCAAAAGTTGTTACTATCAGCAGCAGCAAGTACCAAAACTCATCATCAACATAACTATATTATCAAACATCTTAACATCAATACCATCACCATCAATAATAACCATCATCATCATCTTCATCATCATTGCATGTATATCTCAAAACATAAAAGAGTTTGATGTTCCCCTACAGAATCATGTGAAACCTTGTGTGTCACGGTCTACAACATACCTCGATGTGGACTGTGTGGACAAAAGCATCCGCTGGGATACCTTCATGTGGTGTGCCTGTGTAGGAAGGCACAATGTCACTCCATCTACAGAACTCATGTGTCTCGCTGTCCACCAGGTAGTCAAACACCTACAATCAAGCATAGTCTCTGTGTTAGTCAGTGATGAAGAACCTGATAATCAACTCAGGAATAATTCACTTGTATCAATTTATTAAACTAGGGAAAGGATATCATGATCTGTATGTATTTCAGTCATTAGACTAAAGAAACAAGTGATAAAATTCCAAACAAGAGGCCATGCAGATTGTGACATCAGCCATTTGTCCAAAGCCAGAACCTAGTAATATTCTGTGTTGTAAGATCAGCAATTAATTGTACCTAGGGCCAAGTTTGGGCTAGAAGGCTAAAAGGCACAAGCTGCCATATACAATTCAACTATAAGCCATATGATTCATGTAAGTTTATCAAAATCCATATTGTAATAAAGCTATCATGATCCCGACAGAATTATTACACAAGAGTCATCAGAAGATGTCAAATCCCCCCCAGCCCCCACAAATTCGAAAGAACAAATCATCTGACTGTTACTTACACACCACTATGAACAGAGTCAAAATCAAACTTGTTGCCATGGACACAGAAAAAATATAAATGCTAAAAATCCCTCAATAGCAAAAGGTACAAGTTGACAACAAGGTCTTGGTGTGTGCACAGTTTCAAGAAAGAGTAACTATTAGTTTCAGAGATGTGGTCCGAACACACCACTATGAACAAAGTTAAAGTCAAACTTGTTGCCTTAGAAACATGAAAAACTTACTTTTTTTTTAAATTCCTAAATAGTAAAAGCCACCACTTAAGCCCTTGGTGAATACATGTACCAGGTTTGGATGAAAAGTCTTTCACAGTTTTCATATTGTGCTCCAGAAACGACACCTACCCCTACCTTTTGAGACAAGGTCCAAATTTTTTCCATGGACATTATAGAAAAATAAAAATGCCCAAAATTTGCAAACAGCAAAAGGCACCACTTCAGGATCGGCTTGATATATCTGCCAAGTTAAAAAATATTGAATGGTTTTATAGTTGTGCTCCGGAAACGCAATCCATCTCACATTTAGAGACTAGGTCCCAAATGTTTCCATGAAAATCAAGAAAAAGAAAAATGCCCCAAATCCGTAAATAGCAAAAGGCACCACTTCAGGATCTGTTAAATATATCTCACAATTTTTCTTGAAAAATATTGAATGGTTTTTGAGTTCTGATCCGCACACAAAATAATTACAGACAGACGGACGGACGGACGGATGGACAGACGGTAATAATAATAAATAACCCATCTAATGACACATCATCCGATCCTTATTCAGCTAGGGTCTACTCTACCCTGGGTTCACTAAAACTCAAAGTGATTTTAGTCCTGTAGCTTGTACTTACTGTGCCCTCCTCAGGGTAGTCGATGTAGGACTCAAACTGCTCCTTCCACCACTGGCTGAAAGACTCTCTGTGTTCTAGGGACAGCGTTCCTCCAAATGACCACACACATGCAAAGTTGAAGTAGCGTTCATACTCGACATCACTCAGGTCAGGGTAGGGGTTCACTAAAGACTGAAACCCACACACAACTCTTACTTCATTATCCAAATTCAAGGCGTAATTATCAATTTTCAAGGCATTCAAAAACAAATTCTAAACTTAAGGCCTTTCAAGCCACATTATCCATTTTCAAGAACTTTAAAAACAAAATCTAAACTTAAGGCCTTTCAAGCCACATTATCCATTTTCAAGAACTTTAAAAACAAAATCTAAACTTAAAGCCTTTCAAGTCACGTCATCCATGTTCAAGGACTTTAAAAGCAGAATAATGAGGCCTTTTCAAGCCACATTATTTATTTTCAAGGCCTTGAAACAAAGAATACGAATTTGAGGCCTTTCCAAATCACACTATCCATTTTCATGGCCTTTTAATAACGTTTCAAGCCTGTGTGAATTGACAATCCGTAAGTGAGTGACCTACCTCCAGCAGATTACAGAAAGTGTGCACCATATTCTCAGGGGTGTGTTGTACAACTCTCTTGTAGGTCAGTTGACCAGTGGTCTTCTTCTGGCCAAACATTGGGGGCTGTGTACACTCGGTCACAAACATCAGCACCTTCTCTATATAGCTGTTACACAGACTGGACAGCAGGTCGCGGTCAGCCTCTGACCGATGCTCCAGCCACTGCACCAGCATCAGCTTCCAGCCCACATCAGATGTGTTCATACACACCACTCCCACGTTGGCCAAAAGGGAGGGACTCAGATGTTCCAGGGACTCTTGCTGTAAGTAAACATTCATGGCATCCTTGAATAAACAACATCAGCATCAACCTTAGAGACTTATTATAAATTAGAGATCTCTGCTGGTATGTGTGTGGGTTAACTGCGTATGTCTAACTGTTGTGCACAGAGTGTTCAGTAATGACAAACTGTGAGACGGTCTATCGCCAATATGAGTGCAAGTCTAAAGTCATATGGGCAGTATTTCAGCCAAATTGTCACTAGAGTAAGTTATACATTAATACCACAGAAAATCCCATCGACGAAGGACAGTAGTATATCATATATATTGCAACTAGCATATCATAGTTCCATATTTAGATCTATTATGAGAGCATTAAAATGATATATCTATAAAATGAGCAGTGTTTACATTGGTCCATAAAAGAATGGAGTCCCGTTGGACGCTGGATCCTCTCATCGTTTAAACCTATCTCCAAGATGAATCTCAGTGTGTCTGGAATGACAATCCTCTCATTGTCAGAACCTACATCCGAGATGAACCTCAGTGTGTCTGGAATGCGGTCCTCTCATTGTCAGAACCTACCTCCCAGATGAAACTCAGTGTGTCTGGAATGACAATCCTCTCATTGTCAGAACCTACCTCCCAGATGAACCTCAGTGTGTCTGGAATGACAATCCTCTCATTGTCAGAACCTACATCCCAGATGAACCTCAGTGTGTCTGGAATGACAATCCTCTCATTGTCAAAATCTACCTCCCAGATGAACCTTAGTTAGTGTGTCTGGAATGACAATCCTCTCATTGTCGTAACTTACCTCCCAGATGAACCTCAGTGTGTCTGGAATGACAATCCTCTCATTGTCAGAACCTACATCCCAGATGAACCTTAGTTAGTGTGTCTGGAATGACAATCCTCTCATTGTCAGAACCTACATCCCAGATGAACCTCAGTGTGTCTGGAATGACAATCCTCACATTGTCAGAACCTACCTCCCAGATGAACCTCAGTGTGTCTGGAATGACAATCCTCTCATTGTCAGAACCTACCTCCCAGATGAACCTCAGTGTGTCTGGAATGACCATCCTCTCATTGTCAGAACCTACATCCCAGATGAACCTCAGTGTGTCTGGAATGACAATCCTCTCATTGTCAGAACCTACCTCCCAGATGAACCTCAGCGTGTCTGGAATGACAATCCTCTCATTGTCAGAACCTACATCCCAGATGAACCTCAGTGTGTCTGGAATGACAATCCTCTCATTGTCAGAACCTACCTCCCAGATGAACCTCAGTGTGTCTGGAATGACCATTCTCTCATTGTCAGAACCTACCTCCCAGATGAACCTCAGTGTGTCTGGAATGACCATCCTCTCATTGTCAGAACCTACATCCCAGATGAACCTCAGTGTGTCTGGAATGACCATCCTCTCATTGTCAGAACCTACCTCCCAGATGAACCTCAGTGTGTTTGGAATGATAATCCTCTCATTGTCAGAACCTACCTCCCAGATGAACCTCAGTGTGTCTGGAATGACCATCCTCTCATTGTTGGCCAGCACTACAGATCCATTGTGAATGAGGCAGTTCTGTAACATCTCCATCTGGGACGGATCCGTCTGGTGAAACACACAACACACAACACCATAACACATGAGACTGCTTAACCAGAGACTGTGATTGATCAGACACAGTAACATACCAGCTGTAAAAGTCTTCATATATCAGCAGATGAGCTAGGAAGCTATTGCACAGTTGATACAATTTTCAGGTAGGCTCATTTTCATGACATTTTTAGATTTCCCTAATTTCATAATCTAAATATTATCTGTAGAAAGCATTTTTCACGACATCAACACAAGTATATGTTTTGACTAACAAAGCAAACAAGACCTTGATTTTACCAAAAAGATTCTTTTCAGGCTTTACATACATGTAATTGTAAAATTCAAACATTTTCCCCGTTCTTTAAGGGCTACAAAATCTCTGAGCCCATGTAATGAGCAGTAGACCTGGCGGACTGCAGATAAATAAGGACTGTGACTTGAGCCACTAAAAGAATTCTCGTAGGTCTAGTAAGATCAGCTTATTAGTCTCTATAGTAACACTAAAATCTGCTGAAAATGATGCTAAGAGCCATGTTTAGGCTAGTAAACTCAAAAGCTTTTGACACAGACTAGTTCTAACACTGAGTGACCCAACGGCTAAAAGTTCATAGAACTGTTTTTGGTTCTTGCAGTCAGCTTTTATGATGTCAACCTAAACTTCAACTTAGGGCAGTACTAAACACTCAAATCTACAAGCAAGGTATCACTACTTCCTGCTGATGTGCAGATGTTTTCTTACAAGCTTGATTTAAGTCTGATCATCTAAATAACAGACCCCACACTGAAGCCTGTGTAGCACATGAGGTATCTACTTAGGAAAGTGACTTTGTTTGAAATATGTCTCTGTTCACCAAGGTGTGAAATGGGTACCCGGTAGGATGAGATGGTAATGTGAGTGTTAACCATCTAACACCTCACAGGCAGCTTGGGTTATATACTTCCTAGGGAGAGGAGGACGAAAGTTTTGTGCATACTGATCCATTGACCGGGGTAATAATGTAGGGCTTTGAGCATGCTTTAGGTATGGATTTGGCGCAATATAAATATGCAGATTATTTTCATTATTATTGTTATTATTACCTGTCCATCGAGCTGCATGATCTTCATGATTGGTTTGCAGTGGACGTCATAGTTCATTGATGCAGGTTGGATACAGAATTTCCGCAGCAAAGTTGTCAGTAGTCCTTCCTTCCATTCCCTGGGTAAATAACAGCTTGAAGTTCAACTTCTAACAATAAGTTTGTTTATACCCTAAAGGATTCTATGATTCCTTGAACATGAAGACAATTGGCACCAATATTACAGAATTAGCCTTTATGTTGTCATCACACATAAACAGCATATTGATGAACTTTGGATGGATTCAGAATAATCCTGTAGAAAGTACATAAAAAAACCTGCAAAACTCTTTTATCATAATGCTTGCAAAATATATGCAACATTTTTTTACCTAAAATAAAATAACACATGAGTGATTTCTCATCATTTTCATATCTGGCATGACTGAATTTCAAGTTTGATTCAAATCCATTATTACTACAAATATATCTATAAATTATTAAATTTTAATGGCATCTCTTACCATTTGAGCCTAATCTATGGAATATGGATGGTTGCAATGGGTAAAAAATGCCAAAAATAAACCTTGCACAATTTCTTGAAATAGTGTATAATGGAATTCAAAGACTCAGTCTGTGACTTGAGCTACTAGTCCAATGCCTAAGTCTAGAAATATTTGGTTCGGTCTAGAAGCTCAGTTAATACTAGTATAGATAGTACCACAAAAACCTACAGAAAGATGCAGTTGAAGAGCTATGCGCAAGCTCAGTAAGTACCGTATTCGACGTAATAACCGCCCCGTTCTAATAAGCGCCCAAGGCGATATTTGCTAATACATTGGCTAGTGAACAATCCCAATTAGCACCCTTTCCAATTGATCAATGTAGACAAGACTTATTTATTTGTGTATAATACACTCATTTGTTATATGCACCCTTAATTATGAGCAATTAAATTCTGGAAAAATACATCTATCATGTATAATACACACAGATTCTTCTTTCATATCATTTCAGGCTGTCAGCATAAACCACAAAATTTACAATTTTTCAACCTCGTTTTCAATCTCACCAAAATTATATTCTAATAAGAGCCCCCTATTTCTAATTTGGAGAGCGCCCATGGCGCTTATTACGTCGAATACGGTATATCCCAAAGACTTTGTTTGGCCTATCTGAGTGTCTCTGTGTGTGCTGCTGTGTGTACAGACCTGGTCTTGGGGTGGAGGTAGCCCATGAGTTCCTGGGATTCTACGGCCTTGGTGAACACTGTCTGTATGCTGATCATCTTGCCCAGCTCCCTCTCGGCCACCGCGAAGGTCTTGATACACTCGCTCTTGCCACACCCAGGGGGCCCAGCAACGATTATCTGAAATACACAGTTTGGGATTTCAGTGAGTAAAGTAGGTATAAAGCAGCAGAACTTGACCACCCATTCCATGTGGTCATTTTTGTTGACAAGTATTGGTTGCTGGAAACCAGGTGCTGAAACCTATTCTAACCCAGAATCCACATGGGAATGTAAACTAGCAGCAACAGGAACATTTTTTGAGTTGTTCAAACAGCAACAGGAACATTATTTGAGTTGTTCAAACAGCAACAGGAACATTATTTGAGTTGTTCAAAAAGCAACAGGAACATTATTTGAGTTGTTCAAACAGCAACCATCAATTATTTGAGTTGTTCAAGCAGCAACAGGAACATTATTTGAGTTGTTCAAACAGCAACAGGAACATTATTCGAGTTGTTCAAGCAGCAACAGGAACATTATTTTAGTTGTTCAAGCAGCAACAGAAACATTATTTGAGTTGTTCAAGCAGCAACAGGAACATTATTTGAGTTGTTCAAACAGCAACCATCAATTATTTGAGTTGTTCAAGCAGCAACAGGAACATTATTTGAGTTGTTCAAGCAGCAACAGAAACATTATTTGAGTTGTTCAAGCAGCAACAGGAACATTATTTGAGTTGTTCAAAAAGCAACAGGAACATTATTTGAGTTGTTCAAACAGCAACCATCAATTATTTGAGTTGTTCAAGCAGCAACAGGAACATTATTTGAGTTGTTCAAACAGCAACAGGAACATTATTCGAGTTGTTCAAGCAGCAACAGGAACATTCGAGTTGTTCAAGCAGCAACAGGAACATTATTTGAGTTGTTCTAGCAGCAAAAGGAACATTATTCGAGTTGTTCAAACAGCAACAGGAACATTATTTAAGTTGTTCTAGCAGCAAAAGGAACATTATTTGAGTTGTTCAAGCAGCACCAGGAACATTATTTGAGTTGTTCAAGCAGCAACAGGAACATTATTTGAGTTGTTCAAGCAGCAACAGGAACATTATTTGAGTTGTTCAAGCAGCAACAGGAACATTATTCGAGTTGTTCAAACAGCAACAGGAACATTATTCGAGTTGTTCAAACAGCAACAGGAACATTATTCTGTTTTTTCAAACAGTCCGTCCATATTTAGTGGAGGGCAAGTTCTTTTAATCTCCAGATGGTCCGGTTGGATTGTTTATTCTAAATATTCAGACAACTCAGTAAATCCATCCGGACACAGTTGAGAGTTTATCTTCTCACAGAGAGAAGACATGATCTACTGCGTCATAGGAAAACTGGGCAACTACTGACCGTCTGATGGGCATCGTTGAGTTGGGCCAACTGGACGACTCGGGCCTGGAACGCTGCACCAGGAAGTAGACCTAGGTCTTCTGTTGCCACGGCGATGGCATCCTGCATGTTGTCCATCACCTCTTTGGCATCTTGATCCAACAATGCACTGAACCTGTCAGCATGGGCTAGCGCCACCACAGGCGTGTTCAGGTTGAGGGAATCTGACAACACAAAACATGGCAAGTACTAATCAAATTGGAAGTGTTATTTCATGGTGCAATGACTTTTTAGTTGTGATGTTTTGTTCTTTAGGATATTAGATGCGGTGAAATGGGCTTTAACATTGTGGTCAAGATTATTGCACTTATATAGCTACATGCATACATGTGTGTGGCTGATTGTACTCGTCTGGACTAATGGCAGTTTAATTTGTTCTTTAGGATATTAGATGCGGTGAAATGGGCTTTAACATTGTGGTCAAGATTATTGCACTTATATAGCTACATGCATACATGTGTGTGACTGATTGTACTCGTCTGGACTAATGGCAGTTTTAGAGTGCTATCCCACTGAGATATCATGCCACAGTTTAATTGGATACCCCACTCAAACACAGTATCCTGACTCCCAGCCAACCAGTCCTTGTTTTATCCCCTTAAAGCAGAGTGCTAGGCAGGGAAACAAGTACCATATTTTAATGTCTTTTGGTATGACGTGGCCAGGGGATCCCACACCGACCTTCCCCACTCCAGGCAGACACTATCCATAATGCCATGATGCCATATCTTTAGGATATTAGTTTGTTTGTTTGTTTGTTTATTTGTTGTTTAACGCTGCACTCAGCAATATTCCAGCTAATAATCAAGTCTGGACCAGACAATCCAGTGACTGACGTCATGCACATCGATCCACGCAATTGGGACACGATGACATGCTCCAAACAAGTCAGTGAGCATGACCACCCGATCCCGTTAGTCGCCTCTTACGTCAAGCATAGTCGCCTTTTACAGCAAGGATGTTAGGGAGTGAGAAAGGTTTATTACTGATTTAAACAATATATCACAGTATGTCAGCTAATGTTGAAGGAAAGGAGAAAGTGACTCAGGTCATTCAAGTTTGAGAACATAATGCTGACAAACCAAGGTTCATGAAGAGCAGGAAGGTTTTAATTCATTCTCTCTCATCTGTACACATTGCTGACAGATATATGTGCTCACTCTGGCATACAGTATTGTACAGTAATTCTAGAAATTGTCTTCTTTTGCCCCCTATCCTAACCTATACCTACAAATGCACCTCTATATCTACGAATACACCACTATAGCTACAAATGCACCACATAATGTTTGTGAAATGGTAAAATTGAACCACGCTTCTTTTTATGAGTGTGTGAGTGAGACTGGTATATGCTACTTATACTATTCCAGCAATATCACAGCTGGGAGCACCAGGGCTTCACACATTGTTCACATGAGGGGAATCGAACCTGAGTCTCCAGCATGATGAATGAAACCTTTAACTACTCGACTACCCCACCGCCCCACCTTTTATATTAACAGTAAGTGTATAGAATGTAAAAAGAAATGTGTCAACATCTAACAACATCAAATCAGTATAAAAATAGGATAGATATACAAAAGACGTAATCAATGAATGCAAACATTGTGCAGAGTAAGAAAACACAAACATGTCGTGCAAACACAACATCTTTTTCATAGATATTTAACTTCATACCAACAGCTTCAACATGAATCGTGACGCTTTAGCAGTGACAACAGTGCTTCTGTTTCCTTAATCATGTTTGACATGTTCATTGACTTCTAACATATTTTAATTACATAAGTTGGATTTTGAAACTAAGATATTTAATAGTTTTTTTCCTGTTTCATTTTTATTTATAAAGTACTAATTAATCGTCTTTATTATTTTACATAATAAAACGGATATGAAACAAAGACGTTTGATTTTTTGTAGGGCTGTTTCATTTTTATGTCTAAAGTATTAAAACTGTTTTGATGATGAATATTTGCAAAACAGCATTATCATTGGTTCAGTCTGCTGTTAAGGGAGCTATAATACACAAACAACAAGGTAAATTGCTTAACTATACAGGCAATATTGCCAAGCTTACGCTCGCTCAAGTCCACACGGTGCAAGCTCCTCACAGCGATAGACCGTTCGCGGAGCTCTCTGTAATATCGCTGCCACCAGGCAAAACTCCCCACTGTGATATGTGGCCTCAACCATGCTTGGAGTTGAACTCGCAACCGAATGACTGTTATGTTTACAAACAAGTGACAATTGTCGTGACGCCGAATAAACATATCCCTGCTAAATTACTTTCTTTGTTTGTCCAGTTGAATTCTACTTCATTAAAACTATCTTGTAACTGATATAGTAAGAATGTAAGGAGAAGTTGGTTGATTTTCCGTTTGTCTGCAATGTCGAACCAATATGATCAAACAAACAACAAGTTACATTCATGTGGGAAATATGGTCAGCCGTAAACCTTTTATACAATTACTATGATGGCATTCACAAAGACATAAACAAAAGTATAAACATTACTACATTTGGGGTTAGAGGCCAAATTTCAAGATTCTAAATAAATCTGATTTTAACCAGTCAAATTACATACTATAGCTGTAATCTGCTTCTACTACCTTAGCACAAGCCATAGATTCATTATTTCCATATCAATCCCAGACCTAGGTTTTGGACATCATTATAAGTATTGTTTATGTGCCATTTATCCACACCTTGATATACATTTCCATCGAACAATGGACTCCACTTTGAGCAGAGATTTTTATAATTATGAATTTATTTTTATTTTTAAATATCTTAACAAAAATGTTTCCTTTACCATGTTTACGTATTTCTACCAGGGGCGCTGGAGGCCTTGTTGTCTTAGGTGCCCTAATTTGCTGTGCAGAGTTGCATCCCTTGGGCATGCCAGAAACCTATGAGTGTGGATTCGAATGCCGTTTTGTCTATGGTTCTAGGTTTGTCAGCACCATACCCATGCTCGTGGATTACATGAAAGTAGTAAACATCTTAGAGCTGCATCACTTCGATCTTTTCTCCCACATAAAGTCGACATGCCATGATATAACTAGCATATTGTGTTAAAAGCGGCGTTAAAACGAACACAGTTACCGTATGTCTACCAGGTAACAGTAACAATCAAATTGACAAGAATTCCAAATGCACCTTTAAAATGTGCAATACATGACTCAAAAAGGTAGGATAAGGGTCCTTTTTTGCACACAGGATCTGCATACTCCAAGAAAACTAACAATCTTTACAAAAGTCATTACTATATAAGATGTGTTCACATATTATATAGGAACTATAGACTTTGTTTCTTTCATCACTTGCATGTATCTGACTTAAATAAATAAAACCATATGTATGGCCGTGACAGATTGTATAGAGAAAAGGCAGATTTTAGAGTTCTTCAAGAAGTGTTTTTGTAATATTTGAACATGAGCAAATCTTTGACTCAAGCAGACTTTCTTGGAAATAATGACATTATTAAGTTCATTGTGGGTCAACGACTTGAAGGTAATACCAAATATCAGCCTCTTTCACCCTCTTTAGCCATGCCTAACTTGATAACACCAGATGTCTAACACTTGTAAGCATAGGAGACCGAATAAAGTTTGAAATTTTATAATCAATACTGCAAGGTTTTCTTCAACATTTCTAGAGGGACAAAATGGACTCCAATCCTGCTTTGTCATTTAGACATGGCATGCACATGAACTAGGAACCCTGGGACTCACCCTGATTGTGATCTGTCTCCCCAACACAGGTGTGGAGGTAAGCAGAACAGAACAAGGACTTGTGTACACATAGTTTGTTTGTTTGTTTGTTTGTTGTTTAGCTCACACCCACCAATATTCCAGCTATTTGATGGCATTCTATTAATAATCAAATCTGGACCAGACAATCCAGTGATTGACATCATGAGCATCGATCTACGCAGATGGGATGACAGGCATCAACCAAGTCAGTGAGCCTGACCACCTGATCCCTTTAGTTCCCTGTTATGACAGGCATTATTATTCACCTGATGAAGGAGTAAGCATATACTCTGAAACGTTGTGTTTCGTCATTATAAAGAAGTTGACATCCATAAATTCTCTTCCTTAGAAAAAATATTGCAATCCAGATTCTTTAAAAAATGTATTGCAGTGTACGGGTACTAAAGAGAGCAGTACAACAATCAAATAATCAAACACTACATTACCTTTGAGGGATTTCTGTGAGTCGTGACTGCGAGCAGTGCGTAGCCGGAGATCAGAGCGGATGGTAAGGAGGGAGTCATTGTGCTGGTGGAACACCTGCGAGTCTCCGCCGAACACCATGGGGATGGTGACATCTGGCCACAGGTCGGAGAGCAGGGTGGCGAGAACGCTGGCGTCGCGGGTCTGCATGCGGGGCATGAAGGTGTTGCGGAGAGCCATCACTAGTGCCTCCTCTTCCAGCTGCAGCTTCTCGTCCAGCTGGCTGCTGCAGCTGTTCAGGATCACCGGCTCCACACCTGTATAACAGTACAACCGTGTACAGAAACCTCATCCTCAATTATCCACTGGATCACATTTCTATTCTATTATGACAAATACTCTGGGCTGGGGACAAGTCCAAATTTATTATCCAACGTCCCACCCTCCTATTACCTGACTTTACCCGGATGCCCGCTGCAGGTCTCAAGAGATAGACCAAACTGTCCAAATCGGGAAAAAGTTTGACTGTAGCCCTGGCAAAATGTATTTAGATACACTATAAAATGATCTGACCATGCATACACTGAAGTTGACTGAAGGAATTATCTCAACAAGTTTCTATGTGTGCTCTTTTGATAAAGATTGTTTCATCGTTTAACTTATTGTAAATAGTTGTCTTGCAAAACCCATTCTATGCACAATTGGAGTAAAGAAAATAATTTAAAAAAAATTCAAATTGTTTTTGTGATTTTATTTATTTATTTTTTAAATTTTCATTATGAGAATCTGTAAACCTGAGTCTACAATAACAAAATCAGTCCTACCTTTCTCCTGGGTCTCATGCTCATGTTTCTCCAAGCCCTCTCTCCGGAAGGTGTCGCCAAACCCTGTTGAAATATATGCACTTGCAGTCATACTATATTTGTATTTTTCTATACCAATGAGACAAACATTCAAACAAATAGAGACATCTGATTGGCTCAGGTTCTGGCAATACCACAGCCCGGTTATACCCATTCTATTTTTAGCAACTCAAGTCAATAAGTAAATAGTAAATATTTTTTGTGAACGTTTTTGAGACGATAAAAAATATTCTGTATGAAGCAAGAAGATTTGAAGCTGTATTTCAGTGATTTCAGTGGTGTATCGTGTACCAGCGGTATTGTCAATCTGTGTCATGATACGTATCGTATCACAAGATATGAGACGATACTAACCTCTAGTGACGTGACTTACAAAATGAAGTTATGGTAGCAGATGGATCCTGGGTATGTACAGGAATAGAATGAGATAATACACAGGATAATCGTGGATGATTGTGAAGCAACTGGCATGAGAATAATGTGTGTCCCCACCTTGTGACCTGCTGTCTGTTTGCTGGGCAGTCTTCTCCAGGAATGCACCAGCCTCGGATGTCACGCCCTTCATCGTGTGGAGACTCCAGCCATGGAAACTAGCACTGCGGTCAGAACCTGAAACAACCAGACAAAATACATCTTCCATCATTTATTGTCTACTGTGCAGTTTGCCTACAGTGTAGTTAGTTATTAGTGCAGTTTGCCTAAATATGGTTTGTATTTAGTGCAGTTTGTCTACAGTGCAGTCAGTTTCTGGTGCAGTTTGCCTAGTGTAGTTGGTTTCCAGAGCAGTACACCTATAAAAAAGTTAGTTTCTAGTGCAGTTCACCTAGTGTAGTTAGTTTCTAGTGCAGTTAGCCTATAAAAGTTAGTTTCTAGTGCAGTTCACCTAGTGTAGTTAGTTTCTAGTGCAGTTCGCCTATAAAAGTTAGTTTCTAGTGCAGTTCGCCTAGTGTAGTTAGTTTCTAGTGCAGTTCGCCTAGTGTAGTTAGTTTCTAGTGCAGTTCGCCTAGAGTAGTTAGTAGTGCAGTTCGCCTAGTACAGTTACTTTCTAGTGCAGTTCGCTTAGTACAGTTAGTTTCCAGAGCAGTTCGCCTAGTGTAGTTAGTTTCTAGTGCAGTTCGCCTAGTGTAGTTAGTAGTGCAGTTCACCTAGTGTAGTTAGTTTCTAGTGCAGTTCACCTAGAGTAGTTAGTTTCTAGTGCAGTTTGCCTAGATTAGTTAGTAGTGCAGTTCACCTAGTACAGTTAGTTTCTAGTGGAGTTCACCTAGAGTAGTTAGTTTCTAGTGCAGTTCACCTAGTGTAGTTAGTTTCTAGTGCAGTTCACCTAGTGTAGTTAGTTTCTAGTGCAGTTCACCTAGTACAGTTAGTTTCTAGTGCAGTTCACCTAGAGTAGTTAGTTTCTAGTGCAGTTCGCCTAGATTAGTTTCTAGTGCAGTTCACCTAGAACAGTTAGTTTCTAGTGCAGTTCTCCTAGTGTAGTTAGTGTCTAGTGCAGTTTACCTAGTACAGTTAGTTTCTAGTGCAGTTCACCTAGTGTAGTTAGTTTCTAGTGCAGTTCGCCTAGTGTAGTTAGTTTCTAGTGCAGTTCGCCTAGTGTAGTTAGTTTCTAGTGCAGTTCGCCTAGTGTAGTTAGTTTCTAGTGCAGTTCACCTAGTACAGTTAGTTTCTAGTGCAGTTCACCTAGAGTAGTTAGTTTCTAGTGCAGTTCACCTAGAGTAGTTAGTTTCTAGTGCAGTTCACCTAGTGTAGTAAGTTTCTGGTGCAGTTCACCTAGTGTAGTAAGTTTCTGGTGCAGTTCACCTAGTACAGTTAGTTTCTAGTGCAGTTCACCTAGTGTAGTTAGTTTCTAGTGCAGTTCACCTTGTACAGTTAGTTTCTAGTGCAGTTCACCTAGAGTAGTTAGTTTCTAGTGCAGTTCACCTAGAGTAGTTAGTTTCTAGTGCAGTTCACCTAGTGTAGTTAGTTTCTAGTGCAGTTCACCTAGAGTAGTTAGTTTCTAGTGCAGTTCACCTAGTACAGTTAGTTTCTAGTGCAGTTCACCTAGTGTAGTTAGTTTCTAGTGCAGTTCACCTAGTACAGTTAGTTTCTAGTGCAGTTCACCTAGTGTAGTTAGTTTCTAGTGCAGTTTGCCTGGTGTAGACAGTGCAGATCTTTGAGGCTGCATGGTAGAAAGCAAACAAAAAAAGACAGTGAACACAACAACTGTGATGAACAACTCCAATATAGAACCAAATAAGCAGACGGAATGATGCAGACATGTTGAACCTACCCATGGTGACCTTGTCATTGATGAACGTGTTGGTTCCAAATATCTGACAGCACATGTGGTGAAGATGGGTTGTCTTACGAGCCAACTCCCTTCCATGGAGGAACCCTGCAATTAAAGAAGAGATCTTGAAAAGAAAATGCAAAAAATATGTTAACAGTAGCTAACACCAATGGCTGTCCAGTTAATGTCAATTGATAATACTGAACTATACTAGTTCTTAGATGCAAAAAAACAAAACAACACAGCTATTTAATATCTGTCAGAAATCTTAAGCAATATCTCTAAAAGCAAATACAATAAAAGAAAAAGTGTTAATAGTACACATTTGTGGCAATCAGCCATATCTCAATACTATAATCTCAAGTTAGTCGGCCATTTCAACTAGCTTTGGGTGTACTGGTAAAATATTATCCAAAATGGCAGAATGATTGTGTGTAAAAACAGAACTTCCCAATATTTGCACACCTGCATCTTTTGTAATTCTCAATACTGATTGGTCCATCGAGGCCATATGACATCACAGTGCTCCATTGTTAAGAAAAATATGATATGACATCATCCTGTGTTCATGACGACACACATAGTAGTGCTGTCATTTCATAGGTTTTTTCTTCACTTCATCCTTAAATTGTCAGTGAGTAATATTCAGGATAACCTACTCAAAACTCAAAATTAAGGAATATCTATACCTCATGAATGATTGCTGTAAGTCCCTCGTTAAAGGCTCGGGATTAACACCTGTCACTCAGGACAGGTAATCCATAACTCCTTGTAGCTCGTTGGTTATTCTCTAAATATTCTGCCCTGAGTCAAATGCCATGTACACTTGAGTGTATGGAAGAGCAATCTCATTCAAATCAGATCTTAGTTCTCGCTACCGTTAAACAAAGATCTGACGACATCCCATTACAGGTCACGTCAGAACGACCTTTCGCGAATTTTGACCGGCCAATGAAATGACTGACAAGAAATCGACATTGGCCAATCAGATGGCAGCTTTCACAAGCTTTACGACACTAGTTTCAAGCTGGCGACTACGCTTCCAAACATATTTTGACGTATTCTCGATTAAAAATTTAAAAACTGATAAGATCATTCTGGAATGGGTAAGAGATGGCCTAGATTGTATGGGCATAATCATAAAACCTGTAACTGTCATTCGGAATACCCCGTGTTAAATATATCGTGGTTGCATGATTAGAAAACACATTCCGACTGTCACTTTCATGATCTGGTAAGCGACGCTCTATTTGGCTGGATGAAAGGTCGTTCTGACGTGACCCGTAATGGGATGTCCTCAGATCTTTGTTTAGCGATAGCGAGAACTAAGATCTGATTTTAATGAGATTGATGGAAGAGGGTCCTAATTTGGGCTTTAGGCAGCTAGATGTTAGGCCATTTGTCAGAAAGAATAATGCTGACTCCATAACGGGTTTGAAATCATACTTAATTAGTAAATTTTGGTACCAAGAAACATCTGTTCCTTCTGCTTTTTATTCATTTTTTTCATGGAATTTGGCAATGTGTTTCAACTAATTCCAAACTATACCACATGAAATATCAAATCAGCTATTGATAACACATTGCAGCTTAAAAACCTAGGACCAACAATTACTAAATATTTTGGTCTATTTAAAGAATTTAATTTAAGAACTTATTTCATTGTTGACTTGCAGGGCGTGAGGGAGTGAGTATGGTCTTACACTAGTTTTAGCAATATTCCAATTTCCAGTGATATCATGGCAGGGGACACCAGGGCATCATACGTTGTATCCATGTGGGGAACGAACCCTGGCCTTCGGCGTGACAAGTGAACGCTTTAACCACGAGGCTACCCCACTTCCCCTGAATTACATGGAACATTTACAGAATAACTCAGACTGACCATTTCCTAACAACGGTGTTAATGAGTCTCTTGACATGGAAACATTGTCAAACCAACCTTGGCTGAACAGCATGACTTCAAGAGCTAGTCGCAGGTCTGGTTTAGCCACTGAGACAACTCTGAACTGTCGAAGGATGGTGTCTGGCAGCGTGGCAATGGCGGAGGTGTACAGCAACATCTTGTCTGGGTCGCGGGGCAGAACCGGCACTTCTGATGACATGAAGCCAAAGCAGGCTCCGTGTGGACTGAGCTGGATGTCCTCGGACTGGTTGTGGACGACGGCCTTGCTTGCCCTCAGAGCTCCCATCACCACCGACATGAGCTGGGAAAACACGCTCAGCGCAGCAGGCTGAATCTGGTTCATCTTGTTGAAACACACCCAGGCCCCTGTTGGATACAAAATTAGGAAAGATTTAATTGTGGAGGACAAGATATTAATCTAAATAAATGATTGCTTGTTCGTTTGTTGATTAATGATGCACTGAGCAATATTCAAGCAATATAATAGTGGCCTGTAAATAATTAGTTTGGATCAGACAATCCGATTACTGCCTCTAAGCTTTCACTAAATGTTCATCATATTAGTCTTAAGGAAAACCTTTTTATCTTTACATAACTATTCAATTTGCTCTGGCTCTAAAACATCAAAGCATTTGTCACCCTGTTACAATCACTGCTGTTAACTAATATTATGATGAACGATTCACGTGGTCAGGGCACGATAACAAGCCATTAACCAAGTCACTATGTCCGACCACCTCATCCATAAGTCCCCTCTTAGATCCAGCATAGGTTGCTTGAGAGCAATTCTATCTCGGAATTCCCATGGGTTTCCAATGGAAAAGGCATAAGCTACAAAATATTGAGGAGGTTAAGGTCCAACCATCCAATTAGTTGACCTCATCTGCATCCCTTGTTTCAGTGCCGCTACACCCACCCATTCATGCACATCTTTCTTCAGTAGCCATATTCCCTTTAAGTTACTTCTCTGTATGTACTACCCCAGTATTAGAAGCTACACAGAAACGGTTTGTATTAAAGTATTTGATCAGCCACACTATCTTGGACCATCATTCTTAAAGATCACTTTATGACAAAAGGTTTTTCGCAATGTTTTAACCCCAGACAAACCCTACCATTTTGATTTTCTTAATCTGTAAAACAAATAATAACACAAGGAACTTAATTACAAGACTGCATCCTCCCAAGTTTAGTACAGTGTCTTGTTTGTTTGTTTGTTTGTTATTTAATGTCACTCTCAGCAATATAAAAAAGGGAGTCTTGACCAGACAATCCAGTGATTGACATCCTGATCATCAATCAACACAATTGTGATATGATGAAATGCTCAAACAAGTCAGCGAGCAGCCTGACCACCCAATCCTGTTAGTCACCTCAACTAACCTGTAGAAGCCATTCCTCGGAAGATGTCCTGCAGCTGTGAGTAGTCCATGCTTGGGGTACAGTTGAACACATACATGACGTGGCCCAGACACCGACTCAGTTCACACACAATCTCAAACTAACCTGTAGAAGCCATTCCTCGGAAGATGTCCTGCAGCTGTGAGTAGTCCATGCTTGGGGTACAGTTGAACACATACATGACATGGCCCAGACACCGACTCAGTTCACACACAATCTCAAACTTCCCACTTTCCTGCAACACAAACAGAACAGGAATTTACGAACAATGGTCAAGGCTGAAACATTCTACGATGCTCAAAATATACTGAAATCAATCATCCTGACATCGATATAATTCCCATTGTAAATTATACATAGGTTTTGGAATTGCAACGCTGGTACTGTATATAACAAGAATTCTCCAGGGGACATATAAAACTTGTCTACATCTAACAGACACTGACACATTGCTGACAACTTACACTGCCTGTAGTTATCTGGGACCAGTTCCAGTGATCGTAATTGTTAAGACAACCTAACTCCCATACTTAAACTCTGGAGGACTGGGGTTTAGGGCATATGGGGACATTGACAGCTTATCATACATGTTCTAGATAGTCATAGCCAGATAATACACTAGTCCTCAGCTCGTCCAATGTCCAACGTTTAAAATTTCATTAGATTCGGATTGGGGGACTGGTGGCCATGTTAAGCCATGTCTCATCGCAATCCTATTCAATATTTTGTGTGAGATAACTTTCATATCTCAGGCTAATTAGTCATTTGTTTGTTTGTTGTTTACACCACATTCAGATTCTTCCAGCTATTATGACAGAGGTGTGTAAATAATTGAGCCTGGACAAGACAATCCAGAGATTGACATTAAGAGCATCAGTTGATGCAACTGGGATACGATGACATGCATCTACTAGGTCAGCCAGTCTGACCACACAATCCCATTGGTGGCCTCTTACAGCAAGCATGGATTGCGGAAGACCAATTCTAAACTGGATCTTCACAGCCCTAAATTGTTGTAGTTAGTTTCCGTATTTGACATAATAAGCGCCCAGCGTGCTCTCAAAATTAGAAATAAGGGGCTGTTAAAAGAATATACTATTTTTGTAAAAATCAATTGATTTAAAAGATCGTAAATTTTGTGGTTTATGCTGACAGCCTGAAATGTTTATACAACAGATATATTTTTCCAGAATTTCATTTCCCATAATTAAGGATGCATATAACACACATATTATACAAGAATAAATAAGTCTTGTGTACATTGATCAATCGGAAGGGGTGCTAATTGGGAATGTTCACTAGCAAATATATAAGCAAATATCGCCATGGATGCTTATTAGAGCGGGCGCTTATTGCGTCGGTATTCAACACAGCAGTACTTACAATAGGTCCCACACAGAGAGCTCCATGATGAGACTTGATTGCTTGAGTGAGAGACACAAACACTCGCTCTGTGAGGGGGGTAATCACCTCCCTGCTGCTGGCGCCGATGTACTCAAAGCCGTACTCAAACCCAGCATCCATACACTGCCAACAACATAGTTGTGGTTAGTACAAGCACACATACATAACATCCTGGGCAGAAGTATGAGAATACTACACATGACAACATCCTAAAAAAAACATCTGAGAACATGGCCAAGTTATAAAGGTGAATGACTAAATCATCTTTAGTTTTGTTTGTTTCTTGTTTAATGCAATATTCAGCAATATTTCAGCGACATTCAGTAATATTTCAGCTTTATGATGTCAGTCTGTAAATAATTGAGTCTGCACCAGACATTCAAGTGATTGACATCATGAGCATCAATTTGGATACAATGACATGCATCTACTAAGTCAGCTAGTCTGACCACCCAATCCTGTTGGTCACCTGCTATGACAAATATGGGTTACTGAAGACCAATTCTAACCCGGATCTTCAATGGGGATGAATCATTACAAGTGATTCACAAATGATAAAATCACATTCTCATGCCAGGGTCATATAAACATATGAAACAAAACTACCACTGTATGAAACAAATGGGACCTCTTTAAAGCAATGTTACTTTTTGCAAATGTTGATGAGATTCTACATCTCAGATGTTTTACATTAATTAGACAATTTGAATGACTACACAAGAAAAATACAAGATCTGAACTACAGTGTTCAAATGCAGTTGCTACTATTTGCCTAATATACATAACTTGTGCAACTTTAGTCCATCTTAGTGGTGGAAGTGAATCTGTTGGCCTGGTTCAACTGATCCATCATGACCTAGATTCTACAGTTACTAACACACTGGTTAAGCATACCTGTATTGTCACAGCCGTAGCCTGATTCAACTGAGCCACCATGACCTAGATTCTACAGTTACTAACACACTGGTTAAGCATACCTGTATTGTCACAGCTGTAGCCTGATTCAACTGAGCCACCATGACCTAGATTCTACAGTTACTAACACACTGGTTAAGCATACCTGTATTGTCACAGCCATAGCCTGATTCAACTGAGCCACCATGACCTAGATTCTGCAGTTACTAACACACTGGTTAAGCATACCTGTATTGTCACAGCCATAGCCTGATTCAACTGAGCCACCATGACCTAGATTCTGCAGTTACTAACACACTGGTTAAGCATACCTGTATTGTCACAGCCATAGCCTGATTCAACTGAGCCACCATGACCTAGATTCTGCAGTTACTAACACACTGGTTAAGCATACCTGTATTGTCACAGCCATAGCCTGATTCAACTGAGCCACCATGACCTAGATTCTACAGTTACTAACACACTGGTTAAGCATACCTGTATTGTCACAGCCATAGCCTGATTCAACTGAGCCACCATGACCTAGATTCTGCAGTTACTAACACACTGGTTAAGCATACCTGTATTGTCACAGCCATAGCCTGATTCAACTGAGCCACCATGACCTAGATTCTACAGTTACTAACACACTGGTTAAGCATACCTGTATTGTCACAGCCATAGCCTGATTCAACTGAGCAACCATGACCTAGATTCTACAGTTACTAACACACTGGTTAAGCATACCTGTATTGTCACAGTCGTAGCCTGATTCAACTGAGCCACCATGACCTAGATTCTACAGTTACTAACACACTGGTTAAGCATACCTGTATTGTCACAGCCATAGCCTGATTCAAATGAGCAACCATGACCTAGATTCTACAGTTAATAACACACTGGTTAAGCATACCTGTATTGTCACAGCCGTAGCCTGATTCAACTGAGCCACCATGACCTAGATTCTACAGTTAATAACACACTGGTTAAGCATACCTGTATTGTCACAGCCGTAGCCTGATTCAACTGAGCCATCATGACCTAGATTCTACAGTTACTAACACACTGGTTAAGCATACCTGTATTGTCACAGCCATAGCCTGATTCAACTGAGCCATCATGACCTAGATTCTACAGTTACTAACAAACTTGTTAAGCATACCTGTATTGTCACAGTCGTAGCCTGATTCAACTGAGCAACCATGACCTAGATTCTACAGTTAATAACACACTGGTTAAGCATACCTGTATTGTCACAGCCGTAGCCTGATTCAACTGAGCCATCATGACCTAGATTCTACAGTTACTAACACACTGGTTAAGCATACCTGTATTGTCACAGCCGTAGCCTGATTCAACTGAGCCACCATGACCTAGATTCTGCAGTTACTAACACACTGGTTAAGCATACCTGTATTGTCACAGCCATAGCCTGATTCAACTGAGCAACCATGACCTAGATTCTACAGTTAATAACACACTGGTTAAGCATACCTGTATTGTCACAGCCGTAGCCTGATTCAACTGAGCAACCATGACCTAGATTCTGCAGTTACTAACACACTGGTTAAGCATACCTGTATTGTCACAGCCGTAGCCTGATTCAACTGAGCAACCATGACCTAGATTCTACAGTTACTAACACACTGGTTAAGCATACCTGTATTGTCACAGCCATAGCCTGATTCAACTGAGCAACCATGACCTAGATTCTACAGTTAATAACACACTGGTTAAGCATACCTGTATTGTCACAGCCATAGCCTGATTCAACTGAGCCACCATGACCTAGATTCTACAGTTACTAACACACTGGTTAAGCATACCTGTATTGTCACAGCCATAGCCTGATTCAACTGAGCCACAATGACCTAGATTCTACAGTTACTAACACACTGGTTAAGCATACCTGTATTGTCACAGCCTTGGTGTCCTCCTTGAAGTTGTACATCATCTGACACTTCCAGTCGAAGGTGGTGGCTGGAGCTTGAGTAGCGGCCAGCTCCATCAGTCTGTGAATCAGGTCACGCAGATGGGCCAGCAGGGCCAGGAGACAGGTCAGCTTCTGTATCTGACTTGGGAACAGCATCAGCTTCACCTCTGTCTTATCATCTTCCTCCACTACTGTCTCCACGACAACCACAGATTCCTTCTTCTCCTCTGGCACAAGGATGTTCATTGTGTCCAGTGGCTGCATGGTGTTGGCCTCTTGAACAGCTGGTAGTAAGGAGAAAAGGGAAGTGATTAATAATTATCTTATCCTAATTTCCTTTCTGCTATTTGTTTTCTCAGGACAATGAAAACATGAGTATCATCCCTGTGCTGACCATCCGCTTGGAGTTGATAGAGAATGGTGTGGCATTCCGGCCACCTCTTGACCAGAACACATCAGTTATCAGTGTCCAGGAACTGGTTCAGCGCTGGCTGGAAGGTTTCCTGGCTCGGGGGAAACTTGTCAGCATGTTGGGGCCCAAGGTGGGTAGAACCACGTAGTTCATGCTCTGTTGAATCCCACATACTTCACAGATCTAGTTTTTTACATTAGGGACTGGTCACTTGTTATTGGGGGTGTTGGACCAGTGGGATTGTTCTTAGGACTTAGTTACCAAAAGATTGTACAGTACCAAGTTATAGGAATAATTTACATACTGAAACATTCCACTTCATACTAACTTTCCTTGTGTGGAGTGACCACATTTTCTGAACTTTCCTGGTGACATGAAGTGAAATGGGGTTTCAGATACCATGCCGCAGTTTAACATGACTATCCTACTCAGACACAGTATACTGACTCTGAGCTGACCAGTCCTTGTTTTAGCCCCTTAATGCTAAGTCCCAGTCAGGTTAACAACAAGTACCATATTTAAACATCTTTTGGGATTGAACCCACGACCTCCAGCTCTCCAGGCAGATGCTCTGAAGTTTCACTTCTTTATTACTCGTGATGATGTTTCATAGCTACTTCTTGCCCTTCATCGGGTGAATGAAAAGGGGAAGAAGAAGCCCTGAAAAAATGCTACAAATATTTCACCAGATTAAGAGGCAAAAATGGGCTTAGAAACGTCACTACACATATTTCTCCAGATGAGGGGGCAAGAGGAGACAAGAGGAATCCCTGAAACGTCGTTACAAATATTTCTCCAGATGAATGGGCAAAACAGAATCCCTGAAACGTCGTTACAAATATTTCTCCAGATGAAGGGGCAAAACAGAATCCCTGAAACGTTGTTACAAATATTTCTCCAGATTAAAGGCCAAAAAGGAGCTTGAAAACATCACTAGACATATTTCTCCAGATGAGGGGGGAAGAGGGAGCCCTGAAACGTCGTTACAAATATTTCACCAGATTAAGCGCCAAAAAGGAGCTTGGAAAGGACACTACAGATATTTCACCAGATGAGGAGGCAAGATTTATTTCACCAGGCTACAGGCCAAAAGGAGCAACTTTACAATAATGACATGAGCTACACGACCTACATCAATTCCCACCATGAGACAAACTACAATATCCTTATACATGAAAATAACTCACTAATCATTTATTCTTTCACAATAAATTAACTATTCTTTCACAATAAATTAACTAACTCAAACAACTTGATGAAAAATATTTTTAATTTAATCTGACCTTCTCAAATTTGTTCATAAAATTCAGTAAACCAGAGATAGTGTGAGGTCTTACATTCAGCATCCCCAGTGGTAAGCACATCCTCCTCCTCCTCCTCCTCCATGATGGGGGACTTGTCCCCTGCCACGTCCAGGGTGGAGCCCTTCTTGGAGGCCGGGGCAGCGCTACGCCGTCCCTGGGACTCCGACAACAGGTCCTGCTCCCTCTCCGTGATCATGTCCTTCATTGACTGCGCTGTACAAACAGAGGTGAGGGGTTTAACGTCGCATCCAAGATTATTGCACTTATATAGCGACGTGCATGCACGTGTGTGTGTTTGTGTAGCTGCTTGTACTAGTCCGGACTGATGCCGATTTATAGTGCTTGCACACTGAGATACCATGCCGCAGTTTAACATGAATACCCCACTCAGACACAGTATACTGACTCCGAGCCGACCAGTCCTTGTTTTAGTCCCTTTATGCCGAGCGCCAGACAGGGTAACAACAAGTACCATCAAACCCCGGACCTTCCGCTCTCCCGGCGGACGCTCTACCACTAGACCACGGAGGCAGTATGAACACACAGAGCAAGAGTCAGTGTTGTTTTACATGTCATAGTCAGCAATATTTCTACTGCATCAGGACAGCCAGGCAGGCAGTCCAGGGGTGGCAGCAAAAGTAACGATCACATATTGTAACCACAAGGCCCCTGTTCTATGAAGCGATTTTAGCACAACGACTATGGTATGTCTGTGTTAAAACACTGCAGTTACAATGTTCTTTCTTAAAGCATAGGAGTTACCATCATCTATGTTAACACATCAGACTTATAATTATCTATTTTAAAGCACGGGAGTTACAATCATCTAGAGTTAACACATGGGAGATACAATCTTCTATCTTAAAGCACGGGAGTTACAGTCAAACATGTTAAAGCACTGGACCTATGATCATCTATCATAAAATATGGGAGTTATAACATAATCTTAGAACTAAAATCGCTTTGTAGAATGACGCCCTTATCCAAAGCAGTTGGTCTTTACAAAACACATGAGGTATTCTGAATCTCTTCTGTCCTAGAATCCCCACGGGGGCACAAAAGTTGGTTTGAGTGAGCAAATGAATGTTATTTTACACAAAGGTTAGCAATAGTGTCAGAAATGTGTTGGGACTTAATCGTCAATCATTGTTCCCTATAAATCTGTTTCAATTCAATCAATAACAGTTCCTAATCTATCTGTATTCTCCTCGTCAGTTCATTTCTCTTGATACTTATTACTTAATTGAATGCATTTATTCTTCCTGTCACTCCCCACAGTATGAAACAATAGAAACATATGCTCCTGTCAGGATCAGAATAAGTAAATGTTTCTTAGCAACCACAAACATAATCAAATCACGTTGCAACACAATTTTCACACTTGAACAAATTGGGACCATGATGTGAAATCTGTCCATACATTTTTTTAAGGCCGAGTTAAACATGTTTCCGAAATTCAAGTCCTTTTCAAAATAGTTTCAAATTTGAGGTTGAAAAATTTGGAAGAAAGTTGTAGAGGTACCCGAGTGGATTGCATGTCCATTTCACCTACCATCACTGCTGGGTTTCTCCTTGTCACGCCGTTGACTTGCTTCCTTTTCCCCCTCCAGCCCCTTCAGCAACATGGTGGTAGCTGCGATGCTGGTGTCTATCTTGTCCAGGGCATCCTGATGTCAAACACACATAGGTCAGCTCGCATAAAACACAAGCAAAAGTGAGCATGTATGGTCCAAGGATAACCTGTCAATATTTACTTTGAGGGAGCATGAACTCACACAAAGCCTTCAATTGTAGGGGGGTACCAGAGAAATGTTAAAAACTGAATACAGTTCACGACTGTAAGTGATGTAAGATTGCCCATGCTTAGAGGCTGTTAGTTCAAAACAGATCTGCAGTTCCCCATCTGAAACAAGTGCTGTGCTAGAAGATCATGAAGCATTCAACTGTATGGCATGTTTTTCAAGAAATCAGGGTTAGAAACTAACAGTTTTTGTCCACTAGTCCTTATAATGATAACATATAGCAAAACCCTTAAAATTGGCCAATTTCTACTAGTCCTTAGGATACCTTTACCGTTGGGCAGTTTGGTAAGGACGACAGGACTAGTGCCAATTTCTATCAGTGTTTATGTTATGCTTTCCAGAGGACGAACTTTATATTTTGTATTTTTTCAATTCAATTCAATTCTTATGTGTATAGGATGCAGTATTTGGCATAAGGTACACCCCCGACGGTCTTACAACACGTTTAAGAAATGTGCCAACTGTATCACACCAGAGGCAGCAATTATTGGCCTCACATATTGTAATTTGAGCCAAAACCCAGTACTGGATGTGACTTTCATCTTATATCAGTCAGTACATGGTAGAAGTTTGTTCAAAGATCATAGATGTTTTTCAACCGACTGACTACAGGGAAGTACTGTAGTGAAAATGAAACCCCCTTCAATTTTTAAACAATTATGGCTATGACAAGGACCCGAATGCTTCATTTTAAAACAATGATCTTCTTCACAAGCATGACCACTGTGTTTCATTCTGTGATAAGCCATAGTACTGTATATGACCAAAGATAAGCCGTATTTAGAGGACCAGAAAAAAGATTCTGTAGAAAAGGGTCGCCTTTGTAAAAGTTACACTTCATCAAACTATCTTCCTGTTGATGATAAAACTACATCGTATCGCTTCAGGTGAACGAACAGATATACAATAAACACTTTTTTATGACCAGATATACTGTAACGACAGGATTAATTCGCGTAATTCAAAACAGACAGTTGATATTCTATTTCCGATGACGGAGACGAGACATAGTTTTAGGTTGGTGGTCTGGCTTTAGATCCACACATAACATTTTGATACGGAATTTCAAGGACAAAGTTAATACCTTGGCTTAACTATGAAATTGGCTTATCTACAGTCATTTACGATAGCTAACAGAAAGATGAATGGGAGTTTCTTGCTAGCTGAGCACAAATATAAAACATACCCTCAGAGCCTCTGCATTTCCAGCCTCTAGTCCGTCCACTGACTCCGCTATCTGTTTCGTCATCTGGATCTGTGTCGCTAGGTAGACGACCTCTGACACATGGTCCAGTGTCCATGACCTACTGCCCTCCTCTAATGGGTCAAGGTCAGCAAATAGTTCCCCGGTTGATAGTGTCTTCGTCACTCCGGCATCTTCCTTCTTGCCCTGCCGACTTGACTGCCGACTCCCAGGTGGGTCTGGAGGGGTAACAACAGTATATCACCCAAAGGTAATAGCCATATTCACGTCACTTCAGTACTGAATGGACCCGTGAAGATCCGGGTTAGAATAGGTCTCCAGCAACGTATACTTGTTGTAAGAGGCGACAATGCTTGTCATGACTAACGGGACTCGATCACTTGGTTGATGCATGTCATCGTATCCTAAATGCGTGGATTGATGCTCATGATATCAATCACTGTGTTGTCTGGTACAGACTTGATTATTTACTGACTGCAGTCATATAGTTTGTATATTGCTGAGTGTGGCGTTAAACAATTAACAAACAAATCAGTACTGAATACTGTATAATGTATTAAATTACTTATCGACCATTCATCAATTATCTGACATTAGGATAGACTAACAATTAATCCCAAAAATACAGTACCAGTAAGTGTAAGATTAAATACAATGATTATAGGAAGGAATTATTTAAGTCCCTAAAATTTCAGAGCTGAAATGGGGATGAGTTCAGGCTGACGGAGCTACAAAGGGGATGAAAGTGAAATGAGAGCACTTGTGCTATTAAATAAATGCTCTGGTGTGTGTGAAAGAAACCAACTGTACAGTAGAGCTAATCATAACAATCGTCCTTTTATGTGTAATTGGCAAATCCAGAATGCTGCTTTGCAACAAAGCTCCTAACAGCAGTACCTATTTCCCTGCATACAATTCAAGGTCCAATTCTACGTTTGTATGTTTGTTTGTTTGTTGTTTAAAGCCGCACACAGCAATATTCCAGCTATATAACGGCAGTCTGTACATAATCCAGTCTGGACCAGACAATCAAGTGATTGACATCATGAGCATCAATCCATGCAATTAGGATACGATGACATGGATCAACCAAGTCAGCGAGCCTGACCACCCGATCCCATTAGTCGCCTCTTACAACAAGCATAGTCGCCATTTACAGCAAGCATGGGTTGCTGAAGACCTAATCTACACCAAATCTTCACGGGTATCTCATTCTACAAAGCAACAATAGCGCTACAACTGTTGTGAGTCTATGTTAAAGTATAGGAGTTATAATCGTCTTAGTATTAAGAGTGCATTGTGAAAAGGGGAGGGAAATGTAGTCATAATGAAAAGGAACGAGCTTGCTTCGGAATATATCAACTGGTGTCTAATTCACTATTATACGTAATATTGATAGCAAAAGGATGTTCAGGTGAGTGAATGTTCTTTCTTGCCAACAAAATGTAGTATACCAGGTACATCATGTTCAGGTGTAATGGAACCTCGGACAGGAAGGCCAGTGGCTGACAGCACAAAACAATCCATTCCATATGGATGAGGGGACACACAATTCAACCAGGTCAAACCAGGTCAAACATTGTAAACATCAAACCCGACCAGGGCCCCGTTCCACAAGGCGTTCTTAGCGTTCTAAGTCGGTCGTAAGTCCTATTCTTTAACACTGACTTACGACAGTCGTAGCACTAAGATCGCTTTGTGGAACGGGTCCCAGTGCTCTAAAAATAGAAAAAACATTACCAGACTGCCATCAGGACCCACAGACTATAGAAGCTGCAGGCTCTGAGTAAACTCATCAGGCCCTGATTCAAAAACTTCAGCTTATTGTGACAAATCAATTTACTCAGACCACAAGGACCTATACAAATTTATAAACTACGAGCCTGACATGAGATCTACCTACTTCTATTGGGTCGGGTCAGAGACTGACCCGACCCAATAGAACTCCCATAATTCACAGAGCTTATAGTTATACAGACTCAAATCAAAACAAAGATTTATCAGCTTCAAGATTTCCTAAGAGGCTGTGATCAGAATTAAGGGTACTGGGATCCTCGAGATTTGCTGAAGTTATTTAAATCAAGGACGCCCTAAATCTTTATTCAATCTTTATAAATACCGTGTTCGACAGTAATAAGCGATATTTGCTAATATGTTGGCTAGTGAACAATCCTAATTAGCACCCCTTCCGATTGATCAATGTACACAAGACTTATTTATTCATGTATAATCTCGTGTGTTATATGCACCTTTAATCATGGGCAATTAAATTCTGGAAAATATATCTGTTGTATATAAGCATTTCAGGCTGTCAGCATGAATCACAAAAGTTGCGATCTTTCACCAAAATAATATTCTAATAAGAGCCCCCTATTCCTAATTTTGAGAGCGCCCTGGGCGCTTTTTAAGGCGGGTTATAGCGAGGATCCCCCCGTGCTCAGCTCGGGAGCCTGAAAGTATACAAGACTCACGAGCTGCTGGTGTCAGCTGACCTTTACTTGTCTTGGTGTTGGAGTTTGAGCTCTGTGTGGGTAGGGGCACCTTCCTGGCCCCTGCACTGCGGATCCTCTTGGTCTTCAGGGGTTTCTCTACCCCCAGGGATGTGGCCAGCTGGTACTGCAGGGTGGACTTGATGCCGCTGATGAGAGCTGTCAGCCATGTCTCAATCTGACCGTCACAGTTTACGGGCTGCAGAGAAGAAAGAATAGAAGTAACACTGAAACACTGGCTTGCTGGAATATTGCTAAAAGCAGCGTAAAACCATACTCACTCACTCCACATTCTGGCGACTAGGTTGGTTCAGTTAGAATTGTGGGTGTTATGAAATATTTGAAATATCTGAAATATTTTGATGTTATTTATCATAATGGAATAGCTCATGGAGGATGGGTTACCTGGATCAGCTCCATCCTCTCTCCGAGGGTACTCTCCACCCCGGTGATGGTGAAGCTGCATCTGTCGTTCTCCTCCTGTGTGTCGTACACCAGGCTCCCCACGTTCTCAAACAGCTTGCTGATGTACAGGTTCACCTGGCTCAGGTCATACCCTGTAACACATCACATATACATAAGGCAAGGAAAATCATTCAGAAATTTACAACAGCTTAAGGCTTTTATTTTTAAGTTGCCCTATGGATTCGTCAATCCAAAACACTGAGAATATATATTTTGTTTTTGTCATGTGAGAATGTTTTGACTTTGTTTCCCCCTGCTGAACTTATTTTTTGGGGGGGGAAAAATCTAAAAACTAACCACCCGCAATAAAAAAAGGAGGTCTATTTAATTTAGAAAGCTGTGAAGTTGTCCTGTACCATAGCCGATCTCATTAAAATCAGATCTAAGTCCTAGTTGCCGCTAAACTAAGATCTGAGGACATCCTATTACGGGTCATGTCAGAACGACCTTTCGCGAACTTTGACCGACCACTGAAACGATTAACAAGGAGTCGACATCAGCCAATTAGAGAGCAGCTTTCTCAAGCTTTACCGCACTGGTTTCAGCCCAGCGACTTCCATTTCAGACTACGCTTGAAAAACATGTTGACACAGCTTTCAATTAAAATTTTGAAAACTGAACAAACGAACATTCCGGGATGTCTAATATATGGTTGAGATTGTATGGCAGTGCTTCCCACGTACAGTGCATCGCCTCCTCCATTCAAAGGTTTGTCCCATGGAAGCAAGAGATAGGCGATAATTTTGAGGGAACCAGTCGTACCTGTCGTTCAGAATACCCCGTGTTAACTTTCAAAGTTGCATGATTAGATAACACAACTGTCACTTTCATGATCTGGTCAGCGACGCTTTCATTGGTCGGAAGAAAGGTCGTTTTGACGTGACCCGTAATAGGATGTCCTCAGATCTTTGTTTAGCGATAGCTAGAACTAAGAACTGATTTTAATGAGATTGGTACCATTGGCAGTTTTACTATAGAGATACGCATGGTGTAGTGACTCTGCCTGTCGTCTGCCAACTTCTATAATATTCCATTAAATCATCTTGTCATCTGCCATGTTTAGCTTCACTTTCTATCTGACAACAACTAATGATCAAATAAAAAATGACTTAAAAAAATATCAAATACACTTTAAACTTTTCCATTCCAAATCATTCCCATATCAAATAACATGTGCTCATGGTCTTCATACAAGTATCATTGTGTCGGGACAAATGACTCACAGGATGTTTGTTTGTTTGTTGTTTAACGCCGCACTCAGCAATATTACAGCTATATGACAGCAGTCTAAACAATCGAGTCTGGACCAGACAATCCAGTGATTGACAACATGAGCATCGATCCACGCAATTGGGATCGATTTCATGCATCAACCAAGTCAGCAAGACTGACCACCCGATCCCGTTAGTCTCCCCTTACGACAAGCATATTTGCCATTTACAGCAAGCATGGGTTGCTGAAGACTTATTCTACCCCGGAATCTTCACGGGTCCCTCACAGGATGATGTTGCCCAGAATGCAGAGTCTCTACAGTTCTAACCTTTGACCAATATCAGGGTTTTACCATGCACAAAATTCTGCCTTTGAATTTTATGAAAAAAAATGCATGTTGGAATTATTGCAGCTAATTAATCTGAAGCATAAATACTTAAGGTTTATCTAACATTTCATTCTAATAAGAAATACAATCAATGTACAGACAATCCATGTCAGAATTTTTGCACTTTGAAACCAGGAATGTGATGGAATCACTGACCGTTACACACGATGTGCAGGACGTCCTCCATGGAGAGGAAGTAGAATCGGGGGAAGATCTGACGCCGTCTCTCCAGATGGTTGAGCAGGGACTTGCGACACGTCTCCAGGCTGTGGTTCATGTGCTCCAGGATGTTCAAGATGTCTGCACAAGGTTCACAAACATTTAACCTTCACATGGTACTGTGTGACACTAATCACCTGTAGGCTACCGGTACATACACTATGAAGAAGAGTGAATGTTGTTTTATGTCACAGACAGCAATACCACAGCTTTATTATGATGGTCTGTATTACCCTGACTCATACTATTGCTTATCTCTCTCTTTTTCGAAGGTTGTGGAAACTTCCTGTGCTGTGTTCCCGGAAAACTCAGAAAACATCTCACCCAAACACACCCCTGATCCAAGACAGTGACCAGTCTTGGTCACAGGGATCTCGTGCGTCTGCACGGTTCAGGCTTGTGTTTGGGTGTGATGATTTCTCTGTTCAAACCCAAACACAACCCTGAACCGAGCAGGCGCACCAGATCCATGTGACCAAGACCGGTAACTCTCCAGGATCAGGGGTGCGTTTGGGTGAGATGTTTTCTCTGTTCTCCGGGAACACAGCACAGGAAGTTTCCATGACTGCAGGTTCAGTCCACACAGCTGGGGCATCATCTTATGTATACAAGCCGGGAGGGTTGTCCAGCATTGGTGTGAACCCTGTTGTGTCTGCTAAAGGATATGGTTTTGGGTAGTCGTATACTTACTCTTGCGTGAACAGCACTGAAGGACATTGGGGTTCTTCTCTGATGCCCTCATGAGGAGGCGGAAGTCCTTGTTGACCACAGAAAATCTGTTAGCATCGTGAGACAGTGACGTTCTCACATCCGTGCTGGAGAAAATCTGCAAATATACATTTTGACATTGAAACTATTGTAGTTCAAGTAATACCACACTTTGGGAGTTTGTTTGGTTTCTAACACTACTCAGCAATAATCCAGCTATGTGATGGCAGATAAATAATCAAGTCTGGACCAGACAAACTAGTGACTGAAACTGTGAGCAAAGATCCATGCCATTCAATCTCCTGTTGCCTCGTACAGTCAGCATTGGGTGCTGGGGACCAGTTTTAACTTGGTTAGGTGTAGGTAACGATACTAAAATTGTTTCATTGTGTGTAGTTGAGGCATTTATATTTCATAAATGATGTGAGGTGTAATGAGATTTATTGAGATTATTGAACTTATAAAGCGACGTGCATGTGCATGTGCATGTGTATGTGTGTCTGTGGTGGCTACTTTTACTAGTCCAGACTGATGTTGGTTGTATAGACTGGTTGTGTATAGACACGATGCCGCAGTATAGCATGCATGGATAGCCCACACAGACACAGCATACCGATTCCAATCCCACCAGTCCTCTTTTATCCCCTTAATGCCGAGCAAGCACAAGGTAGGGTAACAACAAGAATCATCTTTTAACATCTTTTGGCCTGAGCCTAGCCTCCCTATAAAGCTCGACCACATTTCAGCAAGTTTTTGATGTTGTACCTCCTCGAGCTCCACCCACTTCTCCTGTACTTCCAGCCAGGTGGTGAGAACAGCCTCGATGGTCTGGAGACGTTTCTGCCACTTGAGCACCTCGTCCAGGAAGGAGCCAGCAGCACTGTTGCTCTGCATGGCCTGCAGTGACACCTGGTGGCACTCCAGCTCGTCAAATATAGGCTCCGTTGTCGTCAACAGATAGAGTAATCCAGTGTCCTGGTATCAAACAACAATCAAAGATTAAAGTTCAAATGTTTTGGAAATCTTGCCTTTTCGACATTATTACTAAAAGCGGAATCATTAGGGGAGAAACAATAGCGAAGAACAGTGCAACTTACAGTGTGAACTTTTTCGTTATATTTTTATGCTACCCATTTAACCTAAATCAAGACAGTAAAGTGGAAAAAATGTAAAATTATCAATCCAACAAACACTTTAATAAGGGGGCCCCCAAAATAGGACTGTCATGTAAGCCAGTTCAGTGAACAAATTACAAAGACAGCAGATAGGATGAGGTTGGTTGGTTTGTTAGTTTAACGCCGCACTCAGCAATATTCCAGCTATATGCAGCTGTGTCAATAATCGAGTCTGGACCAGACGATCCAGTGATTGACATCATGCGCATCGATCCACGTTATTGGGATATGATGACATGTATCAACCAAGTCAGCAAGCCTGACCATCCGATTCTGTTAGTCGCCTCTTACGACAAACATAGTCGCTTTTTACGGCAAGCATGGGTTGCTGAAGACCTATTCTAGCCCGGCTCATGGTCAGATAGGATGAGGAAGTCGACTCACCTCGCCCATGTTGAGCAGGGAGGCTGGCAGGGAGCAGACACTGTTTCTCTTGCGGCTGTGGGAACTCTGGTTGGAGATGCGGCTAGTGGTGCGCGCCTGACTCCGACTGGGCTGAGAGTTGCCAGGCAGCAGCTGCTGGGTTTGACCCGCATCACTCTGGCCGTACTCGCTCTGGTTGTCCTGGACATATACACATGTGTTACCACTAATGAAAGTGAGCTGGGAAAGACATAAACTCCCCAAGGAGCTGGGAAAGACATAGGCTCCCCAAGGAGCTGGGAAAGACATAGGCTCCCCAAGGAGCTGGGAAAGACATAAACTCCCCAAAGAGCTGAGAAAGACATAAACTCCCCAAGGAGCTGGGAAAGACATAGGCTCCCCAAGGAGCTGGGAAAGACATAAACTCCCCAAGGAGCTGGGAAAGACATAGGATCCCCAAGGAGCTGGGAAAGACATAAACTCCCCAAGGAGCTGGGAAAGACATAGGATCCCCAAGGAGCTGGGAAAGACATAAACTCCCCAAGGAGCTGGGAAAGACATAGGATCCCCAAGGAGCTGAGAAAGACATAAACTCCCCAAGGAGCTGGGAAAGACATAGGATCGCCAAGGAGCAGAGAAAGACATAAACTCCCCAAGGAGCTGGAAAAGACATAGGCTCCTCAAGGAGCTGGGAAAGACATAGGATCCCCAAGGAGCTGGGAAAGACATAAACTCCCCAAGGAGCTGGTAAAGACATAGGCTCCCCAAGGAGCTGAGAAAGACATAGGATCCCCAAGGAGCTGGGAAAGGCATAAACTCCCCAAGGAGCTGGGAAAGACATAGGCTCCCCAAGGAGCTGGGAAAGACATAGGATCCCCAAGGAGCTGAGAAAGACATAAACTCCCCAAGGAGCTGGGAAAGACATAGGATCCCCAAGGAGCTGGGAAAGACATAAACTCCCCAAGGAGCTGGGAAAGACATAGGATCCCCAAGGAGCTGGGAAAGACATAAACTCCCCAAGGAGCTGGGAAAGACATAGGATCCCCAAGGAGCTGAGAAAGACATAAACTCCCCAAGGAGCTGGGAAAGACATAGGATCGCCAAGGAGCAGAGAAAGACATAAACTCCCCAAGGAGCTGGAAAAGACATAGGATCCCCAAGGAGCTGAGAAAGACATAGGCTCCTCAAGGAGCTGGGTAAGACATAGGATCCCCAAGGAGCTGAGAAAGACATAAACTCCCCAATGAGCTGGGAAAGACATAGGCTCCTCAAGGAGCTGGGAAAGACATAGGATCCCCAAGGAGCTGAGAAAGACATAAACTCCCCAATGAGCTGGGAAAGACATAAACTCCCCAAGGAGCTGGTAAAGACATAGGCTCCCCAAGGAGCTGAGAAAGACATAGGATCCCCAAGGAGCTGGGAAAGGCATAAACTCCCCAAGGAGCTGGGAAAGACATAGGCTCCCCAAGGAGCTGGGAAAGACATAGGATCCCCAAGGAGCTGAGAAAGACATAAACTCCCCAAGGAGCTGGGAAAGACATAGGATCCCCAAGGAGCTGGGAAAGACATAAACTCCCCAAGGAGCTGGGAAAGACATAGGATCCCCAAGGAGCTGGGAAAGACATAAACTCCCCAAGGAGCTGGGAAAGACATAGGATCCCCAAGGAGCTGAGAAAGACATAAACTCCCCAAGGAGCTGGGAAAGACATAGGATCGCCAAGGAGCAGAGAAAGACATAAACTCCCCAAGGAGCTGGAAAAGACATAGGATCCCCAAGGAGCTGAGAAAGACATAGGCTCCTCAAGGAGCTGGGTAAGACATAGGATCCCCAAGGAGCTGAGAAAGACATAAACTCCCCAATGAGCTGGGAAAGACATAGGCTCCTCAAGGAGCTGGGAAAGACATAGGATCCCCAAGGAGCTGGGAAAGACATAAACTCCCCAAGGAGCTGGTAAAGACATAGGCTCCCCAAGGAGCTGAGAAAGACATAGGATCCCCAAGGAGCTGGGAAAGACATAAACTCCCCAAGGAGCTGGGAAAGACATAGGCTCCCCAAGGAGCTGGGAAAGACATAGGATCCCCAAGGAGCTGAGAAAGACATAAACTCCCCAAGGAGCTGGGAAAGACATAGGATCCCCAAGGAGCTGGGAAAGACATAAACTCCCCAAGGAGCTGGGAAAGACATAGGATCCCCAAGGAGCTGAGAAAGACATAAACTCCCCAAGGAGCTGGGAAAGACATAGGATCCCCAAGGAGCTGAGAAAGACATAAACTCCCCAAGGAGCTGGGAAAGACATAGGCTCCCCAAGGAGCTGGGAAAGACAAAGGCTCCCCAAGGATCTGGGAAAGACATAGGCTCCCCAAGGAGCTGAGAAAGACATAGGCTCCCCAAGGAGCTGGGAAAGACATAGGCTCCCCGAGGAGCTGAGAAAGACACAGCGAGCTCACTGTTCCACTGACAAGGGTAATAAAATTGATAAATTTACACAATATGCAAACCATTTTAACTCCATAAACGCAAGAGACAGATTGAAGTCAATACTCAAATAAGCAAGATAACTTTGTGACTATAATATCTAGCAATTTGGGTCATTTAAGAAATTATGCAGAATTGTGTGCAAAAATGGGATCTAGTCATATATTATCCTTTACTTTTACTTATTATCCCTAGTAGGGTTAGAAATAACTGAGTTATCAAAATCATATAAGCACTAGTGCAAATATCACTTCTCACTTTTTCCGTCATCCAGACAGCATTGTTGACAGCATTCGAATCTTATTGTGACATAAGGTCGGAATGACGTCAGACTAGATTGTTCGCTGCACACTGCACTCAGCAATATTCCAGCTATATGACGGCAGTCTGTAAATAATCAAGTCTGGACCAGACAATCCAGTGATTGACATCATGAGCATCGATCCTTGCAACTGGGATGCATTAACCAAGTCAGCGGGCCTGACCACCCGATCCCATTAGTCGTTTCTTACGACAAGCATAGTCGCCTTTTACAGCAAGTATGGGTGGCTGAAGACCTTTCCTAACCCGGATCTTCACTGGTCAAGAATTCATGTATTACCCTCGATCTCACTCGGAAAATACAAGAATTCTGACATTCATTTCGTAAAATCATGTTGACGCACATGCTGATATATTGAATCACAAATCCAGGTTTGTGTTCTGTTCATCGACAAGGTTTTCAACCTGCTTACTTACTGGCACATCTGACGCAGAGGAGGTTGTTTTACTCCGGACGTGAGACCTGAGTTCGAATATCTTGCTGAGCCAGACCTCCTCGTATGTCTTGAGGGACTGCTCTATGGACAGATCCTTGACCGCTCTCTGTACAATAGCTCGCACATCATCAACATGCTCTGAAATACAGATGCCATACTGTCAGATTTGATAATGCAATCTGGGATTTATTTCAACTACCGTATTCGATGTAATAAGTGCCCAGCTCTAATAAGTGCCCACTGCGATATTTGCTAATATATTGGCTAGTCAACAATCCCAATTAGCACCCTATCCGATTGATCAATGTACACAAGACTTATTTTTTTTGTGTATAATATGCAGTCCTGTGTTATATGCACCCTTAATTATGGGCAATTAACTTCTTGAATAATATATATCTATCATGTATAATATGCATATATCATTTCAGGCTGTCAGCATAAACTACGAAATTTACGATGATTCAACTCTGTTGGGTTTTTTTTCACCAAAATAATATTCTAATAAGAAGCTCCTATTTCTAATTTTGAGAGCACCCTGGGTGCTTATTACGTCAAATACAGTAATTCATTTGACAAAGATGATGGACAAAAAAGAGCACTGCAAATAGGAATTCCTTTGCAGTCTTGAGAAATCAAACAATTGTTATGATTGTTACTATTTAAACGACAACCACCTCTATTACATCATAGTTGACACCAGCACACATAGGAAAGAAGTGAGATTTTTCCACCTTATGCATTCACATGAGGTACGGGTAGCAACATACTCTTATCGACACAAGTAATTGAGGTCTTGAAACTTGAGATGTGATTCAATTTTTTTCATGTTTATGGAGGGAGAAGCGTAAAACTGGTGCGCAAACTGTATATATATACCAGCGAAAGTGTGCACACCAGTTTATATGTTTATAACTCCATAAACTCACAAGGGGGGTCGGGTAGCCTAGTGGTTAAAGCCAGGTTCGATTCCCGACATGGTTATAATGTGTGAAGCCCGTTTCTGGTGTCCCCCGCCGTGATATTGCTGGAATATTGCTAAAAGCGGCGTAAAACCATACTCACTCACTCCATAAATGCACAAAATATTGAAGTCAGATCTCATAAATAAATAGGGTCAACAATAACTACTTCACAGACAGATCTGCCCAATCTTACTCTGTAGTCCCAAACTGAGGAGCTCGCCCAGCGTCATCCGCTTCAGGGTGTCATTGTCTATGGTGAGGGCACCGCCTGTCACTCTCACCAGCTGCTTCCAGTGTCGGGTCCTCATGGCAGAACTACTCAGGTCATCAATCAAAGGCAGGCAGGCCTAAACATAGAACAGGTCATGTTCATATTGTGCTTAAGATAACATCTTGGGTTCTCCAGCTCAGTTTTTCACAACAGTTACAACAAAACAGTTTGTTTCTGCTGAGAAAATCTTTCATGCCATGGTCACACTGAGTGACCTTACCGTCAATGTCATGTTGAAACTGCAGTGTCAGCATCTGCAGTGGTGATCAAGTTAATATATCAGGCTGCTACAACGTAATGGCAATGATGGAGTCTCGCCTGAATGATATTAATGGACTCTCAACTGGATGATAGTGAGATTCTTGCCTGCATGGTAATGATGGACTCTCGACTGGATGATAGTGATGGACTCTCGCCTAGACAATAGTAATGGACTCTTGCATGGATGATAGTAATGGACTCTCGCCTAGATGATAGAAATGGAATTTCGTCTGGATGATGTTAACAGACTCTCACCTGGATGGTAGTGATGGACTCTCACCTGGATGATATTAACATATTCTCACCTGGATGGTATAGTGATGGACTCTCACCTGGATGATATTAACAGACTCTCACCTGGATGGTAGTGATGGACTCTCACCTGGATGATATTAACAGACTCTCACTTGGATGGAAGTGATGGACGATCACCTGGATGATATTAACAGACTCTCACCTGGATGATATTAACAGACTCTCACCTGGATGGTAGTGATGGACTCTCACCTGGATGATGTTAACAGTCTCTCACCTGGATGGTAGTGATGGACTCTCACCTGGATGATATTAACAGACTCTCACTTGGATGGAAGTGATGGACTCTCACCTGGATGATATTAACAGACTCTCACCTGGATGGTAGTGATGGACTCTCACCTGGATGATATTAACAGACTCTCACTTGGATGGAAGTGATGGACTCTCACCTGGATGATGTTAACAGTCTCTCACCTGGATGGTAGTGATGGACTCTCACCTGGATGATATTAACAGACTCTCACTTGGATGGAAGTGATGGACTCTCACCTGGATGATATTAACAGACTCTCACCTGTATGGAAGTGATGGACGATCACCTGGATGATGTCAACAGACTCTCACCTGGATGGTAGTGATGGACGATCACCTGGATGATATTAACAGACTCTCACCTGGATGGTAGTGATGGACTCTTACCTGGATGATATTAACAGACTCTCACCTGGATGGTAGTGATGGACGATCACCTGGATGATATTAACAGGCTCTCACCTGGATGGTAGTGATGGACTCTCACCTGGATGATATTAACAGACTCTCACCTGTATGGTAGTGATGGACTCTCACCTGGATGATATTAACAGACTCTCACTTGGATGGTAGTGATGGACTCTCACCTGGATGATATTAACAGACTCTCACCTGTATGGTAGTGATGGACGATCACCTGGATGATATTAACAGACTCTCACCTGGATGGTAGTGATGGACTCTCACCTGAGTGATATAAACAGACTCTCACCTGTATGGTAGTGATGGACGATCACCTGGATGATATTAACAGGCTCTCACCTGGATGGTAGTGATGGACTCTCACCTGGATGATATTAACAGACTCTCACCTGTATGGTAGTGATGGACGATCACCTGGATGATATTAACAGACTCTCACCTGGATGGTAGTGATGGACTCTCACCTGAGTGATATAAACAGACTCTCACCTGTATGGTAGTGATGGACGATCACCTGGATGATATTAACAGGCTCTCACCTGGATGGTAGTGATGGACTCTCACCTGGATGATATTAACAGACTCTCACTTGGATGGTAGTGATGGACTCTCACCTGGATGATATTAACAGACTCTCACCTGTATGGTAGTGATGGACGATCACCTGGATGATATTAACAGACTCTCACCTGGATGGTAGTGATGGACTCTCACCTGAGTGATATAAACAGACTCTCACCTGTATGGTAGTGATGGACGATCACCTGGATGATATTAACAGACTCTCACTTGGATGGTAGTGATGGACTCTCACCTGGATGATGTTAACAGACTCTCACCTGTATGGTAGTGATGGACTCATGCAGCCCCATGTAGACATCCCAGGTGAAAACATCTTCTGGGAGGGCTCGAACAATGTCCAGCTGTTTGCTTGTCTCCTCCTTGAGAAACTTGGTGTTCATCTTCTGCCACCGATGCCTCTTCCACTCCGACTGCTGCTCATCTATAACCCTGCACATAAACCACAGTGCTAGACCTTCCAAACAATCGTGTGCATCCCTCTGAGGCAGAGCACAGTCTCATCTACTTACACACATCCCAGTTACAGACCTTCCAAACAATTGTGTGCATCCCTCTGAGGCAGAGCAGTCTCATCTACTTACACACATCCCAGTTACAGACCTTCCAAACAATTGTGTGCAGCCCTCTGAGGCAGAGCAGTCTCATCTACTTACACACATCCCAGTTATAGACCTTCCAAACAATTGTGTGCAGCCCTCTGAGGCAGAACACCTTCTCATCTACTTACACACATCCCAGTTATAGCCCTTCCAAACAATTGTGTGCAGCCCTCTGAGGCAGAGCACAGTCTCATCTACTTACACACATCCCAGTTATAGACCTTCCAAACACTAGCCTGCTATCCTGGAACTATTACACATTCCTGCAGGCTATTACAAATTTACAAATTTTCCAATTGTTTCAAAATTACAAGGGAATTTATTCTTCACTTAGCCTAGTAAAGTCTTTTAGATAGGTTTAAACATGCCAAACAATGGTTTGTGTGCATCCCTCATGAACTAACCTGACAGTCTCCCATACTTGCTTCAGGTTGTTGAGCTCATAGCGGCACCTGAAACATCACATGAAGCTCCAGCATAACACAAGCAAAACACACTGTTGTTGATGGCCGGAGTTACAGTACATCCCCAGTGTCTACAGTTGAGTTCACTGATATTATAAAAACACCATATGTAATTTAAAAAGATGGGTGTTGAAAGTCTGAAGCGTATCACAATATAATGCTATACACAAGGCTGTATTACAATGCATATCATATTATATTGCTTCCACTCTTCATTCTCAATAAATGAACAATGAACTCACCACATTTTTTATTTTGGCATTAAGGGAACATTTTGAATAAACTTGGCAAAGTCATAATTAAACACATTATCAAACTAGATATTTGAAATATAATACTCACTGTGGCAGGACAGAGAAGTTGACAACAGATGCCTCCAGGAGCTCCTGTAGCTCAATCAGATCCTGTATCAGACATAGGAGCATATCATAATATTTGAGACACATGCATAAGACAAATGGGACATGTACAAATGAGACACTAAAATAAGACAAGGGGGCCTCTTGACAAAGTTGTCTATCATAACCAAGGCACCCCCCCTTATGGACCCTACAAGGTGAGATGTGAGTGTACACACCTGAGCTTCATTCTCCAGCACTGTGAGCCTCTTGACAAAGTTGTCTATGACGAATAAGGCCTATCCCCCCCCACTCCTAGGGTCACCACACACACACACCAACACACCTATATGGACCCTACAAGGTGAGATGTGAGTGTACACACCTGAGCTTCATTCTCCAGCACTGTGAGCCTCTTGACAAAGTTGTCTATGACGACCCATGCATCCCCCAGGGAACACTCTCTGTTGTAGATGTCTGACTTGTCCAGGTCATTGCTGAGGTACATCACACGGTAAGCAAATGCCTCCAGGTCCTACACAACAAACAAAAGCATCAGCAGTGTTCCCGTTTACCGGTAATTACCAGTTTTTTACCGGTAAAATTAGGCTTGGACCGGTAATTCAGGTGACTGCCAGTCCCTCTGGACCGGCAAATAAAGTCATATAAATCCTTGTTGTTGAACAAAACATTGGCGATATTGGCGAAAGTAAATTTTTACGAACGAATTTAGCTTGTCTGTTACCATCAAGGTTTCCCCTTGTCTATTTTCATTGCAAGGAAATAACATTTTCCCTTTGTTTCAAGGTTAAATATCCATTTGTAGTAACTTTGTCACGAAATATTTAAAAAAAAGGAGAAAATTGTGACTGAAGTTAGTGTGAATGATGTATAGATCTAATTAAGTTACTTTAGAGATGACGTCTTTGCACTGAACAGGATGTTGAAAGAATTAAAACCAGGTAATTTTCATACATTTTTTAATTTGTTAAAAATTGGGACTGGCAAAAATTAGGGGGAGACTGGTAATTATTAGAGCTGCCAGTCAACTAGAACTGTCAGTTTCAAAAGCCAGCGGGAACACTGATCAGAAAGTAATGCTAGCCTGCTACCCATGGCAAGTCACTGCTCAAACCTAAATGAGTTTCATCTACTTTCTGAAAATAATATTTTGGTTGATCATTTGCAGTTATTTGTGATTCCCAAACAAGGGAAGAAACTGGACTTTTATAGTCACTTAACTTCCTTGCCTCGGGAAGATGTGCCAAAGACAGAGTGAGTCGTGCGACGACACCTTTGCCACAAAGAGCATTAACCACAATGCTAAGTCAGTGTATAACACCTGGATATATAGTCAACAAAGACAACCACAAGTCTTCTCCAACTGCAAGTGATCCTGCTGCTATGGCCATTACAATGCCTCCAGCAGGTATAAAATTACCTGTGTGATCCTGGCCGACTCCTCCTGGATGCGTGGCCCAAGTCTCTGTTTGGCCAGGGACACTTTAGTCTTGAGGTTGTTCCACCGGCCTGGAGCTGCGGAGAATAGGAACTGGGTCTTCTCCGGCAGCACCTGGCCATACTTCCTCAGCAGCAGGACAGTGCGATGCATCGCCGTGAACTTGCCGTCCATTTCCGACTGCTGGGCTGACACCTGTTAAACATTAAACTCAACCATTACTTGAGAAGGAAAGGGTGCAACAGTTTCACATTGTCTCCATCTGCAAACTCAAATGACTAGATGTGATCAGGATGTGCTAATCAAGCGGGAAATGAAAACGTCTGTATGACAGTACCAGCCTTGTCTGTATGTCAGTAACAGCCTTGTCTGTATGTCAGTAACAGCCTTGTCTGTATGTCAGTAACAGCCTTGTCTGTATGTCAGTAACAGCCTTGTCTGTATGTTAGTAACAGCCTTGTCTGTATGTCAGTAACAGCCTTGTCTGTATGTCAACAGCCTTGTATGTCAGTAACAGCCTTGTCTGTATGTTAGTAACAGCCTTGTCTGTATGTCAGTAACAGCCTTGTCTGTATGTCAGTAACAGCCTTGTCTGTATGTCAGTAACAGCCTTGTCTGTATGTCAATAACAACCTTGTCTGTATAGCAATAACAGTCTTGTCTGTATATCAGTAACAGCCTTGTCTGTATGTCAGTAACAGCCTTGTCTGTATGTCAGTAACAGCCTTGTCTGTATGTCAATAACAACCTTGTCTGTATAGCAATAACAGTCTTGTCTGTATATCAGTAACAACCTTGTCTGTATGTCAGTAACAACCTGGTCTGAAAGTCAGTAACAACCTTTCTGTATGTCAATAACAACCTTGTCTGTATAGCAATAACAGTCTTGTCTGTATATCAGTAACAACCTTGTCTGTATGTCAGTAACAACCTGGTCTGAAAGTCAGTAACAACCTTTCTGTATGTCAGTAACAACCTGGTCTGAAAGTCAGTAACAACCTTTTTGTATGTCAGTAACAGCCTTGTCTGTATGTCAACAACAACCTTGTCTGTACATCAGTAACCTTGTTTGTATAGCAAAAACAGCCTTTTCTGTATGTCAGTAACAGCCTTGTCTGTATTTTAGTAAATCTTGTCTGTATGTAAGTAACAACCTGGTCTGTATGTCAGTAGCAAAATTATCTATGTCAGTAACAGCATTGTCGGCAACTTCTCTGTATGTGTGTAAAATCACTATGAGTATCAATGACATCCTACCTCATTAAAGAGTCTCATCATCTTCATGAAGCTTGCCGTGTCTCTCTCCTCTCCAGTGATACTCTCGATCTCTGGCTCAATCCTCTTCAGGAACACGTCCAACTTCTCCAGCATCTGAGTCACCTGTAACACACTCCAGACTATCAACCATACAGCCTTCTGCAGAGGTCAGTATCCTGCTATAGTGGTCATGGATTTGTTTCACTGTTCTAAAGACGAGCAACGGAACAATGTCCCATTAAATTTGATCACTCAATCACTTCTGTAAAATCAGGCCACACGTTTTAAGTATTATGTTTCACAGACGTATTCCAGCTTTTCCAAACCAGGAGGGTCGAAATATAAATAAATGTAATTGTTTGGTTATGAAAGTCATTCAGCGGAGGAGTTAAAACTCTTGATTCACCGATAGTAATTTAGACATGGAATTAATAAATAACATTATATAAATGTATAAGAGGGTCTATATTACCAGAGGGAGACATAGTAAATAAAAAAAATATATATTTAATTTAATTCTAAGATCTGCTGCTTTCCAGTAGGGGTGGCTAGCCAGTGAAACGAAAACTACAAAATTTGTGGATTTGTTATCACAGCGTTACACAGAAGATATACAACACCAACTCCTTATCCCATACCTTCAGCCCCTGAATGAGTCAATATCTGATTACACTTGTGTTTTGTCCTGAACAGTTATAGATACAGTCATGTCTCGTTAATCCGACACTCGGCTTTATCCGACACAAATGATGGGGACCGATTGAATCAGTGCTATTTAGTCCCGTTAATCCGACATTCTCGCACTCCGACTCCGACACACCTAATTAGCAACGAATTACCGAAATCACTCATTAATCAGTCTCGTTAATCCGACACAGTGATCAGCGTACTCCGTGGTCATCTGCCCGCGAGTACACAGCCAGTGTTTTGACACGCACTGGCTGCAGTGATTAACTTAACAATTAACAGGAAAAGCTATTCAAACCTGTATGTACAAAGCTATACAAATGTAGTTTACAAATTGAAGCCAGATTAATGTGCATGAAGCCAGTTTTAAATACGACTCACCATGGTTAGAAACAGAAAACACTGACAGACTATTTTAAGTAGATGAAGCAAGTTGTTAAGACAGTAGCACTTGCATTTACACGAGGAAACGTGTGTCGTTGATGTGATAAATTCAGTGAGTAATGTCTCTATTGTTATGTATAAATGGGAAAATTATTATTATTTTTGCACTGTCATTAATTATAAATTAAGGAATGAATGAATAAACAACTTAACAATATTAATATTTCGTTTTTAATGATTTTATTACAAGGTACACACGGTTATTATCTATCGTGAAGACGTCCGATTTTCGATCACAAATCAATTAATTTCGTTAATCCGACATACTCGTTAATCCGACACAATCATGTGCAACCAACGATGTCAGATTAACGAGACTTGACTGTAATATGATACTAATTACCAGCTGAATGTTACTTGTCTTAGAAGCTACATGAAATTAATGTTAAACAGGGGGCTCTATTGCAGAATTTGTGCCCAGTCCTTGACACCTTGATGCAACCCCTAAAAACAAAAGCCATTCGCTTGCAGAATTTCAGCAAAAGAGATTATTTTAATTTTGCTTATCCTTAGCAGTAATTCTGGCATGGAAACTTTCAGTGAGGGAATGTCTGGCATGTTGTTTGTACCTGGTCTGAGAGGTACTTGGTGAACGTCCACATCCACTTGCTGGCATAGGTAGTGAGCACCTGCTTGATAGGCTGCAGGTCCACTCTCAGCCAACCTACATTGTGGTAGTTCTGCAGTGATTGCACCTCGTCACGCGCACTCTGGAAGTAATAATGATGACGATGACCATGATGAAGAAGAGTGAGTGAGTGAGTGAGTGAGTGAGTGAGTGAGTGAGTGAGTGAGTTGGGTTTAACGCCGCTTTTAACAGTATTCCAGTTATATCAAGGCGTGTCAGCTTAATGTGGGAGGAAAGCCCGAAGTGATGCAGGTCTCAGATGTTTACCACTTCGGTGAAGCCCACGTGCACGGGTATGGTGCTGACAAACCTAGAAACACAATCGGGGAGAACCGGATTCAACCCACAATCATAGGTTAATAGTGCCCAAGGGACACAACTCTGCACAGCGAATCGCAGCGCCTTAGACGACTGCGCCACCTGTGCCCCCAGAAGAAATAGAAGAGCGCCAGACAGGGTAACAACAAGTACCATCTTTTAACATCTGTTGGTATGACGCGGCCGGGGATCAAAACCTCAACCTTCCGCTCTCCCTGGGAGAACGCTCTACCACTAGACCATACAGGCGGTCTGGTGAACTGTGAGTGAGTTAGTATGGTTTAAAACCCCTTTTAGCAATATTCCAGCAATATCATGGCATCTACCCCTTTTAGCAATATTCCAGCAATATCATGGCAGGGGACACCAAAAATGTGCTTCACACGTTGTACCCACGTCGGGAATCAAACCCAAGTCTTCGGCGTGACAAGCAAAGGCTTTAACCACTAGGCTACCGGACCGTCCCTGGTGAACTGTGACATCCCCACCATTCATTATGATAATATGTCTATTCACACTCATCTGCCACTATAATCAAAGATATGTCTGAAATATGAACTTGTGCTGAGGCCTAATGCGACATTCTACCAAATTCTTAATCATTTCTATGAATCAATTTGACATTAACAAACACTGATTTGAGTTACCATGATCGATATTAAACTCCTTCACTTACCTTGTAGATGTCTATCTCATTGTCAAACTCATCCAGGGATGGGATGTTGTGACTATCCCCCTCCTTGTTGCCCTTGGGGGTGAGAAATGTCCTCTCAGCTGTACCCATCAGGCCAGCAGAGTCAATGCTGCTCTTGGCTGAAGAGGCTCTGAAGTAGGCCAGTGTCACATGAGTAAGATGTTTTGTTTGGTACTTAGTAACTTACCTCCACACAAACCAATATTCAAGCTATAATGCAGCAGACTGTAAAGAACTGAGTCTCGACCAGACAAACTAGTGATTGATATTATGAGCAGCAACATGCCACCAGGGTATGATGACACACAAACGACCAAGTCAACAACATCCATAGTGACTGATGGGATGAATATGATTTTGGCAGTATTTAGCAATAACATATGAATCATGATAAAAACTGCATTCATAATGTATATCAAAGGGAAATAACTCTAGAAGTGAATCGTGGTGCCTTTGACAACTGGACTGGCTGTCCATGCTCCAAATGCGAGTGAGTGAGTATTGTTTAACGCCGCTTTTAGCAATATTCCAGCAATATCACGGCGGGGGACACCAGAAATGGGCTTCACACATTGTACCGATGTCGGGAATTGAACCCGGGTCTTCGGCATGACGAGCGAACGCTTTAACCACTGGGCTACCCGACCGCCCTCCAAATGCGAACAGTATGATGTTCTAAATGTTTTACAAACACAAGCAGCGAAGAAACTGATAATAACTATTGAAAAGGTTCTAAATGTGTAAAATTCAGGGATGTCCAGCAACATGGATGTCTAGTTAGTGACTTTACTGTGATATACCTAGAATGAAGTGACGTCCGCTCCACAGCCTGCTGTCTGATCTCGGTTGTCATGGGCCTGTTAGCACTTCTCAGTGGGTTCGGTGACAGGTTCCCTCGAAGGAAATCTTCAAACGTCTGGTTGACATCTTGCAGCCACAAGAACGCATAGTCTCGGAAAACCTCTAGGAGCTTCTGTAACAGATGTAAATCCCACAATACAAAATGTTTCTGTGATTTTTTTCTTCCAATTTCAAGCTGAACTGAAGAAGGAACTTATCCTGTTTTGAATCTCCTTTAAGGCTACACTCAACAGATCTGTCATTTAGCAGAAATGGGGGCGGCAGGGATGAAACAAAAGACACATTTCAATTGTTCCAATTTTGTTGTAAATTTGAACATACATTAATAGGGACTGGTCACTTATTATAGGAAGAAGGGTCATAAAAAAATGTATCTTGTTTTTTGGTGGCCATGAAAAAAGTTGTTCAATATCAATGAAGGACTGTTTCGTTTTATGGAATCAGCTTACCAAACCGCTAAAATGCACACTATATCAGAAAGTTATTACACACAATCATTCTATCCTTATGAGTTACCGTATTTGACGTAATAAGCACCCAGGGCGCTCTCAAAACTAGAAATAGGGGTCTCTTATTAGAATATTATTTTGGTAAAAAAAACAGAGTTGAAAGATAAATATCATGAGTTATGCTGACAGCCTGAAATGTTTATATACTAGAGATATATATTTCCCAAATTTAATTGCCAATAATTAAGGGCATATAACCCACGACTGCATATTATACGCGAATAAATAAGTCTTGTGTACATTGATCAATTGGAAGGGCTGCTAATTGGGATTGTTCACAAGCCAATATATTAGCAAATATCGCCATGGGCGCTTACTAGAGCGGGGCGCTTATTACATCGAATACGGTATACTGTTGGCTAACAAGCAGCAACATAAAGTTTGCAGGAAACAAGGTTTTGACAGCTAGAGCCCTATCCACACTGTCACAAACACACAATCATTCAGGTCATGCACTGCGGCCACTTCACAATCAGAAAAACATACCACTTCATCAAAATATCTTCCTTCACACATATAATCTTTGACAGGCATGAAGAAGTAGTAAGTCCATAATGACATGAAACAACTATGTGGACAGATTAAAGAAGTTGTTCTCCAGAAAAGATTCATGTTTTCAAAGACACAAACACTTAATAAACAACCATGACATGAAATGAAATGTCAAACACAAATGAGAGACATAGCCTCAATGAAATACAGGTACACCAGTGTTGTGTTGTTTGACTGCTCTCCAACCATCATCAATACTTCACAGGTTCTATACACTACAAAATGTATGTACACTACATAATGAATGTACACTACAAAATGTACACTACATAATGCTGGTGACCTGGCATTCTCACCTTGCACTCCTCGCTGTTCTCCTCCACCATCTGGTTGATGTTCATCAGCAGCTGCTTCACCTCATCATCCGCAGTGATGTAGTCCTCGTAGCTGCCCTGGAGGTGCAACAGACAGTACATGATGTACTCCACAGCCCGGGGTAAGCTGCCAAAATCTACCCCCCTTCAGAGTCTACCCGGGTAGATTCTGGGAGCTCTACGATTCCAAACTAACTGGGAAATATTGTTATTTTGTTTTTTCCTAAACTCAGATTTTAACATTGAATTTTCCAATGCAACAATTAAACTATCTCAGCATTAAAACCTCTTCCTCTATATTGGTGCTGTTATGAGTGAAATACAAGCCATCTCATAGAGCCAGAACATTAGTATCCAGGGGTAGAAACTACCAGTCTAGTCCTCTAGCAAAACCCTTTAAAATGGCAAATTTCTGCTAGTCCATATGATACCCCTTAACTTTCGCTCAGTTTGATAAGGACTAATGCTGTTAGTGTTATAAATGTAACAGTTTGAATTGGGAAATGTTTGATAATAATTGGGGATTTTCACTGACATTTGCTGAAGACTTGTAACTGAATATTGGCCTCTAGTCAGGTTTAAATAAATCCATGACAATATCTCATCACTGTCAGCTTGTTCCACACAATCAATTATTGATCATAGCCATATTTCTGAATTTTTCAGATATTAAATCTCAAAGATTCTTCTTCATAAATCATGATTTTACCATGAATTTGGAAAAAACTCTATTTTGATTGGTCAATCCGAGGCATCAAATTACAATACACCCCCTCTGATTGAAACAGCTGAATTGACAGCCGCATCAGCGCGGAAGCTTATATTTTTAGAATAGTACGTGTGATCATAATAGTGACGTGAGGTGCAGAACAAAACCTTTGCAAGGCTTGCTAAAGTTTTCTTTAGGGGTGCCCACCTCATGTTAGCTTCAGAAGTTGCAGTGCTACATGCTTTCATTGCCTGTCATAGGTTCGAGTGAAGTATTACAGGTCAAACAAACTGCTTGAGCATATTGAGCGCCACATTTTGTTTTAAGGCTGTTGTCCATGACTTCAAAAACTGTCATTGACAACCCACGCAAAACACTGGACTCAACCCATGCCACTTCACTCAATGTATTTGCCAACACCGAAGGGTTCGCGTTTTATTTAATCATGGCAGAACTGAGATAAATATACTGTTTTCAATGCAGAGGAATGTTACCTGTAAATTTAACTGTGCTAAATTTAACATTTGAAACCTCATGCTACGCGTTCGGTTCCAAATTCTTTTTAGCACTGTTAACCTTGCCCTACACTGAAACACAGTTTATCTCCTAATTAATCATTTTGAAATTCCTTGCATGTGAAGATCCGGGGTAGAATAGGTCTTCAGCAACCAATGTTTGCGGTAAAAGGCGACTGTGCTTGTCGTAGAAGGGGGCTAACGGGATCAGGTGGCCAGGCTCGCTGACTTGGTTAATGCATGTCATCGATCCCAATAGCGTGGATCGATGCTCATGATATCAGACTCGATTATTTACAGACAGCCTTCATATAGCTGGAATATTGCTGAGTGCGGCGTAATACAACAAACAAACCAACCAACCTTACATGACTTGTCATGACTCTCCAGTCTTGCTTGGTTTACTGTTTTACGACAATCAGCAATATTCAGCTAAAAGACGACTGCATGAAAATAATGAAATCTGGACACACAAACCAGTTGTTGTTCATATGAGCAATGTACCATGCCGTACAATGACACACAATGACACACAATCCAACACGTCACCAAGCCTGACCACCTGCTCATTGCCTCTCACAACAAGCATAGTGGGGACCAACTCTAATCTTCAATCCCATCAGGGTGAGTAGTTACAATTTGAAGGAAACAAAGAAACAAACATTTGGGCAGCATGTTGCTGAGAACTAAGGGACTGGTCATTTGTTATAGGGGTGGTTGTCTGGTGGGGAACATGAATAAATGACCTAGAGAAAGGGGGGGTTGGCAAAATTTATCACAACTATATATTTTCAAAATATGTTTATTTTCATAAATTTGAATTAATGGGGAGGGGATGAAAAAATGTTACATAAATTAGGGGTGTGGGGGGTGCGGGTCATAAGAAAAATATGACAGATTCCTAAGAACAATCTCACTGGCCCAACCTCCTCTATAATATATGGCCAGTCCCTAATGTAAAAAACTAGATCTGTGAAGTATGTGGGATTCAACAGAGCATGAACTACGTGGTTCTACCCACCTTGGGCCCCAACATGCTGACAAGTTTCCCCCGAGACAGGAAACCTTCCAGCCAGCGCTGAACCAGTTCCTGGACACTGATAACTGATGTGTTCTGGTCAAGAGGTGGCCGGAATGCCACACCGTTCTCTATCAACTCCAAGCGGATGGTCAGCACAGGGATGATACTCATGTCTTCATTGTCCTGAGAAAACAAATAGCATAGGTGATTCCATTACATCTGTGGTTAGGGAGAAGGTGAGGTGAGATGGGATTTAAAATCGCGTCCAAGATTATTGCACTTATATAGCGATGTGAAATGTGTGTGTGTGGCTGCTTGTACTAGTCTCGACTGATGCCGATTTATAGTGCTAGCTCACTGAGATACCATGCCACAGTTTAACATGAATACCCCACTCAGACACAGTATACTGACTCCAAGCCGACCAGTCCTTGTTTTATCCACTTAATGCCGAGTGCCAGACAGGGTAACAACAAGTACCATCTTTTAACGTCTTTTGGTATGACACAGCCGGACCTTCCGCTCTCCAGGCGGACGCTCTACCACTAGACCACAGAGGCGGTCGGTTAGGGAGAAATTGTCAAGTGAGATGAGTGAGTGAGTTGGGTTTCACACATTGTACCCATGTGGAGAATCAAACCCGGGCCTTCGCCATGATGCATGAACGCTTTAATCACTAGGCTACCCTATCCCCGCATATGTATTAAAGGGTGATGCACAAACCCACTAAAAATTGTCAATGTTGAAATATGTTTAAGGATATCCTACACATTGGCATGACTTCATCAACACTTACCTCAGCGATGTTGGCTTGCACCAGTGTGTTGAGCATGGAGCGGAGGCTGCTGAGCGTGGCCTGCTTCAGCCCATCCAGGATGATGGCATCGATGTAGTCAATGTAGTCCTGCCATGCCGGGGAAGCCTGACTGATCTGTACTGCCTACACAACACATGCACCAAGGTTAACACTATTAGATGGGTATCATAGCACATGACTCCACATTGACCTACACAACTGGGAACCATAAAAACCCAATAATAAATTTCTAGTCTACTTACAGGAAATATGAGCGTCCTATTAAGTAATGAAATGGTGTAATGTACGGTAAGGGTTGATAATTATAATAATTATAGAAACCTTAATATTTTTTGTCAAGAATATGGACAATGAATATTATTGCGCATCCCTTTGGAAGCAGCATTTAATAATCTTTCAGAGGCGAGAGAGTTAACTGACTTTAAAAGTTCAGTTTCCAACCCTTGCCGAACTAGGCTGGACTCGATCGTAGCGCCACCAGCGTCTGTTACGAGTTAAGTCCCTTCTAAGCCTCTCCTATGGACCAATCAGATTTCACCTCTCGTATCATTTGCATTTGCTTCAAACAAAATGGTGGCGCCCAGTCAAGGCGATCTGATTGATAATCAAGATCTATATTGTGATAAAACGGATCTTACATTGCGAAGTGGATCAAATCAAGTGAGCACCTTGATTGAAAACATGAAAAGATTTTAAAATTACGTGTTGACAACGAGTTGGCGGTGCACATACTTTGCAAATCCTGCAATCAACCAAAATCTGCATCACAGTTTACGAACAGGTTTTTGATTTTGTTGCGTGATTTTGATTGGACTATGAATAGGCTCATTAGTCCAGCCAAAATGTAACTCCATTATACCAACCTAGTTCGGCAAGGGTGGAAACTGGACTTTTATAGTCAGTTAACTCACTTGCCCCTGGAAGATTTGGTCTGTGTCCATTCTATACATTTGTGCATCCTGGAGACCCTGCTAACACTAGGTGTTTCTAGTGTAACAGTTCATATCAGGACAAATAAGTCTTGCGTACATTGATCAATCAAAAGGGGTTAATTGGGATTGTTCACTAGCGTTTATTAGAGCTGGGCGCTTATTACGTATAATGCGGTAGCCTTTTTTCCTTATTTAAGGCTGGTGTGTTGGTTTAGATCATGTACAAATCAGATCCATTACAGATCAACACTTTCTAAAATGTCCTGATTCTTGTCCTTATTTATTGACAAACAATTACTCTTTCAGGATAAGGCACATGTCCTGATTTCTGTGCTTAGATCTTATTACTGCTATTTTCAGGACCAACCTGTTGGGCAATGTCTGTGTACAGGTGAGATGAAATGGGGTTTAACGATGCGTCCAAGATTATTGCACTTATATATTGACGTGCATGTACGTGTATGTGTGTGTGACTGATTGTACAAGTCCAGACTAATGCCGAGTTTATTGTGCTAGCCCTGAGATACGATGCCGCAGTTTAACATGAAGACCCCACTCAGACACGGTATACTAGCTCCAAGCCGACCAGTCTTGCTTTAGCCCTATAACAACAAGTGTCATCTTTTGAAGTCTTTTGGTATGATACAGTGGGAAATTGAACCCACTCTCCAGGAAACATTCTATCCACTTGCGGTGTCTGTGTACACATTTATAAACCTCCGGTGACGTCATCCTATTGTTCTCCAGTCGGGTTAAATCTCATAAACAGGGACGTTGTAATGTCCCTGGGATTTTATATAATATCCCCAGGATTTTATGGGATATTCAAGTCATATTTGCTATACAATGTGTTGTAATATCCCAGGGATTTTATATAATGTCCTGGGTTTTTTATTAATATAACTTCCGTTCAGATTGTAACATGTAATGAAATGTAAAATCAAATGACAAATGTTTTCTTAATATTCCCGAGGATCGAACTCGCAACCTTCATATCTGTAGCCCAGTGAGTGTACCACGAGGCTACAGAGGTGTTGAAAAGCTGCACTGCTTTTTAGAATGTCCTTTTCAAGATCCGTATGCCAGCAACAGATATTTTACGCCCGTTTCCTAAGGTTCGTGGAAAGTATGTTCAAAACATAAAATGTTGATAAATGTTGTTTAAGGTTCAAAATCGGTGTATAGGTAAGATGAAACACTGGGGGTTTTAAATATCATAACAACCCTTGGACGTGTTTACGTATACATAATGAGTTGATGAGGACATAAATCGGACATGTACGTCCATCTCACCTGGAAGGAGACCTGTACCAGCTGGTGTATCTTGTTACCAGAAGGAACCACCAGGCTCTCGTGGTCGTCAGTCAGATGTCTGCAAGTACAGTCACAGGTATGCGTTCACTAGATTTGGGTTTCGAGCTTGTGGCAAAAGTTGCCAGGTTTTTTTTAAATATTTGCAGAATAAACAAAAATTATCAACATGCAGTCATATTACAACAGCAAACAAAGGCCAATTTTGAATACATAAATGGCAAGTGATTGTGTGGCATTTGATTGGCTCACCAGGCACTTGTTTCTGTGTTAAGGTTTCCACAAACCAAACTAGAATTAGGCCACACCCACTAGCAAACTACTGTTTCCTGATTGACAATAGAAAGGGCGGGGCTTGTGTTGCATTATTGTACTGAACGATGCCACTAATTTCACAGTGACATGCACAGTTGAGTACGGTATGTGTGAATTAACAGGAAGACCTTCAACAAATTTACTCGTCAGAGTGTCTTGTTTTACTGATGATATTGAAACCATGACATTTATAAACTTGGGTTGTGACAAGAAGACTAGTTTCTGTAGCGGCAATCATAATCACGAAATATGATCTCTCACATCTACACTGTACAGTCACTTTTCGCTGCAATCATCATCATCATCATCATCATCATCATCATCAGAATTAGAAATTGGCACAAGTCCAGTAGTCCTTGTCAAACTGCCCAATGGTTAAGGTATCATAAGGACTAGTGGAAATTTGCCATTTTTAAGAGTTTTGCTATATGTTATCATTATAAGGACTAGTGGACGAAAAGTGTTTGCTTCTACCGCTGATTATCATCATCAACAATTATTTTTGATAGATCCTATAGTATAAGAAAAACCAGAATATTATCTTACCTCTGCATGTCCAAGAGGTCCTCCATGGAATAAGACAGACGGGCTTCCCGTGCCTTGAACACGTCCAGCGTGCTCGTCGACCAGGAGATGGTGATCTCAGCAATCTCGTGGCAGTTGGTCTGGACGACGTCCAGGTTCTGATGGACATCCATGCAGACAAGTGCCATGGCCGTCTCAATGAAGTCTGCCGACTCCTTCATCTTCCACGTGTACTGCTGCAACCCTTGCTCGAACAGCTGATACAACATGTCACAATGTAGTTGTGTACTGAGTGTTTGACTAGAGATCTCAGACCTGTGCATTTATTGATGGGACCAAGCAATTTATTCATACAATCTGTCTAATGGACCATTCACTTGTGTTACCAACAAAGTCTGGATTCTGTCTAACCATAGAAATCACAATTTAAAGAAGTTTACACATCTATTATTATTAACTAACACTAATAAAAAGCTGCTCTTGTTGGATACAGTTACCAAAATTGGCCATTGAGATATTAGGCCAGTGTCATAATTTGGCAGAGTCATTCAGATCATATCATTACTTACCATTCATAATTGTAAAATATGTGTACGATCATAAGCTAAAGGGTAAGAGTGAGTGAGTATGGTTTTACGCTGCTTTTAGCAATATTACAGCAATATCACGGTGAGAGACTCCAGAAATGAGCTTCACACAATGTACCAATGGGGAATCGAACCCAGGTCTTCGGCGTGACGAGTGAACGCTTTAACCACGACAAGGGTAAGAATTCAACCTTATTATTTGCATGTCTAAAATAGTTTCGAGATCCCAGATAGTATCCTAGATAAAGAATTTGGTAAAATTATGAAAGGAAAAGAAAGATATGAAATGATACCTTAACTATTGGACAGTTTGGGTAGGACTACAGGACAATTTCTATTGCTGCTTATGATACAGTGTGAACATATTGTGGGAAGGAACCGGAAAGTGATGCAGGTTGTCGAGTTTTAATCAAGAGGATGGAGTGTGATCACGGTGACAGAGAATATAACCAACAACCAGCAGATTATGGCAGAGCTAAGCATAGGTTTGTTGTGAATTTGTTGTTCAACACTGCACCAGAGCTCCAGATAAGCTGCGTATCTGCGTAAAATATGCATCAGAAATGCAGAAATACGCAGTAGTATAAAATTGAAGCGTATCAAATACGCAACGAACATTACAGATACGCTACAAAAATAAAACTTGTGCGTATCATCAAAATATTGTGAAGTAACCCTGCGTAGTCGATTAGGAAATCAGCAACTTATTTTGAAATTATAAACGGGCATTCTGTCAACCTTGCCAAACTCCACGATGACAGTTACATCATGATCATTTGCCATCACACTTTCTTGTGGAAGTATAGTGGTATTTTGGAGTCCTATAAAGCTCTCAAACCCACACGATACCAGTTTGCAGGGACTAGATGAATAGTGTTTTTAAATATTTAACTTAAATACCCACACGTGTAAAAACTATTGGGTAACAGAAATTTGAATACCAAGATAGAATTACTGATACCCAATGATTTTAAAATGCATGGGTAAAATACCCACAACACCAAAATCTTATCTGGAGCTCTGCTGCACTCAACAATATTCCAGCTTTATGATGGCATTCTGCAAATAATCGTGTCTGGACCAAACAATCCTGTGATTGACATCATGATACAATCATCTGGATACAATGACATGAATCAACAAAATCACCGAGCCTGACCTACCGATCCATTTAGTCACCTTTTACGACAAGCCTTGGTTGCTGGGGACCTATTTTCCTACCCGGAATCCAATATTAAAAGGACATAATATACTTGTTGATAATCATCTGTCCTAGACACACCAGTTCTTCACAACAAGCAATTGTACCCATAGGGACATGGATATAAAAGGATATATTTTCAGTAATTCTATTTTTTTTCTTAATGCTGATTGGATCTGTTTGTTCCAACTGCTCCATGATTTTTAAATTATTTTTTTTGCAAAGAGGGCCATGACGTCATTTGAATACACTGTCACTAGCAATTGAACATGACGTTATCCATTGTTCATGACGCCACAAAAGCCTTTATGTGACATGGTTCCCCAAAAAGCCAATTGAGGTAAAGTCATCCACATTTTTTTACATTTTCTCAGCAAAATAGACAATAGGTAAAATCAAAAATACCCTACTCACAACACAGAATTACAGATTATTAGTCCTTTGTGAATTAACATTAAAAGTTCCTCAACAAGGAACTTTCAAAATTTATACACTCAGGACAGACAAGCCATAATTTCTTGTAGCTCGTATGCTATTTCTACATCATCCACACGGCCCGTGAAGATCAGAGTAGGTCTTCAGCAACCAATGCTTGCCGAAAAGGCGACTATGCTTGTCGTAAAAGGCGACTAACGGGATCGGGTGGTCAGGCTCGCTGACTTGGTTGATACATGTCATCGGTCCCAATTGCGTGGATTGATGCTCATGATGTGACTCACTGGACTGTCTGGTCCAGACTCGATTATTTACAGCCCCTGTCATATAGCTGGAATATTGCTGAGTGCAGTGTTAAACAACAACCAAACAAACAAACAAACAAACAAACATGATCCACACCACACATACAGGTCACGCACTGTGATCACTTCATCCACATTGTCTTCAGCTCTTACAAACTGGGGAACACGGCACACACTGTGCAGAGACCTTTATCATGAATTCGATTCTAATTATGCTTGTAGGTTTGGCAGCACCAAACCCATGCATGTGGGTTTTCAAGAAAGTGGTAAACGTTTGAGACCTGCACCACTTTGGGCTTTCTTCCCACATCAAGCTGACACGCCATGACATAACCGGAATACTGTTCAAATCAGTTAAAACCAACTCCCTCACTACCATCTGAGGATCATTTCTGTCCCAGTCCCAAAACGTTGCTAACAATCGAACATACAAACAAATCACTTACTGAGTCAATCTTGTCTAGCTTCCTCTCAAACAGTGGTTTCTCAAACGTCCCTATTGTCCTCATGATTGTGTTATACTTGGACACAATGGTCTCCAGACGGGTGGCTGTCACACTCAGCTCAAAGGAGTTTGTGTTTCGGATGAGCTCCTTGGCGGCGCTGGGTAGGTGGATGTTGAAGGGCTCATTGGCCAGATAGTGTATCTCCCGCAGCAACAACAGAAGCTGGGGGTCAAGGTTGACGTGGACAATCTGAGGTCGTGTGTCTAAGTCCTCGTCATATTCCTCTGCGATCTGAACAAACAAATTGCAACAATACATTCAACAGATTCACAGTGGGAAGCTGATGGATAGAGACTATGACAAAATTCCCCATCAGCCTGGGAGAAGCTGAGATCTGTATCATCTGAAATTCAAAAATGTGTATGAAAGTGAAAGAGTTGATGCCATTGCAGGGATTTATCTGGACCTGCTCAGAGGCTGATATTCAGACACAAGTCTGCAGCAAATGTCTGTTTATTTTCTGTCTTATGTGGTGTCTCCTTAGGCAAGTGACTTTGTTTGAAATCTGCCTCTGTTTTATACTGCTGCAATCAGTTTTATACCAGCAGTATGACAGACGCTTATAACAATCGGGTCTGAACCAGACAAACTGATGATTGATGTAATGAATACCATTCAACACCTTCGACGTACAATGACACAGAATTCAAATTCCATTTCTGAAAATTGAACTCAGTTAGTTTCGAGAAATGCATTTGCTGAGTTTTCTCAAATTTGAGTAGAAACTCAGACCTACGTTTGTATCGAGAAATCATGTTTGTTGTTTGTTTGTTTGTTGTTTAACGCCGCACTCAGCAATATTACAGCTATATGACAGGGATCTGTAAATAATTGAGTCTGGACCAGACAATCCAGTGATTGACATCATGATCATCGATCCACGCAACTGGGATCGATGACATGCATCAACCAAGTCAGCGAGTCTGACCACCCGATCACGTTAGTCGCCTCTTACGACAAGCACAGTCGCCTTTTACGGCAAGCATGGGTAGCTGAAGACCTATTCTACCCCGGATCTTCATGGGTTCAACAAATCATAGCCTGACCTACCAGAAGTGGCTGCTTGAGTCTGAGAGTCAGCTCTGATGTGATGTTGTTCTGCCAGTCTGTCACCAGCTTCCCTTCATATCTGAAAAACAGTGGAGGGACTATTGTGGGCATTCCAAATGCAATAGAATACTATAACATCGTGGACTGCCTCCGTAGTGGTAGAGCATCCACCCGGAGAGCGGAAGGTCCAGTTGCCTCAGGATGTTCATGTCACTTGTTTGTCCAGATAATGTTTGTGAAAGAACATTATCACTTTCTTTATATAATATACATCATCACAAAGTATTTTGGAATACAATTCTAAGTATGCCCTTTAAGCACCTGGGCCCACTTGGACAAATCGATCTTAGCGCTACAACTATTGTAAGCCTATGTTAAAGTATGGGAGTTACGATCATCTTAGCGCTAAGATCGCTTTGTGCAAGTGGGCCCTGGAACCTATTTCAACTGTCTTTACAATTTAACACCACTTTGATACAAGGAATTTCAAACCATGGGGTACCAAAATTCAGTCCTCCAATCATCCAAGATTGTGCAGATCGTTATGGTGATGATGATGTTAGTGGTGATGATGTGATTTGGTGAGGTCATAACACAAAATCCAGTACCTCTAACCCAAAGCCTTTGGTGGTCAAGATCAAGACCAGTAGCCTCAGTCTGAACACACCATGTCAGGGTTTCTCAGGTCCTTGTTTTCTCATAATGTTTGTTTTGTTTGTTTGTTTGTTGTTTAACACATCAATATTCCAGCTATATGACGGCGGTCTGTAAATATTCGAATCTGGACCCAACAATCCAGTGATCTACATCTAAAGCATCGATCCACGCAATCGGGATGCGATGACATGCATCAACCAAGTCAGCAAGCCTGACCACCCGATCCCATTAGTTGCCTCTTACGACAAGCATAGTCGCCTTTTATAGCAAGCATGGGTTGCTGAAGACCTATTCTAACCTGGATCTTCACGGGTCTTTCTCCTAATGATCTCACCCTAAGTAATTATAGTGTCCTGGTGCAGCTGTACTCACGCTTCCAGTTCTTGAATGCAGTCGTTGTATGTTTCCCGCATCTGCATGTTACCGTTGCCCTCCACCGAATGGGGACTCACATGACGCAGTTTCTCCCAGGGTATCTGTCAACAACATCATCAACACAATAGCAATAATTTATAGCTAAAATACAGTCAAACAAAATAAGTAGTTTCCAATTTGTATACTTGTTAAAAGACATTTACCCTACTCGACGTAATAATCGCCCAGGGCGCTCTCAAAATTGGAAATAGGGGTATATTGGAATATTATTTTGGTGAAAAAAACGGAGTTGAAAGATCATAAATTTCTTGGTTTATCCTGACTGCCTGAAATGTTTATAAACAACATATATATTTTTCTAGAATTTAATTGACCATAATTAAGGGTGCATATAACACACGAGCACGTATTATATACAAATAAACAAGTCTTGTGAACATTGATCAATCCAAAGGGGTGCTAATTATGATTGTTCACTAGCCAATATATTAGTGAATATTGCCATGGGGGCTTATTAGAGCGGGGCGCTAACTACGTCGAATACGGTAATCACAGTACTTGCACGTGTGTTTTCCACTTTAAACAATTTTACAGCAGTATCATGGATGGGGAAAACAAACATTGGCTTCACATACTGTATCCTTGTGAGGAATCTAGCCCGGGTAGGCATGACAAGTGAATAAAGCAATGAAAAGCGACACATACCCTAATCCTCTCTCTGAGCGCCACCACCCACATGAGCCTGCTGACGACAGGGGGCATGTTGTAGTGTGAGGGAGGGGAGATGGCATTGTCGCTGAACATGGTCCTGACTTGCTGCAGCTCCGCAGTGAAGGCTCGCACCAGCTGTTCATCCTTATCTCTGAGGTGGGCCTACAACGAGAGGTTATTCTCATCAACCTGAAGCTGGAGACATATGTCCAGTGACACACAAGTCAGAGAGCCTGACAACCCGATCCCCATTTTCCTCAAATCATTGTGACTTGATCAAAATGAGATATACTGCAAATCAAGAGGCTTTCTCCGTTAATAAAGTGACACATTCTGATCTGGACATTAAGAGTATATATCGTGTCAGGCTCACTGCTTCTCACCAAGTTCCATATCCAGTGTGGTCAGTTTGCTTACACAAGTCAGGGATAGAAATTAGCACTAGCCCACTGCCCGAGCCATTTTCACCAATGTTAAATGTATCCTATGATAAAGGGCTGATAGAATTTTTACCATTTGGGGGTGTTCCTGTTATCCCTATTCAGGCTACTTGACTTTCTAGGTTAATTTCTATCCCTGCAAGTTCATCAAGCCGTTATGAAAGTCAATAACTGTGTATGACAGCGTTATGTTCTTGGTAACCTTGTCAAATACTCTAATAATTACAAGCAATACACTTCTTACTCATGTAGTGAATATGTCCAGTACAGGAACAGCAAGTTAAATTTCTGAAGATGGCCAAGGATATTATCCAATCAATACTATCACCCCATACTTTATCCTGGAATTCAAAGTCTGCAGTCTTGGTGTTAATGTTTGCTGATAGTTTTGTAGTTCAAAGGCAGGGCTACTCATGACACAGTTGGGTGAGGGGTGAACACTAACATTTCATGACACAGTTAGGTGAGGGGTGAACACTCACATTTCATGACATAGTCAGGTAGAGGGTGGATACTCACATTTCATGACACAGTTAGGTCAGGGTTGGACACTCACATTTCATGACACAGTTAGGTCAGGGGTGGACACTCACATTTCTTGACACAGTTAGGTCAAGGGTGGACACTCACATTACATGACATAGTTAGGTCAGGGGTGGACACTCACATTTCTTGACACAGTTAGGTCAGGGATGGACATTCACATTTCATGACACAGTTAGGTCAGGGGTGGACACTCACATTTCTTGACACAGTTAGGTCAAGGGTGGACACTCACATTACATGACATAGTTAGGTCAGGGGTGGACACTCACATTTCTTGACACAGTTAGGTCAGGGATGGACATTCACATTTCATGACACAGTTAGGTCAGGGGTGGACACTCACATTTCATGACACAGGTCAAGGGTGGACACTCACATTTCTTGACACAGTTAGGTCAGGGGTGGACACTCACATTTCTTGACACAGTTAGGTCAGGGCTACTCGCATTTCATGACACAGTTAGGTCAGGGGTGGACACTCACATTTCTTGACACAGTTAGGTCAGGGGTGGACACTCACATTTCTTGACACAGTTAGGTCAGGGCTACTCGCATTTCATGACACAGTTAGGTCAGGGGTGGACACTCACATTTCATGACACAGGTAGGTCAGGGGTGGACACTCACATTACATGAGACAGTCCTTACCAAACTGCCCAATAGTAAAGGTATCCTAAGGACTAGTAGAAATTGGCCCATTTTAAGGGTTTTTCTATATGTATCATTATAAGGACTAGTGGACAAAAGCTGTTAGTTTCTAACCCTGCAGTTAGGTCAGGGGTGGACACTCACATTTCTTGACACAGGTCAGGGGTGGACACTCACATATCATGACACAGTTAGGTCAGGGGTGGACACTCACATTTCTTGACACAGTTAGGTCAAGGGTGGACACTCACATTACATGACATAGTTAGGTCAGGGGTGGACACTCACATTTCATGACACAGGTCAAGGGTGGACACTCACATTTCTTGACACAGTTAGGTCAGGGGTGGACACTCCCATTTCTTGACACAGTTAGGTCAGGGGTGGACACTCACATTTCATGATATAGTCAGGTAGAGGGTGGACACTCACATTTCATGACACAGTAAGGTCAGGGTTGGACACTCACATTTCATGACACAGTTAGGTCAAGGGTGGACACTCACATTTCATGACACAGTTAGGTCAGGGGTGGACACTCACATTTCTTGACACAGTTAGGTCAAGGGTGGACACTCACATTACATGACATAGTTAGGTCAGGGGTGGACACTCACATTTCTTGACACAGTTAGGTCAGGGATGGACATTCACATTTCATGACACAGTTAGGTCAGGGGTGGACACTCACATTTCATGACACAGGTCAAGGGTGGACACTCACATTTCTTGACACAGTTAGGTCAGGGGTGGACACTCACATTTCTTGACACAGTTAGGTCAAGGGTGGACACTCACATTACATGACATAGTTAGGTCAGGGGTGGACACTTACATTTCATGACACAGGTAGGTCAGGGCTACTTGCATTTCATGACACAGTTAGGTCAGGGGTGGACACTCACATTTCATGACACAGGTAGGTCAGGGGTGGACACTCACATTACATGAGACAGTCCTTACCAAACTGCCCAATAGTAAAGGTATCCTAAGGACTAGTAGAAATTGGCCCATTTTAAGGGTTTTTCTATATGTATCATTATAAGGACTAGTGGACAAAAGCTGTTAGTTTCTAACCCTGCAGTTAGGTCAGGGGTGGACACTCACATTTCTTGACACAGGTCAGGGGTGGACACTCACATTTCATGACACAGTTAGGTCAGGGGTGGACACTCACATTTCTTGACACAGTTAGGTCAGGGCTAGTCGCATTTCTTGACACAGTTAGGTCAGGGGTGGACACTCACATTTCTTGACACAGGTCAGGGGTGGACACTCGCATTTCATGACACAGTTAGATAAGGGCTGGACACTCACATTAATTTAGTGAAGTATTAATTTCATAATTTACAGTACATGAAAAGAAACACAAAATGCCATGACTTGCATGTATTGGTCACTATTTTATACAACAAAAACCAAAATAAATTTAATCAGTGTACAAAATTCAGCAGCCCTGATGTTGAAAGTTAAAGATTTAGTGGGTTCCTAAATTAATATACTACATGAAGTCAAGGACCCCTGGGCATCTTAATTTTAAACACTGTAATAACGTCCTTCAGTCTGTGTTGGCAGGTTCTCTGCATGGATATATTGTCCACAACACAAACACCAGGTGAGGTAAAATGGGGTTTAGCGTTGCGTTCAAGATTATTGCACTAATGAAGCAGCATACATGTATATATGCGTGTGTGGCAGCTTGCCGGTTTTATAGTGCTAGCCAAATGAGATACCATACCATAATTTAACATGGAAACCCAACTCAGACACAGAATACTGACTCTGAGGTGACCAGTCTTTGTTTTATTCTCCTAAAGACGAGCACAAGGCTGCCTAAAAAGTATGTCTTTTGGCAGGGGATCACCCAGACCTTCAACTCTTAGAGTAGATGCTCTATCCACTAGACCACGGAATAAGTCACACAAACAGAAGCATGATGAAAACACAAGTGAAACATACCTGGACAAGCTCCCTACTACTGACTCCCTCAAACACCTCGAGGAGACGAAGCTGTGCCTCTACTGTAGGACACTGACAGAATGCCTGCCGTAGGATCCCAGCCAGACGTTTCTCTAGGGACTGCCAACATAAACATAACATACCTATTTATACTATTCACCAAAGGATCAAAGGATCAACTTACACACAGGTAAAATACACACTGTCGAAAATTTCGTTTCAATTTACAAAAGGTTTGTTTGATGTTTACGCCACACTCAGCAATATTCCAGCTATATGACATCCGTCTTTAAGGAATCGAGCCTAGGCCAAACAATCCAGTGACTGATATTGCAAACAACAATCCCCGCCATCTGAGTATGATGAAATGCCATCAACCAAGTCACCAGATCCATTTTGAGGTTGCTTCGAACCTATTCTAACCTATTCCTTTGTGGGAAGTCAAACCCGGGTCTTTGACGTGACGAGCCAACGCTTGAACCACAAGGCTACCCCACCATCCCTTGGGATGAGAAAGGGATGTGAGTCTGCACATCAATACCAAACTGCAGTACTCTAGAAGAGTTGACATTGCTCAAATAACTTTGTGCTAATAAACATCCTACATCAGACCAGTGTGCACAGTTTTGAATATGAGTACATAGTACGTTTGAAAGAACAGGGATTTGTCCAGGATTCTTTATCCAGGATTCGAAAAACAAAGTGCAAGCAAATTGGGAAAAAAATCATTATTTTGATCAAAATTGGGAAGTTCATATTTTCTTTAACTCAGACTCAGAGATATTTTAACATTGTATTTTGAGACTGAACTTTATGTAATAATATAAAAACAAGCACAAAAACCTCTTCCTCGTTATTGGTCCTGCTATCAGAGGTCTAGATAAATCCCTGAAGAACAGTGAAGACTTCAAGACCATAACTTGTTTACAGACTGATGTTGTTTTGTCTATATAGTGTTAAAACCCCATCACAAAATCATATTAACAGAAGTTTCAAAACAAATTAAAGCATATTTTGAGACCATCTGAAGTGATGTGTTACCTTGACAACTGTCCTGAACTTGAAGAATGACCTCTCAAACAGCTGTGACCCATCTATGTTGAGGACATTGTCAACGACTGAGAAGAACTCCTGCATGGCGTGTGTGTACTTCTGGTGTATCTCCTTCACCATGGCATCCAGACTCATGCTCCCGGCCCCGCCCACCTCTGCTGCCCCCGCCAGCAGCCGGAAGTGCCTCGTCGTTTCCACCAACTCCAGCACATCGTTGCACCTGCACCCAGGATATAAGTGTGGAATAAAACACATGCAGGGTTTTTATAAGTTTAAACCCAAACCTATAGGAAAAAAATATATTCTTAAAACCATTTTGATTTATCAGTGCCTTTTTTGCCTAGTGGTTCACCCACAAGGCTACAAAAATATAAAAGTTGCAAGTTCAATCTGCTAAAACATACAGAAAACATTAAAATAAATCTCTAGCAAAGGGCATTAAAATATATACAATACTGTAAACTGTATGTTTAAAATGCCTTGGGATATTATGACACAACTGTTTATGAGTGAGTGAGTGAGTGAGTTGGGTTTAACGCTGCTTTTAACAGTATTCCAGTTATATCACAGCGTGTCAGCTAAATGTGGGAGGCAAGCCCGAAGTGATGCAGGTCTCTGACGTTTACCACTTCGGTGAAACCCACGAGCACGGGTATGGTGCTGACAAACCTAGAAACATTATCGGGGCGAACCAGGATTCAAACCCACAATCATAGGTTTCTGGCATGCTTAAGGGACGCAAATCTGCACAGCGAATCGCGGCGCCTTAGACGACTGGGCCACCCGTGCCCCTAACTGTTTATGAGACTTAACCCAATTAGAGAACAATAGGCTGATGTCACTGGAGGTTAATAATTTTTTTTAAAATACAGCAACTTCTCTTGTATTGTTTTCGTGCAATTTGTACAAAGATATTTTGATATAGCAATTCAGAAATGATAATCAACCTGTTTAACATAGTGATTAAGTTTAAACTTTGATTGTTTAAACTTATAAATTCCATAATGAATAAAGAAAACCAAAAACATTGTAATTCTATAAATCGATTTTACTTTGTATAGTTACTTCAAACATGGTTGAAAGTTTAATGATGTATTTCTCTGATTAAGATTGTCTCAAAATCTGAAGACATTTCAAGAAAATTCCACATGTTCTAAGAATTAGCTCTGAAAGAGATCATACCAAAATGAATAATTCCGCAACTTATCTGATGACAAGTTAATTCAGATTTTTTCAGGGACTGAGGTACATAACAATACATTCTGTCATGTTTGTTTGTTTGTTTTCCCGTTTTTCATTATGCCACACTCAGCAATATTCCAGCCATATGACATCAATTTGTAAATAATCAAATCTGGACCAGACAATCGAGTGATAGATATTATAAGCAGCAATCCATGTCTTTCAGGATATGATTACACACAATCAACCAAGTCACCAATCCATTTGGCTGCCTCTTGTGACCAGTATAGGGGGCACCGTCGTCTAAGGCGCCTCGATTCGCTGTCCAGAGTTGCGTCCCTTGGGCACACCAGAATCCACTGATTGTGGGTTCGAATCCCGGTTCGCCCAAATTATGTTTCTAGGTTTGTCAGCACCATACCGTGCTCGTGGGTTTCACCGAAGTGGTAAACGTCTGAGACCTGCATCACTTTGGGCTTTCCTCCCACATTAAGCTGACACGCCATGATATAACTGGAATACTGTTAAAAGCAGTGTTAAACCCAACTCACTCACTATGACCAGCATAGGTTGTTTGGGACCTAAAGCAGAATCTCTACATGGCTTGTGCAATGATAGAAGAGGTTACCTTTCCATGAAGCTGTTGAGAAGATCAAAGCATGGAGCATTACGAGGTGGCCAGGGACTGTCATTCCACAGGTCCTCCTCGTCCAGGGATGTTGTGCTGGAGTGACTGTCCGAGTTCCGCAGCCCGTATCGTGGAGTGTATGCATGTGGGCCGTACATTTTAGTAGTGAACAGAGCTCCCTGCGGTCTCGCAGCACTGCAACAAGAGGAAAAGTGAGTCACAATCACCCATTAAATAACAGCGATAGAAACAGTTTAGTCCACTAGTTCTTATAATGATAACATAGCAAAAATAACGTAAAAAAGGGCAAATGTCTACTCGTCCTTATGATACCAATTGGGCAGTTGGTCAAGGGCTACAGGATAAGTGCCAATTTCTGACACTGAATAACAGCGGTAGAAACTAACAGAATTCGTCCACTGGTCCTTATAATGATAACATATAGCAAAACCCTTAAAAAGGACAAATTTCTACTTGTCCTTATGATACCTTAACTATTGGGCAGTTTGGGAAGGACTATAGGACTAGTGCCAATTTATAACACTGAATGTTTGAAAAGCAATAGGAATAACGGATTATGTGTCCCTTGTAAATGAATGGGATTAACACCATTCACTCGTGATAATCCATAATTCCTTGTATTACATTGGGTATTCTCTAATTATTTTACAAAAACAATTAATGTATACTAAAACTGATCTTACAGTCTTTCTGCATTTTCAGCTATGTTCTGTGCATTCTGGTCATCAGCGGTGTCCTTGAAGTCCAGGTACGTTCCCCTGAACGCTGCACACACTCTCAGCGCCTCCTTCAGTTTTGTGTATGACTGAAAAGCAGCAGTTGGTCATTCTCTTCAAAGTGTTTCCATAATTTGGATATAAGAGCAGAGGAGGGGAGCTTCAGTGAGGGTAAAACATTACTTAAAGATTAAATTGCTGCTTAAATAGTTTGATCAGGTCAGTCTGTGCTAAAAACGTTTGTGTCTACCAGCTGATGAGTACCTTGACATCATTTTTAGGATATCTTTGTGTTATATCTGCCCCACCATGTCTATAGCCACCTCACTGCCCCACCTACTCATCTCAAGTGGCTCTCTCAGTATATCCTGTCCCACCATGTCTATAACCACCTCACAGCCCCACCATGGCTATAACAACATCACTGCCCCACCATGGCTATAACCACCTCATAGCCCCACCATGGCTATAACACCTCATAGCCCCACCATGGCTATAACCACCTCACTGCCCCACCATGGCTATAACCACCTCACTGCCCCACCATGGCTATAACACCTCATAGCCCCACCATGGCTATAACCACCTCAATGCCCCACCATGGCCATAACACCTCATAGCCCCACCATGGCTATAACCACCTCCATGCCCCACCATGGCTATAACACCTCATAGCCCCACCCTGGCTGTAACCACCTCACTGCTCCACCATGGCTATAACCACCTCACTGCCCCACCATGGCTATAACCACCTCACTGTCCCACCATGGCTATAACCACCTCACTGCCCCACCCTGGCTATAACACCTCATAGCCCCACCATGGCTATAACCACCTCACAGCCCCACCATGGCTATAACACCTCATAGCCCCACCCTGGCTATAACCACCTCACTGCCCCACCATGGCTATAACCACCTCATTGCCCCACCATGGCTATAACACCTCATAGCCCCACCCTGGCTATAACCACCTCACTGTCCCACCATGGCTATAACCACCTCACTGCCCCACCATGGCTATAACCACCTCACTGCCCCACCATGGCTATAACCACCTCACTGCCCCACCATGGCTATAACCACCTCACTGCCCCACCATGGCTATAACCACCTCAATGCCCCACCCTGGCTATAACCACCTCACTGCCCCACCCTGGCTATAACCACCTCACTGTCCCACCATGACTATAACCACCTCACTGCCCCACCATGGCTATAACAACATCACTGCCCAACCATGGCTATAACCACCTCAATGCCCCACCATGGCCATAACACCTCATAGCCCCACCCTGGCTATAACCACATCACTGCCCCACCATGGTTATAACCACCTCACTGCCCCACCATGGCTATAACCACCTCACTGCCCCACCATGGCTATAACCACCTCACTGCCCCATCATGGCTATAACACCTCATAGCCCCACTCTTGCTTTAACCACCTCACAGCCCCACCATGGCTATAACCACCTCACTGCCCCAACATGGCTATAACACCTCATAGCCCCACCCTGGCTATAACAACATCACTGCCCCACCTATTCACTCTAGTGGCTCTCTCAGTATGTCCTCCCCCTCCCTGGCTATACCCACCTCACTGCCCCACCAAGGCTATAACCACCTCACTGCCCCACCATGGCTATAACCACCTCACTGCCCCACCATGGCTATAACCACCTCACTGCCCCACCATGGCTATAACCACCTCACTGCCCCACCATGGCTATAACCACCTCACTGCCCAACCATGACTATAACCACCTCACAGCCCTACCATGACTATAACCACCTCACAGCCCCACCATGGCTATAACCACCTCACTGCCCCACCTACACACCTCTAGTGGCTCTCTCAGTATGTCCTCCCCGACCATGGCTATAACCACCTCACTGCCCCACCATGACTATAACCACCTCTCTGCCCTACCATGGCTGTAACCACCTCACTGCCCCACCATGGCTATAACCACCTCATTGCCCCACCATGGCTATAACCACCTCACTGCCCCACCATGACTATAACCACCTCTCTGCCCTACAATGGCTGTAACCACCTCACTGCCCCACCATGGCTATAACCACCTCATTGCCCCACCATGACTATAACCACCTCACTGCCCCACCATGGCTATAACCACCTCACTGCCCCACCATGGCTATAACCACCTCATTGCCCCACCATGACTATAACCACCTCACTGCCCCACCATGGCTATAACCACCTCACTTCCCCACCATGGCTATTACCACCTCACTGCCCCACCATGGCTATAACCACCTCACTGCCCCACCATGGCTATAACCACCTCACTGCCCCACCATGGCTATAACCACCTCACTGCCCCACCATGGCTATAACCACCTCACTGCCCCACCATGGCTATAACCACCTCACTTCCCCACCATGGCTATAACCACCTCACTGCCCCACCATGGCTATAACCACCTCACTGCCCCACCATGGCTATAACCACCTCACTGCCCCACCAACTCACCTCTAGTGGCTCTCTCAGTATGTCCTCCCCCACCATGGCTATGGCTCTGTGTACCACTTCATTGGATAGTAATCTGAGCAGGTTATGGAACTTGTCTATCTGGTGATAGTACCTACAACAAAGAAAGGTCATGGAAGACACAATTCTTAACAACATGATAAGCCATGTATGACAAGCATGGGTCACGTGGACATGACAACGCACACAATGATATCACGACTAACACTCAATCAACAAAGATTATCTGACCATTTAGTCTCCTTGTATGACAAGCATGGGTCACGTGGACATGACAACGCACACAATGATATCATGACTAACACTCAATCAACAAAGATTATCTGACCATTAAGTCTCCTTGTATGACAAGCATGGGTCACGTGGACATGACAACGCATACAATGATATCATGACTAACACTCAATCAACAAAGATTATCTGACCATTTAGTCTCCTTGTATGACAAGCATGGGTCACCTGGACAAGACAACACACACAATGATATCATGACTAACACTCAATCAACAAAGATTATCTGACCATTTAGTCTCCTTGTATGACAAGCATGGGTCACCTGGACAAGACAACACACACAATGATATCATGACTAACACTCAATCAACAAAGATTATCTGACCATTTAGTCTCCTTGTATGACAAGCATGGGTCACCTGGACAAGACAACACACACAATGATATCATGACTAACACTCAATCAACAAAGATTATCTGACCATTTAGTCTCCTTGTATGACAAGGATAGGTTACCTGGACAAGACAACGCACACAATGATATCATGACCAACACTCAATCAACAATGTCGCCAGACTAACCGACCATTTAATCCTCTTGAATAACAAGGATAGGTTACCTGGACAAGACAAAGCACAGAATATTATGACCAACACTCAATCGACAATGTCGCCAGACTAACCGACCATTTAGTCTGGGGAACTATCCTGACCCGGAATTCCCTCAGGTGTTTAAAGATTTTAGTTAAGTTGACAGAAGTGCCAAATAAGATCCAGGAACTTCAACCAATCACCAGCTAACAACACACAAGGCAACCAAACAAAATGTAGAAAAAAACGCATGCCAAAACATTCAACAACGAAAAGCAGTTTTGGATATGGGTGTAACAAATCTGGTGCATCTGTGATTGGATACTCAAAGAGTGTGGCAATGTATTCATACAAGGAGGTCGGGTAGCCTAGTGGTTAAAGTGTTCGCTCGTCGTGCCGAAGACCCGGGTTCGATTCCCGACATGGGTACAATGTTTGAAGCCCATTTCTGGTGTCCCCCGCTGTGATATTGCTAGAATATTGCTAAAAGCGGCGTAAAGCCATACTCCCAAAATATGCAAATTTCTTAAGCTTAAGGAGAAATTTTATTCTCTGATACATGATATCGCTTGATCTCACCCAAGCTACATCTCCTGTGGAAGCCAGTTTTGGATGATAAATTTGTTTGGTCTTGTAAGCTGATAATACTGTAGTCCATATATTTTGATATAATAACACCAAAACCTACTTGCTCAAGTAGACTCAAATGCTTGAGGCCAAGTCTGGTTATCACTGAATAATTGAAACAATTGAAGATTGATTGGAAGGTCCAAAAAAGCGAGCAAAAGAATGCAATTTCCTGTACTGGTAAAAAAACACATGATCAAAGAGGTTAACCCCGTCAGCAAGCTGACAAGGTAAGGATATCATCTTTTGGACGACTCCACGCGCTGCTACATACTCCCCAATCAACAGAAGGCACGTCCCGGGCCACATAGTAGGGTACTGAGGTTTATTTTGCTCAAATTTAATATGAACGTGCTCAGCCCCACGTTGGGCGCCAATGTAGCGGCCATAAAATTTTCGAGTCCTGTGATGGGATTCGAACCACGGATCTTCTGATCCGAGGTCGGACGCCTTGTCCACATGACCAAAGAGGTTAACCCCGTCAGCAAGCTGACAAGGTAAGGATGTCATCTGTGGGATGACTCCACGCCCTGCTACACTAACACTAGTTAACACTGATCTCTACTTACGTGGAGCTGGTCCAAACTAGCTTGAGTACTGTCATTAGTGGTTTGAACAGCACCAGCATCTGCCGTGGCTCTGTGGCGATGTGTAGTCTGTCAAACCAAGGCCTCATTGTACCCAGGAACTTCAGGATCTTGTTAGTCTCTGCTACAGCCTGAAACAGGATCAACCAAGTGACTTGCATCACTTTCTAGGATATCAAAGAGTGGGTGGGGGACACGGTGGGGTAGGGGAGCACAGGGGGAACAGTGGAGTGAGCAGCTGTACTTATAACTTGTATCACTTTCTAGGATATCAAAGAGTGGGTGGGGGACATGGTGGGGTAGTGGAGCACAGAGGGAACAGTGGAGTGAGCAGCTGTACTTATAACTTGTATCACTTTCTAGGATATCAAAGAGTGGGTGGGGGACACGGTGGGGTAGGGGAGCACAGGGGGAACAGTGGAGTGAGCAGCTGTACTTATAACTTGTATCACTTTCTAGGATATCAAAGAGTGGGTGGGGGACATGGTGGGGTAGTGGAGCACAGAGGGAACAGTGGAGTGAGCAGCTGTACTTATAACTTGTATCACTTTCTAGGATATCAAAGAGTGGGTGGGGGACATGGTGGGGTAGTGGAGCACAGAGGGAACAGTGGAGTGAGCAGCTGTACTTATAACTTGTATCACTTTCTAGGATATCAAAGAGTGGGTGGGGGACACGGTGGGGTAGTGGAGCACAGAGGGAACAGTGGAGTGAGCAGCTGTACTTATAACTTGTATCACTTTCTAGGATATCAAAGAGTGGGTGGGGGACATGGTGGGGTAGTGGAGCACAGAGGGGTAGGGGAGCACGGGGAACAGTGGAGTTAGCAGCTGTTCCTATAACTTGTATCACTTCCCAAGATATCCATGAAAACAAGATGGTGTCTGGTACGAACATTTTACGGTTATCAGCAAAGGCGCTGTCACGTAACAGAGGGCAGTTTAAAGACTTCATAATCTTTTGAGTGGATTTTGATGTAACAAAACGACTGATTACACTGGACGAGGTAAATATCCGAAAACAAGGACCCTCGGACCCCTTCGGTGGTCCAGTCACACCACCTCAGGGTTCAGGTCCTCAGGTCCTCAGGTCCTCGTTTTGGCATATTGACCTCATCAAGAATAATTATTTGTATAATGTGGAGAATAGTTAGAGGTCAACAGCTTGACTCCTGAGAGTTTCTAGGGCTGTGGTTCTGCCCCCAATGAAAATAAATTTGTTGGAAATATGCCTCTGTTTAGTCAGAAGAAAATGGGTACCCGTTACGACTAGATGCTGATGTGACTGTTAACCATCAAGTGCCTCATAGGGAGCTGAGAATGACATCCAAGAGCACAGATCCACTGACCATGCTAATAATTGTGTAGCGCTTTGAGCATACACTAGTGTGTGGATGTATCGTATGTTGTGGTGTCATTCTTTGGATTGTTAAGTATTGATATATCAACTCAAAAATGTGATACATCACTTCAACAATATTCATACATTCAATATTCGTATCCCAATCGCGTGGATTGATGCTCATGATGTCAATCACTGGATTGTCTGATCCAGACTCGATTATTAACAGACCGCCGTCATATAGCTGGAATATGGCTGAATGCGGCGTTAAACAACAAACAAACAAACAAACATACATTTGTAATGATACAGTATTGACACTCAAAATCTATCAATATCTTGATTTACAATGACATCCCTGATAAAAAAAATATATACCAACTGTTTTAATATTATTCAATGATTTTTACCTTATTGATCTCCTTCCTGACACTGCTGAAGGAGTGGGCGTACTGGCTATTGGCCTGCTCCAGGTTATGCAGGATGTCTAGGGACATGTCGGAGTCCAGCTGGGTGTTGACGGAGTGGAGTCGGTCAAGGTGGTTCTCCCACATCTTCATCTCCTCCAAGGGGCCTGGCTCAGTACCAAACTGATTCTGTAAGTCTGCTGTGGGATCATGCTTCAACACCACCTGGTTGCAGATAACACTGGTTTACGGTAATATTCAACATAGTCAGTAGGCCTGCACGGTATTATCGGTATGCCGCAATAAGCTTTCAAACAAAACATATTGCAATATTTTTTTCTGCTTTCCTGTATGTTGGTTAAACAATATATTACAATTTTATTACTATTTGTATTGTTTAACCTAAAATTTACACAGAAATTCATTCATTAATAATTTTTCCCTTCGAAATTCATTTTCCAAAATGGCATTATATCACATTGTTATCTCCCCTGTATCCATGACTACTATAAATAATTACTTTCGCATGTAGAAAAAGGCCTACATGTACAATCAGTGTCTATCACTTTAGCTCCCAATATATCACAAAATGTATCACAATACAGATAACTGTATTGTGATGTATTGCAATACATTTCTGATACACAGCCTGAACAGTCAAGCCAGTCCTGTCCTTTCCACAGCAACTAATCTCACTCCAATTCGAGAAACGATATTCAACATTTATCGAATTTCCTTCTTGGATGTAAGTCGCTACCCTTTCTACTAGTAGAAACTAACATTTTTAGTCCACTAGTCCTTATAATGATAATATATAACAAACCCCTTTAAAATGGCAAATTTCTGCTAGTCTTCCTGATACCTTTACTATTGGGCAGTTTGGCATGGACTACAGGACTAGTGCCAATTTCTAACACTGCTTTCCCAATTTCAGGTTAAAGCTTTTCTAGAGTTTTTTGACAGGTATTTATCTCCATGAAGACAAAAATAGAACAAAAACTGATTGAATACACAATGATATAAGGATGTGAAAACTAAGAAATCTTTTAAAACTGACGATGAGTATTTGTCTGTGCAATTGCCTTTGGGATGATAGACTTTCCCAGAAGCAAACAGATTTTCCTGGAGACAAGTCATGAAATGATTTCACCAATTTTTTATTGTATAATCCTAACAATTACCAATTGCTTTGAATTTGTTTTGAATTTTAAAAACATTATCTGTCAAAGTACAAAACTTCATACAGAGTCCAGCCTCCAAAGATGACCTGTCTGATGATCTACATTCTGCAGTAGAAATTGGCACTAGTCCTGTAGTCCTTGTTAAACTGCCCAGTAGTTAAGGTATCATAAAGAGCAGTAGAAACTGGCACTAGTCCTGTAGTCCTTGCTAAACTGCCCAATAGTTAAGGTATCATAAAGACTAGTCGACATTTGCTATTTCTAAGGGTTTTACTATATGTTGTCATTATAAGGACTAGTGGACTTAAACTGTTAGTTTCTACCACTGCTCTGTGTGAGCATATGTACCGGAGCTATCACACCACATGCCAGGAGGTTTGGGGTTTATGATAATTATAACCTTACTGACATTCATTCACACAGGTCCGGAATATAGATCAGCAGTTTTACCGACGTAGTCAAACTCGTAGCAGATGACGCAAACAAACCAAGATACTTCCCTTTATCCAATTCATTTCAGTAACTCAAAAGATAATTATGTGAGATAAGTAGGTTTCCAAGGACGTCTTCTGATTGATTTCTCAACGGGGTGCATGAAATTTGTATCATGCCTGTGAGAGGGCTACAAGGAAAATAATAACCCACTCCTTGACCAAACAGAAGCAAGTATTTTGATTTCAGGTAAAATAATGATGCTTACCCTAATCTGTTTGATCCAGTTAATGACTGTTGACTCCAGCACGTGCAGCACTGCTCCTCGTCTGTTTGGGGATGCTGCTGCCTCAGCCAGGACTTCTATAGAGGGCAGGTTCAGCACAATCTGGCCCTGCACAAACACATTAAATGACGTTTCACAGTGTTTGTTTGTTTGTTTGTTTGTATGTTTGTTTGTTTGTCGTTTAACGCTGCACTCAGCAATATTCCAGCTATATGACAGCGGTCTGTAAATAATTGAGTCTGGACCAGCCAATCCAGTGATTAATATCATGAGCATTGATCCACGCAATTGGGATTGATGACATGCATCAACCAAGTCAGCGAGTCTGACCACCCGATCCCGTTAGTCGCCTTTTACGACAAGCATAGTCACCTTTTACAGCAAGCATGGGTTGCTGAAGACCTATTCTACCCCGGGTCTTCACAGGTCCCACGCAATTGGAATACGATGACATGTATCAACCGAGTCAGCGAGCCTGACCACCCAATTCCGTTAGTTGCCTTTTACGACAAGCATAGTTGCCTTTTACAGCAAGCATGGGTTGCTGAAGACCTATTCTACCCTGGATCTTCACGGGTCCGTTTCACACTGACATAGGTGAGGTGAAATGGGCTTTTAATGTCATGTTCAATATTATTGCTCTTAGCAACATACATGCACGTGTGTGAGGCTTCTTGTACTAGCCCAGATTAATGTCAGGTTAATAGTGCTAACCCACCAAGATACCGTGCAAGATATCCTTACAAAGCTTTAATAAAGATTGTAATCAATTCTTTTTAAATTGTGTTTTGTGAAAAATATAATTATCCCAGTATCTTATCATTAACTAGTTATAAAAACACTCAGCCATGTCTGTGAGCTGATTATTTACAATAAATCATCGGGAAGAGATACGGTTGAAAGAAATATTATTCTTAGTTCAGTTCTTAAAATAATCATTCATTTTTTGATAATAATATTTGATAAGAAATGAAAGTAAATAAGACAAGTTTGATACATTATAATTGAATAAAGGCATTTACATAATTTCGCAAACAAAACTTCTCCCGCTTGACACGCGACACTTCCATGAAATCATTGGCTGAAGATGCCAAGTAAGCCACATTCTATTGAAAAATGTCAGGTTAAACTGCAAAACTTTGTAAAGGTTCGAAGTATTGTGACACGAGTTAGTACAGTGCTCTTTTAGCAATACTCCATATTGGCCATAATATACATGGCTCCTTATTGATGGGAACAGCTGACCAAATGTGTGAGTGGGATGTGTGAAAAGTTGAGATGAGTGAGTGAGTATAGTTTTACGCCGTTTATTGCTCAATATTCCAGCAATATAACGGCAGGGCTTCACACATTGTACCCATGTCGGGAATCGAACCCGGGTCTTCGGCATGAGAATCGAACGCTTTAACCACTAGGCTACCCGACCGCCCCGATCTAGATGAGAGAGTGCTAAGAACATGATAACGACTATACATGATGGCTATATACAGCAAGACCAAGTGGACAATAAAGGTATCATTCTTTCCGTCTCATGATGCTGGAGGCACTGGTGGCCCAGTCGTCTAAGATGCTGCAAATTGCTCTGCAGAGTTGCATCCCTTGGGCATGCAGGAAACCACTGACTGTGGGTTCGAATCCAAAATCGCCTAGATTATGTGTCTAGGTTTGTCAGCACCACACCCATGCTTGTCGGTTTCATCAAAGTGATAGAACCTGCATCACTTCAGGCTTTCCTCCAACATCAAGCTAGCACGCCTTGATATAACTGAAATACTGTTCAAAACGGATGTTAACACCGACTAACTCACTTACCATCATGATACATACTATCGTATCATGACATTGTGTACTGTCATAGCCCAGGGTACCAGTTAGGTGTGCGGTCCTAACTCCAATTGGGGGCACGGGTGGCCTAGTCGTCTGAGGCGCCGCGATTCACTGTGCAGAGTTGCGTCCCTTGAGCATGCTAGACACCTATGATTGTGGGTTCAAATCCTGGTTCGCCTCGATTATGTTTCTAGGTTTGTCAGCACCATATCGTGCTCGTGGGTTTCACCGAAGTGGTAAACGTCTGAGACCTGCATCACTTCTGGCTTTCCTCCCACATTAAGCTGACAAGCCATGATAGATATAACTGTAATACTGTTAAAAGTGGCGTTACACCCAACTCACTCCAGTGAGTACTTACCCTGACATGTCCCTGTGTGACCTCCACTGCTGCCATGAGTCTGTGCAAGATATCCATGATTTTGTCCCCATTAATGCCAGCCTCCATGACACTGGGCTGGTTGGTGCCCAGTAGAGGTAGATACACCTCTCTGATAGTCAGTTCCAGGTGCTCCAGGGGCACATTAGTACAGTCCATATAAAATACTTCTTGGTCTGCAAACAAAAATGGATTTTAATGGAGCTGAAACACTGTGGAAAGGTAGTCCTGATTTAAAATGATATCTAAAGAATTCACTTTATTTTTTTTAATTTTTATAAAGTCTTTGCTGATTCTAGACCAGTACTGGAGACCTTGGCCCACCAACACTGTGATGACTGTACAGAGAACAAATCAAAAGAAACAAACCAGGGAAAGCAACATCATCAATACTTCCCGGATGTGTACACAAAATGTTCATCTATCACCCATGAATAGAGTGTTGTCACAATTCACAGGTACACCGATGCATCGTGGGTAAACTTTGCACGATACAATACCCGATAACATGGCGTCAATTCACATTTAATCAATTGTCCATGTTCATCTTGCATCGAGTACAAACTAGTTTTTTAATTCCTCGTAACTTTCATGGTCGTCTCTCTGATGCAAAACCAAAATACAGAAGGTAAACATTTTTGTTTCTTATCATTTTCTCATACATATTAATTGATTGACTCAGTGTCATGTTGATGGGTATTAGTCAGTCTATGGACTCTATTCTCAGTCTAATGACTGGGTTTTCCGGACAAAATGTCATATATGCAGTATCAAGATATGTATCATATTGTGGCTTCTGTATCGAGATATGTATCGTATTATGTGGCAACTGTATCGTGGCATCCCTAATGAATACTTATGGCACTACACAGCAATGAAAATCAGGGTACAATTTGAAACATCATTTTGTACCCACAGTACATTTCAATGGTAAACCGATTGGGAGTGACCCTATCAGTATTACTTGGGATTGCTGTTTCAGTATCACACTTTCCTGCTCTATTTGGAAATACTGTCGAGCTCGACACATTATCGACCTCACATACTCACCCATGTTATCTTTTGTGAGTTTGGTTCCAGGATTGCACTTGAGGAAGAATATTGATTTGGATTTGAGGTCATTTGGAGGCTGCAGCGCGGCTGTAAACTGCCGCATCGGGCGCACGTAAACAAACAGCTTCTTGATGTCTTCATTGTTAATAAACTCATAGAAAGCAAGCCTGAAATAAGATCATTATTGTGATATTCATTTACAGGAAAAATAGGACAAGATTCATGTTTTTTTCATTCCATTTTCATTTTATTTCTATCATTGTCATCATAGGATTCACCAGGATTCACTGCACTGATTCCTGTTTGTTTGTATTTTAATGCCACATTCAGCAATATTTCACTCACAGGATAGTGGTTTGTGTGGTTTGGTCCCGACAATCCTGTGATTGACAACATGAGAATCAATCTACACAATTGGAATACAATGACATGCATCAACCAAGTCATGCAAGACCACTCAATCTCATGTCTTTTCTTACGACCAGCATGGGTTGCTGAAAAATAATTCTAACCTGGAACTTCATGGGGGGGGGGGGTCATGGGCATAGTTTAGAGTTGTGCATGAATTTTACTTTTAGGGTTTGGTCTACAAGTTGTTGATGAAATACAGAACAATCCTAACATTACAGTCTGTGACTTTAGCTACTAGTCCAAAGTCTGAGTCAAGTAAAATTCTGTTCTGTCTTGTAAGATCAGAAAAAAAATAATTCCCATTTAATAACACTAAAATGATGATAAGAGCCATGTGTGTTTTTGACACAGAGTGACATTACGTTTATTACAACATGCTATAATCATAACACATAGGAACACTCTATCAAATTCTATAAGATATAACGACACCTTGGGCTAGTGCTAAGTTGCATCCTTGACCATGTTGAATTCGATATTGCGATACATCACCAAATTCAAATGTCTAAATACCATTATACAGTGAAACAGCAATGACTACAAGAGATACTGTCAGATATTGTGCATCCCTGCAGATGCAAATGAAAATCATTCTGCATCCATTCTATACATTTGTGAGTACTGGACTCACATTTCTGCTTCATGTAAAACCCTGGCCAGGAAACCAATGATTGGCCCAAGTAAAGGCTGCATCATTCAAGTGACCTGACTTTACTCAAGTAAAGTAATTACCAGTAACAGCAACAACAAGGGATGCAGTGATGACAGTGTAAACATTTGAGACAGTGATCAATACCTGCATCCAACGGTAACTGGTTGGGCTGTAACGATTCACCGATACCTTTAATATCGTCGATACTTAGATTCAGACAATACTTTAATCGTCAGTTTGTGAGATCGTGATATATTATAAATAGAACAGGAACTGATAGAGTTACTTCCCGTAAAGGCATAAGTATCATAGCGCAACTTGTTAGCATTGCGTTACATGAGGCCATTGGTGGTAGAGGATGCTCCCACTAACTATTACATTCAATAACCATCCCTTCATTTAAAAATGTTTTGTTCTTGTGTTTTTGTTGATAACAGGTTTTTGCACCTGAGACAACAACAAAACATTGTATGAAACAATAGGTCTTAGAGTTGCATTTCAGTGATTTAATCATTTCTTATAATTTTTGTATCATCTGTCAGTATCGTGATACACATCATATCGCAGAAACACAGTTCAAGTTAGCTGTCAGATCATCTTTTTTCATGTGCATGATTTATCATCACAGGACTGCCACGTGAAGAATAAGAAATATGTTTGCTAATTTCAATAATTTGTTTTCTAACTATGATATTTAATAGTATTGTTAACGGGTATTTATCCATACAGGTAGAAACATGCCTAAGCACTATATTAAAGAAACTTGCTTCAGCTGGGGAATAACATAACATACACAATGTGGCATTTTTGCTGTCTGTTGTCTGAGGTCTAGGTCAGAGGGTAATAAGGTTGAGTTGGATGAGACACACCAACTTTAAGTCAAACTATTCTTATTATTTGACATATAAGTTTGTTTGTTTTCAACGCCGCACTCAGCAATATTCCAGCTATATGATGGCGGTCTGTAAATAATCGAGTCTGGACCAGACAATCTTGATTGATATCATGAGCATCAATCCACACAATGGGGATAGGATGACATGCATCAATCAAGTCAGTGAGCCTGACCACGAGATCCCGTTACTCGCCTCTTACGACAAGCACAGACATATAACTACAGTAAATGTATAGTGTTATACTAACCTGTTGTCATCGTTAAGGAAGAGGTTTTTCAATTCCTCATTCCTGGGCCTGAGAGATGAACTGATACGAGTCTCAAGCCAGCGTAGCCTTTCATCCATCTTGGAACTGACTTATGGTAGCTTATCTTGTTTATATAAATCTGCAACAGAAAAGAAAACATAAACCAACTTCACATCTCAACGTTAAACAGGTCACTGGCTAAGATTTCAACAAATCTACATTTGAAGAAAGCAGTTCAAAACAAATGATATACGGGGCCTACATTTTGTTCACTGCCATTGCAACAAAAACACTCTTTGTTTGCATACATGAGTGTGCTTCAAACTTTTTAAGTGCGATGTTAAATAGTGATTTTTTCTATATTTTCTAGTTCACTAGACTTCTCACGTTGTGATAGTGTTGATGCTTCATTTCTTCTTAAATAAATATTCTTATTGTAATTAATAAAATGTCTCCCTGTATAGAAAAAAACCCAAAGTATATTGCAGTTCAATTGATATACTCTACAAGGGTACTGTACTTCCATTCATATGAAATTATTTCATAATTTAGATAGACAGCCTTTCGGAGTATCCTGATTTCATGCTAGTCAAACATACACAACTTCATACTACGTGACGCATCCTCACTCCATCACGTTGAGTCAATGAACAACTGCATATAATAACTTAAGAAAAGAGAGAATAAAACCCTCTACACCATATCATACATTCAATTATGTATGCGATTAAATTAATAGTAGATGAAACACTCATGCCAACTACCTGTGCTGGGCCTGTCAGTGTCAGGCCTATTTGTAGAAAGTGGCAAGCAACATTTCTGCAAATAGAGGCATGTCTTGAGGAAACTGCTGTTTCTGGCATTAAATATATGTAACTATTTCATCAGATAAAGTAAATTGACAATACCGTATCTAGTTGTCAGTCTTTTGCGTTCTCCCAAGGTCTACACTAACTAAATTCCTCAACGCACATTTGTGTTGTCTGCTACCGCGTTAACAGGCCGCCATATTGTTTGTGTGTTGCTAGAGATATTCGAGTGTTTCCGGTAACTACCGTGTTCACGTAAAATTTGAAATATTAATGGAAACTTTCCAACTGCAAAATCAGTTCATATCATATGAATATAATATGTAATATGTATGAGAAGTACAAAACTGATGTACTCAATCAGATTTGTTTTTCCGTACACACACAATCGGAATAAACCGAACGCACCTGCCGAAAAGATTCAAAACGGACCATTCGGAAAACGACTGACAGGTGAATTGACAAAAACGGCTGATTTTCTTATCAGATGCTAAGGTTTTCTTGGGCTAATTCCACTGGTTGACTAAAAGTAGAAGGTTTCATATTATTCTGCTACACATATGGACATAAAAATTGCTCGTTGGTAATTTACGAAAGGGGTTAAATTATGTAGACGGATACCAGTCAAAACGAATCAGGCAAAGTTGTCAAAACGCCCGATTTTCCGCGTCAGAACAGGTTCGTGAAATATGACGTTAATACACAACGCAAGCTGACACGAACATCGAGTGCCATAATATGTATTTGGCTGTAATAGGCTTCAATCCATTTGTATATAGACCTGAAGTGGCTACAGATTCATACAAAGACAGGTTTCTTAGTTATAAAATCGTTATTATTAAAATCCACACCTTTAATATTGTGTATAGGATAGCGACTCTGAAAACTACGTTTTTTTCATATTTTGTTTGCCACCCAGCGATCAGTGTAGGCTAACATGGTCAAATTTGTTAAAATTTTGACTGATAACAGCTAGCATGCTTGAAAATGTGTCCTTGCTTATATTATGCAGTACAGGGGCGGTCGGGTAGCCTAGTGGTTAAAGCGTTCGCACGCTACGCCGAAGACCCGGGTTCGATTCCCGACATGGGTACAATGTGTGAAGCCCATTTCTGGTGTCCCCCGTTTATGTTTATTAAATGTATATCTGTCCAGTAATTTAGACTGACCATGTGTTTCAATATTTAGTGCTGTCTTTTAACATGATGACCTATGCTGGATGTGACCAAATATTTTTTTAAGCAGGTGACATTTCGTCGCCTGAGAACCACATTTGACCTTTTTGCATTTTCTTTTCAAATGGCTGTTTTTCTGACATTGTTGTAAATTTCATGAAGTCCCTGTTGCTGGAAAGTAGTTTTTCAGTGATCATATGTCCAAAAACTCATAAGTATCTTAAAACCAGAATGTCCATGTCGATGTCCAATCAATTTCTTCATACAGATCACGTGACAAGGAGATACGCCCCCACAGTCCAGGAGGCTATATAATATGCATTTTTTACTTTGGTTGTAGAACCATTGAAGAAAACAAAAGACCACTGGAGTTTGAAAAGGCGTATAGCCATTTCTGCACAAGCGTAGTTTTATTCACTTAAAAGGGCGACAATGCGACATTATCAATATGTCACATTGTCGCGCTGACTTGCATTTTAACGCCTGTTTGACACATTTTTGACGGGGCGACAACGCGACATCTTTTAACCATGGAAAATGTCGCGTTGTCGAAACTGTCGCCCTTTGGTAAAATATGAAATATTCTTCAAATCGCGACAATGCGAAAAATGGCCAAAATGTCTCGTTGTCACGTTGTCGCGCTTTTGTTAATTTTGACACAATTTGCTTGTTTTCGTAAGGGCGACAATGTCCCTTCTGAGATTACATAGATTTCATACATGCATATGTTTCCTCGCAAAATACAAAGTGCAGAGATGTGTATGAATCTGTAGCCACTTCAGGTCTATATACAAATGGATTGAAGCCTATTACATCCAAATACATATTATGGCACACGATGTTCGTGTCAGCTTGCGTTGTGTATTAACCCCTTATCTAGCCTATTAACCCTGAATGATTGTTTGTTGCTTAATATTCCGGCTTTTTGACGGCGATCTGTAAATAATCGAATCTGGACCAGACAATCCAATGATTGACATCATGAGCATTTGGCATTATCTATAAACAACTTTTTTTTTTTTTTTTTTGCTCGGGGTAATTCGCCTTTAAAAATGTTTGGTTAAACTAAACCTTGGCTAATATTCATATTGTGAATCTTTCGTGCACCTATCCCTAAATAATATAAAATAGTGGAATTCTAAAATTTCATTTTTATCAATTTAGTTTTTTTGCTTTTTTAAATGTTTTAACGCTTGCCGGTCTGAAGCTGAGCACCGAATATACACACATACTATGGAGGATCCTCCAAGCCACGTACGCGTTTAGCAGGCTGGAACATCGCAGAAGCTCCAGCGTTCAAGGACGTTGGTCATGTAACACCAAGGGGCACCTTTGCCGTCGGGGTCCCTGCAGTAGTCGTGGGAGTTGTATACGGTCCCCTTCCCGGTGCCTCTGGTGTAGTAGTAGTCGCTGTCACTTGTGTATGAATGTTCTTGTGGTCATTGCGCGTCCCATCTCTGACAGCTGTAGCCGTCTTCAGTCGAGGTTTGAAACCCGCTGAAAGAAGCAGTCTGAGACTTGTAAACAGGACGTGACGCCTTATCACACACCACTCGTCTCACATCGCCCTGTCTGTAACATTCGTCACCACTCCCCCCTTTCCGTAACCTGCAAGAAGACTCGTCCCCCTATCGGTGAATGTTATGTGCGAAAAAACGACAAACCGATCAGAATGTGCGTATGATTTCAGGTTCTTCGTCAAAGAATCCCTCAATTTTTGTTTTTACAGATGTCTTGCATGAAGAAATATAACCAAGACACAGTTAAATGTGTTCAATCATGATGTATAATAGTGCATGTCTGTCGCTTTTCGGCTTGTCTCGGAATAACACGAGTTGCATTCGTGACCAACTCGTGTTATTCCGGGACAAGCCGAAAAGCGACTCGTGCCCATCTCATGGCCATTTTTGCAACCGGGTTCCGTCTTAGCGCAAACGGGCATACCTAAAACAATTGTCAACTCGTTGCGTAATGGTTCACATATATTTCCCCATATTTCAGATGCAATTTAAAGCACATCGGGACATGCGGAATTATACAGTATGATTTAACACATTTAACTGTGTCTTGGGTATATTTTTAGATGCAAGACATATAAAATCAAAATTTTTTTCTGAGGGATTCTTTGACGAAGAACTTGAAATCTTACGCGCATTCTGATTGGTTTGTCGTATTATCGCACATAACATTCATCGATAGGGGGACGAGTCTTCTTGCAGGTTGCGGAAAGGGGCGAGTGGTGACGAATGACACGAGTTGGTCACGAATGTGTCCGTAAAAGCAGTTCGGCCTCATTCGTGACCTCTCGTGTTATTCCGAAGCAAGCTTCGTGCAGATTACGAGAGCGGCGATTTTTTGACGACTGATTTCGCATGATGTCTCAATAAACGTTTTTAACTTTAAGGTTTGGTTGTGTGGTGCACTCTCGATTATCCAGTATATTATACCTTCATTATAGGTTTACCAGAGCTATTCGCTACGCACTGCAAACACGAAAACGTCGTTTTTTTCCGTATATGGTCATTGGACGGAAAAACGACGTTATTTGGACGTTTTCAAACCATCGTTTTTCCGTCCAAATAACGTCGTTATTTGACATCGGAATTTACTGGGAGAGAACGATAGCGTTAAGCTCCTCCCTTTCTTGATTGACATTGTCAATCAAGCAACAGCGTCTACCGGTATTTCTACTTCTCAGATTTCATTGGTCTGTCCCCGCGTGTTAGATTACAGGCCCGCGTTTGACGCTGCACTCGAAGCGCTTAGCGGAAGTACTGAAATCAATCGTTCTGCGCATGCGGATTACTTAATGCCTTGACCAAATTTCCGTTCTGTGCATGCGCGATTTCGCGTATTGTTTCCTAGATTTAATGTCACCACTATTTGACAATGGTTCATAAACACAGTCACGTGAAGGTTCGGAATCGTAACGAGTAACTCCATTTAAATTGAAGAGGATCCCCAGTGATATGGGAGATTCCAAGATGAAACTATTCTATGGCTATCTAGGCTGCCACCCAAACCGATCTAAACGGGACCCGATAGCTTATTGTATGCTATATAGTCATATGGAAGTGGACAAGAACTATACATTGTATTCCGGCCGATTGTTCTTGCATTTACTTATAAGTCAGGAAAATGGACTTAAAAGGGGAATTGTTGAATGTAATTATTTTAATTATTAAATGTTGCCTATACACTAATCTGAACGAACTTCTCATTGTTCTGTTTATGTCATCCTATATACTATAAGAATGTTACCGTTCTAAAGGCAACCTCTCACATAACATTATATTGTTCATAGTATCAAAGTTTAATCAACAATATCAAGAGCAGCGATTTAAACCACTGAAACACCCAAACACAAGGCTGTTATCAAGCGCTAGTGCAGACGTGATGCATCGTTAAAACTGTATCGTGATGTCTTCAGAAATTCAATTATACTACGAGATAGTACGGCTAACGCTGACTCACCGGTGGAACAAAGACAATATCGCTAATACAGATATAACGTATTTGAATGTTAAAACTAAAGACAAACAATCATTATTTTTGCAGTGACGATATAACACGTATACACGTTTATTGTTAACTTTAATCAGTTTTGCTCTTCATTTTAATAACTTTGTTTTCACATATATATGTAGCAATACCCGAAAAGCATGTCATACATAATTATGGGGCAGTTTTCAATCTTGTACTGACTTACTCTGGTGTTAATGAGCTAAGTTTATTGGCTTGTGTGTAAAACCCCGTTTTTCTGGTAATCCTATTATTACTTAGTTTATTTCTATCTAATGACACCCTGTTCTCTGGATCATGGCTCCGTGACTATCCATAACAATTAAGATGAACATTCAGTTCAAGTAAATGAATGAGTTTGTTTTGACGCTACAGTCAGTCAAAAAACCAATGCTGTGAGGTTTGATAACACACTTCTACCAGGTCGAACATCGTGGATCCTCATTTTCTGCCTAAAGAGAATGGTAGTTCATATGCTAATCCATCTGCGAATACCCTCCCACTCAAGAT